GCTCCGGGTCTCCATTCCAAGTCTAATTATGAAGCCATAATTGTAATCAAACATTTGAAATTGAATAAGTTTCTACATTATTCAATTCACATTAAGTAAAGGATTAGAAATATGCCAATAATAAATACCAATGACACAACTTTTATTAAACACACTTTACGGACAACCCTCGTATTTCTTCGTTTCGTTATATTTTAAAGGAAAAAAAATGTTTCCCAAGTACTATATAATTTTTCGGGGGTATAATAAAGTGGTAAAGTTTATGGTAAAATTTATTACAATGACACGGAGAAAAAAAAATATTCCCCAAGTACAAATTCGTGTTTATGGAATAGGAGAAGAAATAAATTTGTTTTCTCGGTCACAACCAGTGCTTTTTCTTAAAATTTCGTTCCCCCTTTTCCCCCAACAATCTACGTGTCTCTTGAGCGGGTTTTCTTTTTTTGAAAATTAAGATGAACTCGTGTTTGAGAAAAAGCCATTTATCAACTAGCATCTGTTATAGGACCTATTTTTCAATGCACTATTTCGTATTCTTCATGATATAACTTACTCAGATAAACTTTTGATGTTTATTATTTCTGTTTGAGCATCTTGATTAGGTATTTTGTGCTGTCCTTATTAAGGGTAGCATGAAGAATATCAATTTTCTAGACTTGAAACAGAGAAATATAACGTGAACCATGATTTTCAAAGAAATTTTATTTCATCGACTTAATTTTTTATCTGGAGATAGATACAATAATATAAATTATCTATGATATAAAAAGAATGCCATCAGAATTGTCGTGAATGTTTTTGTCGTGGATTCTTTGTTTTTTTCTCGATTATTTTTTTTTTTTACATCGCTTTCATTTTTTCTGTTTTAACAATTACAAATAAATACTAATGTTTATTGGTTTATATTTATAAAGATACCTAATTATCATACTTTTATATATATAAATGTGGAGATAACCAAAAGTATTCAAGATCAATACACAGTAAACATTACAAAAGAGGAGCGGAGCAAACACGGACCTCCAAAAAATCAAAAGCGGGATCAAGTCTATGGAGAAATCACCATCCCCTGCAGACCTGTCCCAACCGCCGTGTGCTCCATGTTTGATTCCTTAAATCACTAATTTTACTTTACTCTCAGCTAAATCAATACCGAAATATTATCAATATTTGATGTTATGAGGTGGTAACCACACTGAAATATAAATATTGTAATAATTGAAAAAAGCGATGAAACTGCTTTTTCCAAAAATCAGGGTTGTTTACATCCTCATGTAGACATTTATTATTCCTTATTTATATACAGTAAAAGTGTATCGAAATGCTGACTTTTGTTACAATATATATATTAGCATAAGAAAACATCCACGACAATTTAAAAAATTAAATTTATTGCGCACAAAAAAGTGTCGGTTCTTGATTAATTCTTCCAAATTCTTACCTCAATTGCAAAAAATGGAAGATTTAAAAAAATTCCTCTTTCCTACATAGTATTCGTAGTTGACATCTGAACGAAGCATTTGGACCGAATTATCTTTGAAACCAAAATCAATAAATCAGCGAAAATATTATCAGGGCCATCAACAACAATTATGAGGAATGTTTTGTTGTGGTAACCATATGTTAGGAACACATAAATATTTTGAGATTAAGTTTTAAAAAAGAGATGAAACTGCTTTTTTTCGCAATAAAATAAGTTTTTTCAGGGTTGTTTACTCTCCGGTCTATCAATAATTTTTTTTTCGGAGAGCTACAGATCTGCAGCTAGTACGAACACGGATGTATTTTGCTCTGTTGGCTCCTACTTCCTTTTCAGCCTTGCATCCTTATTAATAGATTTGATTTAAATATTCAACTATTGACAATTTTTTTTGTAATTATAATATATGGCATTAATGTACTAACAAGGCAATGTTAATTTTTAAATAAGTTATGTATTTTGCCGTCTTTATTAAGTGTAAAATAGTTTTTAGATTGTTTAGGTATTTATATTAGCGTAGTTTAGAGCAAATCTGGCGTTAACTGGTCTTTTTTCGTATCTATATATCGATAAATCCTAATGAACTTAAAAATACCACATAGTCTCACACATCTGTTTCATGTTTTGAAATTTGATTAAGAGATCATTACGGTTACCTATCAGCATAACTTTATGAATATGTGTGATGACTAACTTTTCGATCGTTAAACCTGATACCACCTCTGATTTTTTTTAGAGAACCGTGTTTGCTCTGCTCCACATTTGTATTGTTTCAGTGAACTTTTCATTACTGTTCGTTATCTCCATATTTTATCCAATTATAGGCTAACCGCAACTTGTCCACTATAGCTATAGCTAGTTTTCCTGGTTCGAAGGTCGAAAAGAATATATGTTGACAGAGACCTAAAGCTTTGTTTTAGGACTAGGTTTATATATTTATATACAGGGTAGAATAGGTGCCCAAAAAAATCGGAAAAAACCTTTGAAACATATATTACAGAATGAAAACAAGTCCCATTTTCAAACAAACGGAATTCCTATGGATACCAATTTTGCCCTGTTATTTGCAGACCTATTTTTGTTTTCATATGAAGCAGAATTTGTCCAAAATCTTATGCGTGAAAAGAAGAAAACACTTACTGTGGCTTTTCGACGAGGTTTTTTCAATCAAGACTGATAATTTCCATTCTTATGTCGATACGGTATTGGTGAGTTTGAGATAAAAGATACAATAGAGTCTGACACATCTGTTTCATATTTGGATATTTCACTTGAAAAAGACGTTAAAACTAATCTAACAACTAAGCTCTTTGATAAACGTGATGACCATTTTTTTATACTTCCCATATGTAGCAATATTTAAGTGCAAAATTTATATACCGTATATAAAGCCTAGAATCACTTCCGCCTATAAGTCGGTTGTATTTTTTTCGGTTATTTTAGGATTTAGATAGACCCGCCTATAACGGACCAACTTTTTGTCAGAATCAGATGACAATTTCTAATAAATGTTCTAATGTTTTTAACCTGATTTCAATCAATATTTTTAGAAATTTAGTTGATATTTTACTTTAAATCATAGAAAAATAAATACATGTAATGCATTCTTAAGATAAAAAAAGTATTAAATATATGTATATAAATACTTGTACTTTACGTTTAATCTTAGAATACATAAAACCTAATGATATGATATATCCGACTTTATTCAACGATAACCATGTTTATAGAATACTACGTTTCGCCGACCAGAAAAATGCCAATCCTTTTTATGACTCGCCTATAAGTCGGACATAGACTTTTGGTCAAAAATTTAACTCCCAAAAAACCGACTTATAGGCGAGTATATACGGTATTTCAATTGATTAGACACGCAAGAATATGTTCTACGTATGAACAATTTTTAAAACGAGGTAAATTATTGACAAACAAGGTGTTGAAACAAGTTTATCACCAGTCTCGTTTAAAGTCATAATTTCGTAAGTTCTATGGTCGATACAATGGCCTTGTCAGCAAATACAAATTATCTTTGAGTCAAATGTTGACTGACGCTTTTCATACATTTCCCGACCATGACAAGGAGCACACAGCAGTGTGACCGGTCTGCAAGGGATGCTAACTTCTCCATGGCAGCTGATCCCACCTCTGACGTTTTGAAGGTCCGTGTTTGCTCTGCTCCTATTTTGTATTGTTTTATTGATTTTTGAGCTAGAATACTTTTTGTTATCTCCATATGTTTCATTCAACTTGTGCGATACCGAATTTATCAAGTTAATGAAATGTTTGTATTTTTAAATTATATTTTTGGGAGTTTAAAATGTTATTTTGGATAGCCTACCATGTAACCTGAATATGCATAAAAATGCAGTCTTGTGAAGAATATAACGAATCTAGTTTTTAATACATAGGAATCACCTCAAAGCACTTTAATGATTACCGTAAAAAATCAAATTTGTAACATATATTTAGATTAGGACATAAATCGGAAATACTAAGTATCATTGATTTAAACAAAAAAGTAGAATTTCTCATTAAAAGTAGACTTGTCGTGCCTTCATATATCAGTTTTGACAATAGATTTTTTTTTTAATTTATGCAGTTTTTAATCAAATATGGATCATAATATTAATACATACCAGGAAATGAAATCATAGATAAACAAAAAACGAGCTCAATTTTCACTCAAGGCATTTGGTTACAATATAAAATTGAAGGATCTGCTGTTTTTCAAATCGCAGTAGCAAGTTATGTTTCCAATTAAATATGGATTGCCAAATGTGAAAAATAATATACCTTTTTCTCAGTAAAAAGGAAATGGTTAGTATTACTTTGCTGTTTCTATTCATATCGAACTGGTTCACTTTTTAAGCACAGAACTCTAAACAAGCTATATACGACAGAAAAATAGCAGCAAAACTTATATTCCACTCGACGTTATTTATCTGTTTTATACTAGCTTCAATCAAAGCAAAATATTTCCTAATTATGGCTTAATCATATAAAGTCCAGATCGAATGGATAAGAGATTCAGACCTTAACACAAAACCATATTTTTTTTACGAATATCAGATAGAGAGAAAATGAATACAAACATTTGATTATAATTTTTTGAAAGTTTTCGTTTTCTAACTTCAATTTGAATGCAAAATTAGTAAATTTGTTTGTACACATCATTGAAATTGTTGTACGGGCTTTTAATCTTTCTTTAAAATAGCTTTTATTGTAAATGCATAGTTCATTAATTATGACCTAAATGACATCAAACAAATTAATACTGTATACAGGATATTTTACCTCCGTTTTATTTCGCCCTTCTGCACTTGCGAACAATTTTGCCCCGTTTTAAATTATCCCAGTCATGGTTCCATTTAAAAAGTTATGTAATAATGTTCTCTGAATTCGCCCCGTTTGAAATTCGCCAAACTTTGAACAGAGCGAAAATAAGACGGGGGCGAAAATTCCTCTGTATACACTATCCTCCAAACAATAAATGAAAACAAAATAAATACATGCATTTAAATTGAATTTGACAATAAATACCCATGCTTTTATTTATCACAGTCTCGCAATATCATACAATGTATAAATTAACGGCAACACTAATTAAATATCACACACAAGGCAAACAAAAAAATTCATTATTTCAAGTTATGAAATCTATCAAGTGCATATTTATTGTAAAGCTGAATAAATTTTATTGCAGCTTAAATACATCTATTTAGATATAAATTCAAAAGCGCTATAAAAGTTTTTTATATGTGTATTCTAAAAATGTATTTTATGAATATTCATGAGCTTTGAAGAGTCGGTAAAATTCAGAGAAAATACGAAAAGAAAACCCACATCTCATTTGGCAGACATAAATCACTGCATATCTCTTTGTCTTTAAAATCAAAAGTGAAAATTGAAAGAAAAAAATATATCCATGATTCAAATACATCGTGTGAATCCCTGTACATTCTGAAGCACTACGTTTTGTTAGAGATAGGAAAACAGCACCTCAACATGTAAACTGGCTTGAATGATTTTGAAAATTGTTAAATGCGTTTGTAAACTGCCACATGAAACTGTTATAGCACAGTATGGTTTGGACCACAGTTTTTTTTACATATATTCTAAATGTGATGTATATGAAGCCAAACTTAGACTTCCAACGTTGTATAAGCGGTCTTGTTTCGTATGATTCATCATGTTGGTCAAAGTTCCACCTGGCATGCGCAGATTCATATAATCCCACAGTACTTTGTAGCAAAATCTGTACTGGTCCTGCAAAATCACAATAAAAAATATATGATTTACTTAGAGTTGGAAAACACTGAATTTTTCTTTACTGGGAAGAAGACATCATGTACTTCAGACAACATTAAAGAAATCAGAAACAACAAAAGAATTGAATGAAAATTATCATTGGGTTTCCAATGATTTTAAAAGTCTCTGAAGTATTTACCAGAGTATCAACGATCTGCGGCCTACGCCTCTTCATGTGCTTAACAGTATGATACACATCAACGTCATGGTCCATTTCCATAGCTTCACATATCGTCCACACTGCACAGAAAAGCCCACTGTGAGTTGCACCATCTTTGCAGTGAACTACTATAGGTGCCGTGTTCTCGTTGGATTGTCTTTGCCAACTACGCACTAAGTCAATGAGATCCAAGAGCATCGTTTTTGACTTAGGAATGAAATCGTTTTCACTCCAAGCATTGAATTGAAACTGTCGAACGTCACGAGGAGTTGATTTTGGTTTCAACATGCTGTGGAGTTTAAAGTGACGAATCGTTACGTTTTCTTGCTGCCAAATGTTTGTGTTGTCCACGAAAAAGGGTTCGAATTTCTTGATCTTGTCCTCTGGCCAATATTCCGCTGAAGTATCATCATCGCTTGTAAACTCCTCCATCATTACAATAGTTTGGACCCCAAGGTCGTATACGAGTTTCCAGAAGTCTATTACAGTGGTATGTAGCGGAGATTGTGTCACAATGAAATGATTATCCAGCTCATGACTATCTAAGAACACAGCATTGATATAATTTGTGCGATCTAGACCACCGGGAGTTCTCAAGATGGGTCTGTGTTTGTTCGGAGGAACAACGTCTGGAAAACGATTTTTCGAATAATTCATTGGAATATGAGAGTCTGAACACTCTTTTTGAGTCGGTTTTCGAGTAAACAATTGCAAAGATATGAACTGGTCCCTAAGAAATGAGTGTTTTGTTTTCGGATTGCGCATTGTTAGAGTGTGGTATTTTTCTTTCAGATCATAGCCAGCTCGAGTGTCGCCTGCAACACGAGCTTCAAATATTGCCTCGTAAATGAAAATATACTGCTTAACCGTCCGCACCATGGCTATTCTGTCTTTTCGCATCCTTTTAACAAATGAGTACACGCTTATTATACCCTCTGCCTCGTATTGCTCTATTAAGGCATCAATTGCAATAAAAGTTCCTGTTCTACTCACTCCCGTCCCACAATGCACCACGAGAGGCGACTTGTCATTTCCATGGTACTCGCGAACCTTATGTCGAAATTCGAGTAGAGGAATAGTATCATCGGGCACACCATGGTCGGGCCAAGAACAAAAATCAAAGATATGTACGACTTTTGTATGGGCGTCATGTGTCGTTTTTATTTTAACCGACCTAATAACAAAATCAGCATATTCTTTCTCATCAATAAGTGCTAGGGTGAAACTACCATATTTCACCTTTCCCAATTCCGAGTCTGGCCAGTATTTGGAGCATTTCACAATTTTATCTTCTATGACATTCGTGATCATAACCACTACTTTGATATTGTACTGAAACAACATTCTCCAGAAGTCAAGCACGGTCTCCTCGTCAAAGGGACTCTGAGCGGCAATGTAGCCATGCGGCCTGTTGTAACCTTTGATAAAATTAGCATTGATAAAATCACCATTAGAGTTTTCATCCGGGTCAAGAACTACCCTTGTATGGTCGTATGGTAACAAGTGACGAAATCTGTTCTTTCTAGAGTTTTTGCTTCGTACTGCGTCATTCCATGAGGCCAATGGCTGGTGAGGGAGTTCGTGGAACTCTTGTTGAAAAGTAACAGGATGAGCCGTCATGTTACCTGGAATATTCCCGTTGAGAATAGTTCCATGGTATCCATCATCTGGAACAAGATCTCGACCAGAAATAATGTACCGACTCTCCCTCAGCGAATAGATGGTGTTCCAGTGCTCTTGTACATTATAATCGTCAACAGCGGTCAGTTCCACCTTCTTCTCGTCTTCAAACGTATCGTACAGTGGTGGAGAAAAACGATTGGTCCTGGAGCGCAGGAAAAGTATCAGGAAAACTACAGCGATTATTATGATGATCAGGAGAATAATTACCACGGCGACAATCACTGGTGTGTTGTCCGATGACGTCACCGGAACCATCACCGGGTCTACAGGGGCAACCGTGGTGACGATTAATTTAGTGGTTGCTGAGGTAGGCATTTGAGAATAGCTTGTTAGCGTTTTGGATCCAACAGTACTTTCTATCTCGTAGTATATTTTGTACTCTTTATTCTTTTCTAAAGGTTTATTTTTAAACCCGCCATAATCTCTATTGTCGCCAATAACAAAAATACGACTCGTTTTAATTTCAGAATCATTAAATTTTGCAGTGGTGTATCCTGGAGCACGGTTACTTTGCCTTCGTCGTCTCTCTGATGAGGATATCATTTCAACCTTAATCAGATATGCTGTGAGCGGCCCCGTGTCTATTTTAAATGGGTAAATCTCAATAGTAATAGTTGATTCTGTGGTATTCTTCAGACTTGGAGCCGGAGGTTCCTCCGGCGTTCCTTGGTAGGTTCTTGCAAAACCTATCGCAGGATCACCCGTTCCTTCTGTGGTGCTGGCCGATACCTCGATCTTATACTGAGTGTAAACCAAAAGACCGCACTGCTCATGAGAGGTACCCTCATCAATAGGTTTTATTATGGTCTTTTCATCAACAATCGTGTTACCGTCAGAAGCTGAACAGACAATCTAGAGAAACAGCAAACAATCTAAACTCATGAACTGAAATTTCATATATACACTGCGTCAAAACAGTAAATAGCGGAAATAATCTAATGAGTACGAGGGGTGTTAGAAAAGTTCGCGGACAAGTTCTATTGTGAGCGCATTATTTCCACGAAACCGGTCAAACTTTCTTAACCTTTTTTCTAATAAATATACAAGAATTTGGTGCTCTCCGGTGATAATTGAAAAATATAGAGCTTTTTAATTTTGATAAAACTTGCTTCACGGAGCATCCTACATTTTGGCACGTTTACATCACAGAGACACTTTATTAAAATAAAAAATTGCACAATTGTAGCGCAAAAAAAATTATGATATTTTACCTGCGGCTAAAATATTCTTGAAACGTTACTTGGAGAAATTTTGAACTAAATTGGAGGATATATGACTGTTTTATAGCCGTTTATAAATGATCAACGCGTAAAAACACAGCCAAAAATCGGAACGTCATTGAACGTCATGGAGCACTGCACTAGGTAAAAATTATGTATGCAGACAGGAAAATGTCTAAAAAGAGTTAAAATGTTCAAATCGCTGTCGGGAATTTCCTACATATACAAAGGACAAAAGTTTTCAAATGGTTGGGGCTTTATAAAAATGGAAGGATTAATATTTTGAAGGATTAACTCCATCGATACTTCAATACCCCCTTATCGCATCCATGGACGTTGCGTTGTGCCAATATGGTTTTGCATAGTTTCCATACCTGATCGATTAACTGCATAGACTTTTTAAAGATCTCAGTAATATCCAAATCAGTACAAAAGATATCATAGTAGAAAATTAACTTATCTTGATATAGACATTCAATTTTAAAGTAGAAAAAAGATCAGAAAAATCTGAAGAATTGAAAATTTTTTAGAACTGTGACAAAGCTTAACGGGTTGAAATCTGGTTGTCACGTCGCCTTACGTCAAGTGATTGCTCCGTGAATCCCATGACCTTATATTAAAAATCGTTGTAAATTTTCAAGATTTTAGTATATGGACCTGATTTTTTACATACCAATTAACAAAATGTAGGAATTTATTCAGACATAGGTCATACTTCACAGTACACAATAGATTTTCTGTAATTCAATGTGTCCGCGAACTTTTCTAACAACCCTCGTATATTAAAAATTTATTTTTTTTAAAAAAATGACCTTTTGCATGCAAGAGAGATGGATCTCATGGTATACCTTGTAGCTATTAATTTTTCCTCCAAGAAAGCTTGGTGCAGTCCAGCTTATTTTCAAACACGTATCGTTCAGAGGGTTTACAATCAGGTTAGTGGGAGGGCCGGGGATTGCCTGTTTAGTCTGAGTCTGATTCACATCACTGTAATTTCCCCATAACCCCGGCTTAGTTCTAGCACGCACCTTTGAGTTAAAAAGAATATTTGCATATCATAACTTTCAAGATTTTCTTTCTTCATTACTGCTTATTTTAGACACAACTAACCTTTATGTAGTAGGTTGTGAAGGCGATGAGGGAACTAACGGTAACTGAGTTAACAGAACTGGTTTTGTGTGTGAAGTCCTTAAAGTCGAAAGTTGTACTGAATGACACTTCGTACTCTCGAATAATTCCGTTACTTGGGAGGGGTACTGTGTATGCGACTTCAATGTTGTTCACCCCCGGAGTAATGGTAGTGATAACTGGTGCGGCAGGTTCTAAAATGTGTTAAAAGGAAAAACTGGAAACTTTGCAATAAAATGAATCGAAAAAAGTACGTTTACAGTTGTTTTATCATTTTATCTACCTGCTTCGTCTGTGAAGGTTGGGAATTGTATCGAGGGTCCACTCCCCACACTGTTCTCATATGCCACGGCGAAGGTATAGTTACTATAGGGAGTTAAACCGCCTATGGTCACGCGAGGCCGTAAAACTGTTCCATTGTCCACTAGCTGTCCACCTCCAAGAGTACGGAGGATATACTGGTACCCCACTAGTTTACCCCCTCGTTGTTCGCACTCGGGAGGATCCCACTCCAGCGTCAGACTGGTGGCGTTAAAGCTAGTTTTTCTTGGGTTTTGGATACTTCCCCATGGTACTGAATTTCAAAATAGTAAAATCTTTAACGCCATGTCAATCTTTGTAGATACTTGGAATAATGAAGTAAAATGAAGTTCTAACATTATCTGTTACAAATACAGTGATTTAATGTCTACTTACATTCATCTCGCGTTGTGATGTTCCTAGAAATAGTTCGATCATTTTCTGTGGAGTTAAAATCAAACACTTCTATGACAGCTTTGACATTGTAGCGTCGGTTAGGCAAAAGTCCACTTAGTGTAAACGCACCTACTATTCCACCAGTTCTAAAGTATATTCGATAAATATTTCTTTGAGAAATTTAAAATAAAATTACAAAAGAGAGACAACTCAAACTAAAAATCAATATCTATAATGTGGAACCTCTCAAATTTTGATTTGAATTACATCGATGGGTGTTTCTTTGAGAAAATTATGAGAGAAAAAAAACGAAAGAGAGAAAATTCAATCTAAAAAGATCAATGACATCCATAATGTGGAATTTATCAATTTTTCGTTTAAGTTACCTCGTTATTTCATTAGTCAAATTGAGGTCCTTGCAGTCTCCTATACCGATTATCCCGTACGTGAGTGTGACGTCACCAAGGTTGTTACTGAAGTTTTTCCCAGCCCAGTTTACGGAAATGACATTATTTACCGAATTGTAGATAACTTCGAACTTTTCGAATAATGATCCTGTAAAAGGCCAAGTATCACTGACAGCAAACTTATTTGCATCAATGAACTGAACAAAACTAACAGGTATTTTAAAAATTATTCAAATAGTAGACGATATTTGCTAATTTTTTCCACAAAAATAAACCGTAGATCATTTATTTATTCATCAAAATATGTACACAAGCTGTCGGTTCTAAAACTCAATTTAATAATTTGAATTTTTATCTTTATTTCTCATTTTATTCAGTTATCAAAATTTTTAAGATAAAATTTTTACTCTCTTTTAAGGGATAACTTTGTCTTTGGTTTTTTAATGTTTTATCTTTTTTTCTTTGTTTTATCATGACTATAATTAATATTTTGGTTTTTTTTTGTAATTATTTTTTTTGGTTTGGTTCTTTGATTTTTTTTTTTTTATTATTATTTTTATTTATATAAGTGTATTTATTTCTGTGTTTTCTATACTGAATAAGGATGATCGACATACCCAAAAGTTATTAATAAATGTACAAAGAATATATTTTTTTGGAAAGAAAACTCACCTGGGGGAGGTGTGGGGGCAGGTGTCGGGGGCCTCAGTGTTGTGGTGGAAGGGACTGAAAAATAAACAAAAAATGTAACACAGTTGTAAGACTTTGTAATACTGGAAGAAAAATAAGTATTTGTAAACGTCTTTTTATTTAATGTGAATATATTTGTGAGTTCAACATTCAAATACAGAATCTGTCCATTGTATAGCGTCCGTCGGGTGTAGAGCAGTAAAAAAAAAAATAACATCTCTTAAGTATGATACATATATATGTATATGTATAAAAGATTTTTAAAAGTTTTTATTTAGTGATCCAGTCTGTATGCAAGTTCTGAAGGGTATTATTTGCAAAGAAAAGAAAGATGTCTGAGATTATAGTCTTCAACAAGAAGGATTTGACAATAACTTTAATAATTTTATAAGCATTGCGGTAAGTGAGATAGTACCGGTATTACCCAACCGATTCTTAACACTGCTCTCTTCTTCTCTGCGACAGAAACTTTGAATTATTTTTTTTAACTTTGAATTCGTTAATCAACTCGTTCATTTATTTATTTTTATTTATTTATTTATTTTTTACAAATTAAAAATAAAATTTTATTTCAGTTTTCAGTTATGAATCACTGGCTCCTATTTAAGAAGAGTAAAGATTTTTGTATTAATGTCATTCCAAATACAGACATTTTCCAGGACTTGGTACGAAAGTAAGTTTCTTTTCATAGCACAAAAGTATTTACCAATATGATGAAGAAGAAAAATTATTATTATTTAAGGATGTACAACACACCTACCCAAAAAAAATCCTGTCGTTTAATTTTCGTTATTTTTGTATATTTAGTACATGACTATATCTACTGCATGTATGCACATTTTGGACAAAATCGTTCGAGTGGTTTTTGGAAAGGAAATTCCAAAAGTTACCCCCCTTTAGCTGTTTATAAGGAGAGAAAATTTTTAATCAATGAACTTCTTAAACCTTGATTTTCAAAAAAGCCAGGTTAGATATAAATGTGAAATTTCATTGACTTATTCCTTAAACCATTTCACACAAAAACATAGTCATCTTTTTGATATAAATATCATCAAAACAATTTTTAAAGACCTTAAACTGAAAAACTATGAATAATCTAAGCCTTGAAAATTGTGTATTTTTCAAATTCAAAATTTTTTTGTGAAAAAACCTGTCGTTTAATTTTGGTAAAAAACTTTCTTTAGGTAGCTGGTAGTAAAAATAATCTTCATAATTTTTTGTATAATTTTTGTACGACCAGTTTTGATTAAATAGCGGAAAATTACCCCCTCCCCCTTTCTCAATAAATCACGTTCCCGCGCGTCTTTCAGACGGGGGTCGATCACTATGAATCTACAAATACACATTTTTAAACCAGAAGTCTCTGTCGAGACTGTAGCTCTACTGGTATGTACTTATCAAAAACCATTGCACTATTTTATGTATCTTTGTGTAGTCTACTTGTGTGCCAACTTATTTTGAAATCAAACTAGAACTGTAGAAGGAGTAGCGTTTTATAGGAATTTCACAGAAAATTCTATTTTTAGTAACCATGGCAACACCGTTCATCGAAATTAGAAACCGATGCACTATTCTATGTATCTTAGGGTAGTCTACTTGTGTGCCAAGTTATACTGAAATCAGACCAAAACTGTAGAAGGAATAGCGTTTTTAAAGAATTTCACAGAAAATTCTATTTTTAGTAACCATGGCAACATCCTTCATCGAAATTAGAAACCGATGCACTATTCTATGTATCTTAGTATAGTCTACTTGTGTGCCAAGTTATATTGAAATCAGACCAAAACTGTAGAAGAAGTAGCGTTTTTAAGGAATTTCACAGAAAATTCTATTTTTAGTAACCATGGCAACATCCTTCATCGAAATTAAAAACCGATGCATTATTCTATGTATCTTAGTGTAGTCTACTTGTGTGCCAAGTTATATTGAAATCAAACTAGAACTGTAGAAGGAGTAGCGTTTTTAAGGAATTTCACAGAAAATTCTATTTATAGTAACCATGGCAACACCGTTCATCGAAATTAAAAACCGATGCACTATTCTATGTATCTTAGTGTAGCCTACTTGTGTGCCAAGTTATATTGAAATCAGACCAAAACTGTAGAAGGAGTAGCGTTTTAAAGGAATTTCACAGAAAATTCTATTTTTAGTAACCATGGCAACACCGTTCATCGAAATCAAAAACCGATGCACTATTTTATGTATCTTAGTGTAGTCTACTTGTGTGCCAAGTTATATTGAAATCAGACCAAAACTGTGGAAGAAGTAGCGTTTTAAAGGAATTTCACAGAAAATTCTATTTTTAGTAACCATGGCAACACCGTTCATCGAAATCAAAAACAGATGCACTATTCTATGTATCTTAGTGTAGTCTACTTGTGTGCCAAGTTATATTGAAATCAGACCAAAACTGTGGAAGGAGTAGCGTTTTAAAGGAATTTCACAAAAAATTCTATTTTTAGTAACCATGGCAACACCGTTCATCAAAATTAAAAACCCATGCACTATTCTATGTATCTTAGTGTAGTCTACTTGTGTGCCAAGTTATATTGAAATCAGACTAAAATTGTAGGAGGAGTAGCGTTTTGAAAAATTGTTTACAGACAGACGGACAGACAGACGGACAGACAGACAGACAGACAGACGGACGGACGCCGGACGCATTACTATCGCATAAGCTCTTCTGGTCTCTGACCAGTAGAGCTAAAAATCAAATTGGAATATTGCTTTTGCTTCAAAAATATATTAACTTAGAAATTTAAAAGTTCTCATACGTAAAGCGTATTAAATGTAGATTTTTAGGCAACTTTTGAATACCTCTACCACCCCATCCCTTCCTTTTTTGCGTCGCAGACCATTAGCGTTTGACGAAACGTCATTTACAGTGCAAATAGATCTATACTAGTATTTCGTCATTTGAATCCCGGAGGTAAGCATTAGCTTTTAAATTCATGAATGCAGAATAAATATTGACTACTGTTTTTATTTGTATCAGGAAAAAAAAACTGAAAGAATTTAGTGTTTAGTTCATATATGGATGCGTTATGCATTCCATATCACATGAAACCTGGATACGAATTCAAGTTATGTTGAACTTGAATATGTTAATTTTAATTTTTATTTCTTTAATTTTATTTATTTAAAAAATGGTGTATGTTCAACTCTCCTGTGATATAAATGGAATATTTGTAGTTTCTTTCATGTCATGATTTCAAACGAGACAGTATTTGGCCGTGGGGATACATCGACATTTGCATAGATGTACACCCCTCATAATATTACGCATTCTTTCAATGTCGTTGCTTCTAAAGTTAAAACGAAAATTCCGTATTCGTCCACATTAACTTCAAAAATATCAAACATTAAACTCTTCATCTATTTAAATTTATATCAAATTGCACATTGATATTTTTTAAAAATCTTATACCTGGTATATGCTACGTTTTGTTTTGATTCGAGGAAATGCGAACCGGCATTGTTGACAGTGTTAGAAAGTCAAACGATTTGCTGCAATAGGATATTCATTAATGCAGATAATTTCGGAGCTAGTGAACAATTCTTTTCAATTCTATACTTACATTGCGTATAGGAGGTCTATAGTATTCAATTCTGGGATGTATCAGGTCTTGCTGTAAATGTATCTGATTCTGTGGAAAACCGTGAATAAAGGGAGGAAAATAAACATCTCCTATATTTTCAGAGTTGTTCCTCTTTGATCAGTAAGAGTATGAGGACAACATCGATTTTACATTGTAAAAAAGTTTTTTGTTTGTTTATTGTTGTTTTATTTAATTAAAGAAGAAAAAAAAACAATATTATTTATATCGTAAATGCACAAATTGTAATAAAGACCATTAATCGGAATGTTATATAGCCAATTGTACATAATGAGAATTTCGGCAAAGTAAAATAAAATTTTCAGAATAAAAAAAATGCTGCGCTTTGATCAAGAATACAATTTATTGTATATAAAATGAAATGAAATAAACATTAAGGGATGGTATTTTATGTCTCGCTTTTTACATAGTTTAATCGGGTTAATTTAAAAAATACTTATTGATTGAGTATGGTACGCTAATCACAGCCAAGCTCCATATCCCATTTTTGTTTTATGATTGATATTCATCGGGATCGTTTTACTCGTCATTTTGACGCTTTATTTTGGACGTTAAAGTTGACGTCACGTCAAACGTTCAATTGAAATCGCAAGAGTTATCTCCCCCAGTGTGTTGTACGTCTTTAATTGTTGATTCTGTTTCTTGAGAACATGTATCATAAAGTAATTGTATAGTACAGTTTTGTGACATAATATGTAGAAAGTGTGTTTTAGTCAAGCAGAGATAAGCCGCGAGTCGAAAGTCACATTAGATTGTATATAAATTAGTATATGTTGTCAATTTATATACATTGTACTAGTAGATATATATATTTCAGACGTGTACAAAGTTCTTCCTATACATGCTTATAACAGGTACATGTATATATGTGTTTGGATAACTTACCAGAGGTAGTTTCTACTGTGTGAATAATGACCAAAGGAAATTATATACTTTTTAATTCACATAAAAGGTATTGTGACGGCCGAATCTGGAACCTTGTTTCAAATGAAATTCAGGCTACAAGATGTTTACCAATTTTCTCAATTCTAAAGGAAATCGGTTACATTTGAGCAACTTTTTTCTATAGGAAAAGCAAATCACAAGCTCTTCTACATATATCAGAGAATTTCTTGATAAACAAAACTTTAACTATTTTTGAAAGGTAATGAAAACAGATTTTGATTAATAAGAACAATAACAACGTTTTAAGAGACGCATAATAGCCTTAAAGACATTTAGAAACCTTTTTTGTCCCTTTCTGTAAAATAACATCGTATTTTTTCGGTTAACTTACTTATACACGTTGTAGGGAAGAACTGACTCGGAAACCCCGGAGCCACGTCTGTCATTAATTTTCCATCTTCGTCACTCATAACGAGGGTGACCCGGAAGCTATACAGAGAATCCACATCGAGGCCAGAAAAGGTCTCCGAAATACTGGCCGAAGGCAAACTTCTGTAACTTTTTACCAAAGTCCAACTACCCGAAGAGTTAAATTCACGAACTTCCAGTCTGAAACGATGATTTCAATATCACCTGCATTGTTATTTTGAAACATTGAATATGTGGGACAACTGCACTTTACCGGTACGTCCAAATAACATGGAAATAGCACGTGCTCTTTCTCTATAAGAGAGTCACGCGTCAGCGTGACGATTTCGCTAAAAAGGCAATAAAATGCAAAAATAACCTTTTTTTTGAATTCCTCGTCATTTTTCATGTTAATAAACTTCGTTTAATTAACGAAGTTATTAATTAAAACTAAAAGCACTTTCAAAACAAACCTTTGGCTTTCATTTTGTCGGCCACATTCCAAAGTCGTGACGTTGTTTAGCACGTAACTTATTTCAGTGCTGTGATTGGTCAGGGTAGGTGACGTGAACTAGAAAGTTTGACTTCCACTCTATTTGATTGTAAACAGTGATTCATCATGCACCTTATTTAAGATGATTTGTGTTGTGTTTTCTATGAATGGATATTTTTAATTGACTGACTGCAACATTCTAGAATTTTTGGAAATTTTAGCGATAAATGTGATCATTATAGTTTATGGAAATGTTGAATAAGTGGAGGGGCAAAACTTGTAAACATGCAGTGAGGACGGTCTTGTTTCGAGAAACAGCAATCGGCAGTATAAGAAAAATGAAACGTAAGAGACAGATCTTAGATTTCTGGAAACAGAGCTGCAGTAAATCCTGGATTTACGAACTAGAATTTATCTATTTCAATTTGCAAAACACTGGATACTTTACAATCATTGAGACCACATGGAATGCAGTTATAAAGGAAATCTCTACTAAAACAAGAATGCACTAGGATAGTAGCTATAATTAAAAATTGACGTTTATCTCCATCATCACCCATAAAAACGTATTTACAACTCATCAAAAAAAAAAACACAATGGTTCTACATGTATAGTGACACGTACGTATGGCCCCGAGTCTTAACGCAGATTTATCTAACGACTAAGGTAAGTTTGTTTTATTTATTTTTTATTGGGGGCTGCCGCCCCCAAACCCCCGCTTAAAAAAGCGAAAACCCATTTAGATATCGCTTCGAGAGTTTCTTACACAACAAAATGGCGTCGTCCATCATAGTTGATACGTTGCTAAGTTTTTACGCCGCGCACTCTCACGCGCGGATCTAGAATCAAAATGGCGGCCGTACCGGTAAAGTGCATTCTATCCGAATATGTTGTAGTTTTAGTTAATATTTCACGTTTATACATTAGCTAATAATTTTTTAAATGAATTTCAATACTTTATCATTGGAAGCGTACATACCTGTACTCTCCCACGGGACCATCCCCTATGTCAAGGTCCTTCACCCACTCGTGGAAGGTCACGGTCATATTGCCACATACATTGTCACTAATCTCAGGGGGGTCTCTTAATTTCGGACGCACTGAAAAGATTCAGAGGATATCAAGAGGATATATACATTTTTACGATTCTTTAATTTGATTCTGATCCATTTGAAATTTCTGTTTAATTTTTTTTAACTATGAAACTTCTCAATGAATGATGCAGGAACTTCATTTCACAAAAATATAATACCAATTCAGTTGGATATTAAAATGATTAAAATGATTCTGATGTAGACTTACATTTCTGACATCCGGAACCGGTGTATTCCGGGTGACATTTTCCGGAAGAACAGAGTCCGTTGATGTTACTACAGGTGTCATTCACGGGGCAGTGACATTCATACACGCAGTTCTTACCATAAAAATTTGGTTTACAGGCTTCAAAAGTAACAAAATAAAAATTATGACTTTTGGGCTAATATTTTTAAAACAATCAACAAAATAAATCAGATTCCTTCTTGCCTTAGCTTGTGGCGAATTAAAATCAATTTTTACATTAGATAAACTAAACTCTAATTTACATACGCGTTTGACAGAAGGGCACGCCTGACCAGCCCCATTCACAGATGAAGGAATTACAGAATCCGTCTGTTTTTCTGCAGTCTTCTACTCCTTTTAAACAATGACAAGTACCCGTACAATTCACTCCGAATTTTCCATCCTCACAACCTGTTAAAATGAAATAAAGCAATTATATATATTTTTTTTCATATATTGAATTTGAAGTTCGTAGTTGTGTACTCATCGTTACTGATTGCTCCTTTATTATTCATATAACTTAGTGAAAATTTAAAGGAATATTTAAATACGATGTATTTGAAGTGAAAATGTGGAAAATAAACTACATATAGGTATATTTAAGGAATCACTGTCTAGTTAGTATAGTATGCCACTGCATCAACAATATAGTGGGAAACATGGGATAATTTGCATAACGGGCGAAGCCCGTTATGCATAAATTATCCCATGTTTCCCACTATTGTTGATGTCCGGGGCATACTATACTAACTAGACAGTGATAGTTAGTATAGTATGCCACTGCATCAACAATATAGTGGGAAACATGGAATAATTTGCATAACGGGCGAAGCCCGTTATGCATAAATTATCCCATTTTTCCCACTATTGTTGATGTCCCTGGCATACTATACTAACTAGACAGTGATTCCTTATATTTCCATTTCATTGTGAAATAAATTGTAGATTTAGACTTTAAAAATGCAGACATAGATTTAAATTACACGAGGATTCCCATCCCAATTTCAATAGTCCTCGCCCACTGACGTCAAGCACAACGGCAGCCGCACGAGATTTTCATGCATATTTGGCCTCCTTAACGTCAGACTCAGAGACAGATGCACACGAGATTTGCATGCATATTAGGCCTCCTTAGCTCCTGACCTATGGACCTGCCTAATTTACATTTCGATAGAATTATCAAGAAATTAACTCCGCTAACTTTCAAAGAGTTATCACAGAGAGAAAAATTAGAAATGGAAATATTTAAATAATGCAGTCGTATCTATTTTTTAAACGGAATGCTCGTTCGATGGATCATTTGAAATCTTTTCAAACGAATGTACATGTACGAGGGTTGTCCCAGAAAAACGCGAACTTTTTGGATATTCTAAATACATGTACTATTCAACCAAAACTAATAATTTTTTGCATGCTGTTGGAAAATCATCTTTTTGATATTTTGACAATGTATTATAGGCCTGTGATGTCATATGCGTATAAAAACCGCATTTAAAGAATGTTAAATATCGGTGGTCGGAGCACGACAATTTTTTTTACTTTTACAAATAGCATTGTCAATGGAGGTTTCTTTGTTATCAATCTATACGACAATTTAATGTCAAAGAATTTAACTACATAAATACTCTATAATGTGGTGTAACCATGTTTAAAAAAATCATTTATTTGACATCATTAATGACAAATATATGACGATATGTGCCATGCACTTTTAATTAGACATTGTCAAAAATCGTAACATTAAGCGGTAATGTGGAGCACCAAATTATCAAGCAACACTATTTTGAGCGGGATATGACTCCTCTTCATAGGAAAAAGGATATTAACGATGAAAAAGCAGAAGCATAAGTATGCGAAAAAAGTTTATCTCCATTTGAAGGGGTTTGAGGTTGACTTGACTGGTTATCCGATAGAAGAGAATTAATAGACCATTTAGATAAAGAACTGAAAAAAGAAGAGCGGGACGTCAACGTCATAGGCCCTACGTAAAGACCGCTGTTAAACAATTCGACCATCGGAATTGTGATATTGTTATTAAAAGAATTAACTCCGCAATATTTGTTAACATTAGTATATAAGATAAATAACTTGGTAGCTAAAACAAAATAAAAAAACAGAGCCGAATTTATGCTTAAATGACTTTTTTCGAGGCGGTTTTTCCAGAACAAATTCACAAACACTACGAGATACGTTTTGACGTCGTCAATGTTGCGCCGACAGGTGATAAGATAGATTCGTGTAATTGAGAGAAAAAATATTTATTTATAGAGATATTTCTTTGAAATTTTTAGGCATATCATCATGATGTATGCCAATTTTTAACTTTGTAGTCCTAGTGAAACGAGAGATATTGAAAATGTTCGCGTTTTTCTGGGACAGCCCTCGTATGATAAATTTACCATTAATAATATATTTTTTTGAAGTCCAACAGTCCCAATGGCTCACATGAAATGGGTATATTTGGAAGGAGGTCTAGAGCATTAGTTAAATTTTCTCGAAAAGAAGATTATCTTTAAAAGTGTACCTCTACATATCCCAGCTACAGGATAAAATCCAGCTGCACACGTGTCGCAGTTCTCAGGACCAGCTCCTGTACATCGATCACAAGCAACATTGCAACCTGGTAAAATTAAAAAAAAATAATTTTGTTACAAAAACATCAATTCTAATGCTTTAGGCATTGTTATATAAAATATGCACAAGAAAACATTTTATTTTATGTAGATTGTATAAAACAAGTTGTAATGAAAATTACTTGACAATATTTATACATAATTTTTTTTTTCTACCTCTGCATGTTGTGCCAGCTTTGAAGAACTGGTCAGCACAATTGACGCATGCGTCTGGCCCGGGCCCCGTACATCCGTTACAAGCAACATTACAAGCTGGAAAACAGAACATCTTCATTTTGATTACAATTTTTGAAGTTTAACAATTTTGTTTAAATTCAATTTTTGTTTGTTTGTTTTTTTATTATTTTGTTAGATAATTGTTACATTAATTATATTTGTTAGTTTGTATTTGTTGTAGCTATTAGTTTAAAATTTGGTTGTTTGAGATTTTAAATGATTTTTTAAATTTCATTTTTTTTAAATTGATGCTGATTTTGTTTCTTCTATTTATTATTAATTTCACTGTTTTATCAGGTTTCTTTATTTTGCAAAAAACTGTAAGAAATTTTTACGTTTGTTTTATTTTGAATTTTATATTAGATGTAATCAAGAAAAGCTTATTAAACTGAATCATACCGAAAATAAAAATCCAACAAGAATAATCTGTACCGAAACTTTCACTAACTTAAAAAATAAAAGACGACCGCGCTTATAAATATTCCTTCTTTTTATATCCTCATTCGAACATACATTATTGAAATCTATTTGAATAAAAATTTGTTGGCATCTCTTCAAATGTTTACAACCTCTCAATAATTCACCAACTTTATGATGACTAACGTGTGCATAAACAGGGAACAGGCGTTTTATGGCTATTTTCAGTGCATATTTGGGTGTATTATCCCCGTGAACACAAATACACAAACTTTTATAACTTTGGTCAATCTCCCCTCATAATTCAGGTAATATAAGTGAATTTACTCGGAGCTTTGTGGTGTAAGTAAACACATTGAATACACACCTAGACAGGTGGGCCCTCCGCCCTCCGTGCTGTTTCCGCAATATTCCGACGCTTGACATCTGGGGAAACACGTCTGCGAGGCTATAAATTAAAATCATATATTAATTAATACATGTAAATCACCTTAAATGTCTTAGATACAGTGTACTCCGTCGTCTTTGGGGTACAAATAATGAGCTCATTTATTATAAAGTTGCTTTCCAAGGAAAGAAAGGAAAAAAGGAAAAATTTCTAAACCTGAATCCTATTTGGGGTTGGGGGTTGGAAGGGGGGGGGTGTCAAACATCTTTTAATACCAAATTTTATTCATACACTACTTCATTACCCTTATTTGACTATATTGCAACAAAAAGTGTTTTTGGGGGGGGGGGGCAGCGGCCATTCAATGTCTCAACGAACAATTTCAATTGTAAAAGTAGAGGAGAGAAGCCCACCCCTCCCCCCGATCGATGCTACCTGCCTGTAGTAATTGTTTGATAATTTTTAAAGAATCCCCAGCTGATCAAAATTAGAACTGTGATCCGCACACGTCATCCTCAGAAGATTAGGAATCTCGTTTTTCAGTTACACATTTTGAATATTATAAACTGAAACTAGGGTTCAGTGACAAATATTTTACTGTATCATTCTTTTTTTTTTCTTTCCGTGGTTAAAACAATGATATAAAAAAAATAACGTGATTAATAGGTTATTAATCTAATGGTTGTTAACATATTTTTAAACGATATGTAATTTTTTCGAGTTCATTGTACACAGTTAAAGAGAACTAGAGGAAACTGAAATCTGACTGAATAAAATTAATAATTTAAAATTATTTATACATTGTGATAATAAAATACAGATTTTTCCACTTGTTTTCTAAAAAAATCGAAAATAAATTTTCTTTATTCAACTTTTCTCATTGAGGTTTTAAATCACTGTGATTTTCCTGGTGTTTTAATTATTCATTCATTTCACAAATTAAAAACGTTTTAAAAACCAAATTGAATCAATCCATACAAGAGGAGAATGTAAATCAGCTTACATTTCACTGTTAGAGTTGAATTATGATAAAAAGCCAAAAATCTATGAATATTTTGATTTTTTGTTTTACATACACCCCTTCCTGTGAAAACGATAACGCCTGAAAAATGCACCCAAACATTTTTAAAAATCGACTAATTTTGGGCTTGGACCAATCAAAATTGGGGAATGAGATTTTTTTAAAGAAAAAAAATGTCTTTTCGTTGAGTCCATATCAAATGACCAACGATGAAACCCACAAATTGATTTATTCATTTTTTTTTTTAAAAAGGCATCATTATTTTGTTTGTCGATCGCAATATGCAAGAAATATACGAACTCATTTGTTTTCACAAACAGGATAAACTGGATTAAGAAAATGAGAAAGCTAACTTCCTTTTTTTCAAATTTAAAGTAGATTTAGATTTGTATGGTTCCATTTTTTATCTACTTTGATCTACTACTTTAAAATTTCCTTATTAAATGTACTTTAAATTAACTTCTTCCACTTTAAACATTTCCCAATTTTTAAGTTGAAAAAAAAATTAAAATTGGAATTAAGGACGTTCGATCCTGTGCTTTTGATTCGATTTTGGTCTAGACCTTTATTTCTAAAATTCTGCATCGTTTTTTAAGTTTTGGCGTTGAATTTAGATTCTACAATGCAAAATAAACTATATCCATTGAAAAAACCGCAATTAAATTCCATTCACGTAGGGTTCAGCCAGGGACTATATTTTGTGGCGGAAGGTTTTTTAGAAGAAAATTATCAATTTATCCCTTTTGAACTTTATACAGTACTGTTAATTTTAGATTCCTATTTTTCCGTGCTGGTTGCACACAAAGCTGTTTTTGCATTGAATTGTGTTATGCGTGTTCTGAAATATCTATTAAATTTTTTCTCATGAATTCTTTCGACGAATTGTGACAAATATAGTAAATATATTCTGAAAGTCCGGGAAAAAATTGAGCTAATTTTATAAGAAAATTGACAAACTTTTCGTAATATCTAAAAATTTACATCATATACCCTCACTTTTCATGTTCTTTACTGAATATTTAAGATAACTTTGACCTATCTTCTGAAATTCAGCAAAAGTTTAAGACCTTAAAATAATTTTCTTGCTTATCAAATTTTTAATTAAAGAAAAATCCCATTTTGTGAGTGCAGAAAGGTCAAATAATTGATTATGCGTAGCAGTTTGAAACTTTTTCTTTGTCACAATTTTAAAGTGTCTTTTTAAAAATAGACTTATAGTTTATTTTGTTCCATGCTTTATTTGGATAAAAATATTAGAGGGAAAACGTTGAAGATGTAATTTTTTATTACGACATAGATTTCAGTGCAAAAAGGTCATATTTAATGTACTGTAGCTCCAAAAGAAGCATATTGACCCCCATATTTTGATTTGATTTTTAATTAAGCTATGTGTGTAGAAACTAAAAATATACTTGACAAAAAAAGTTTAAGACTTTAAATATCAGGATCGAACGTCTTTAAGAAGGAAAGCGATCATTTATAGAAATAAAATAAAAAAAAATTACCTGCATGTGGCAGAAAAACAACTAGGATGATGAAGCAAGTTAAAAGGAAGGCAGAATGTGGCATTTCTTCTTCTTTGACATACCTACTGGACCTTAGAAAGAGATTATAAGGTATAAATACCGGACTATACACAATCGAGAAATATTTAAAACCTAATTTGCGCACTTCAAATTATTGGCATTTAATCAGTCTGATGAGTAATGCACTAATGACGGGTATATTTCTTATCTTTTTTTTTCTCTGCGTCTAATCTAAATGGAAAAAATTAATGTCTATATATCTATATCTGTGCACAAATACTGGCGCGTGAATTGGCCGGATTTAAAATCCATGTTTACGGTTTAATATAAAGTTTTCTCAAGGAACGTAAACAAGTTTTCGCCTGAAAACTTGTGTCAACATGCTCGTTTGGTTGTTCACCTATGTGTATTAAAACTCTGTACATGCATTTTCCATCTTCTTGCTGCATTTCCGTGAAAAAAATCGATGATACTTAAAATTTCCCTTTAGTACATAGTCTGCGTAATAAACAACTAACACTTACCTTTATTTCATTGCGTAACAAGTCAACTGATTATTTTAAAAATATTTTTTCTAACGTGCACACGGGGGCAGCCATATTTTTGTCACGACCTTTTGTTTACATGCGTTACTAAGGAAATCTACAACGCTACGGAGGTGCGTGCTTACCTGCGGACTTTGTGAATCTTCCTAATTTTGCGTCTCCGAAAATATTTCCACTATGTAACTTATTGATTACAGTGTTGTGGGCATTTAAAGGTTGACATTTCCATTGCGCATGTGTGAAAAGCACAGAATGCAGTCATTATTTCACTAAAGATTAATCAATAATTTATCTGAAGATGTTATCAATGACAATGTTGAGGATATTGACAATCTTGGTATAGCACGATAATGAATCGAAGAGTCACGACCTGAAAATTCAGAATTACAAATAATATCTAGTGCCATGACCACTGTGATCATTGTAGCAGAAATCAATTAAAAATTACGCTTATATTTTTCCATTTGGCGAGTATATTATAGAAAGTGCGCATTTAAAATAAAACATTTTAATAATATATTTTTCCCTCAATACTAAATTAAACGTTTTATGAAGTGCTTTTTCATTGTTGTGTTTTTAGTTGTAAATGGTCATTGCTGTTATTTTTCACAGGTATTAATACACTGCATTGATTCATAGTCATTTTTGGAGACAATAAATCTATTTGTCAGTGATGATGACTCGTACTTTCATTTTAACTATTGTCAAACTCTACAAGAATATTACACATTTATGTGAATATTTATATATAAAAAGAGAAATTTTGTTAAAGCTAAATTTATATAGTCATGCTTAAAAATGATTCGTCGCCAAATTTTTTTTATCAATTTAAAATCGGGCTCGGTAATAAGTTCGGGATGTCGCGCGATGTTGTTTATGTCCGTTACTAAGGTATTAGAATGTGAAAGTAGACGCCTTTTTGACTCATCTCACATTTTATAACATTATTTTGAAGTTTTATACATGTAGAAGGACATTTAAAATCCTTCAAAATAAATATTTAATGGAGTTGGAAATGCTACAGTTTAATAAACTGCGCATGTGTGAATGTTGACAGTCTTAGAATGTAGACCTAACCATCCTTATTGCACTCAGTAATAACGATCGATGTCCAAATGACTTTATGATTTTGTCACCACATGACCATGAAGACTCCAGGAACGATTTTAATTTTGCTTGTTCTTGTTTTTCCCGTGATTACAGGTAAGAATTTCATTTTCTAAATACAGGAAACAAGAATATACACGTTCTATGATTTGTTTACAAATAAAAAAATTGGTTTGATTTTTGTCATTTCAGGTCAACATTACAAAATTAATCTTTTGATCGATATGAACTTTGTATTGTTCTCTCTCTCTCTCTCTCTCTCTCTCTCTCTCTCTCTCTCTCTCTCTCTCTCTCTCTCTCTCTCTCTCTCTCTCTCTCTCTCTCTCTCTCTCTCTCTCTCTCTCTCTCTCTCTCTCTCTCTGTTATTATTATTATTAAATATTATTATTATATATATTATTCAAATCTATTTTTTTAATATAATTATTTATATTATTTACATATAAAGGACAGGGTATTTCGGTACGATTCAGTGGTACCGGGGCGACAGCTAATCAGGGTAGAGTAGAGGTGCTCTATAATGGTACCTGGGGGACGGTGTGCGATGATCAGTTTGACACGGCGGACGCTGGGGTTATATGTAGGATGCAGGGATTCAAGTAAGAATCGTTTTTTTTTCTTTTTGTATGTTATGAATTATAAATGATCTAAATATTCAGGAAAAAAATTCTCACTTTTTATATATTTTACATGTATTTTCATGATACTACCCTCCCTATCCCCACCCAATTCTCCACCCCTTCCTCGGATCACACAAACTCCATTCCACAAAACAAGTTTCCAAATCTCTCAGTTTATCATGCCTGGCAAATTATAATCCCCCCCCCCATGGGTGGAAGAAATTTTTAAAGACATAATTACCGGAGCAGTAATTTATAATTTATGAAGAATGCATTGAGCTCTATGAGGAGAAGCAAATTTTGGAAAATAAAAATAGGACACACACATATAAGTACATTATGTCTAAATATATATCAAAATATATAACTCTTATGCATTCCAAGGTTATATATATCGATAACTTAACATTCAATTTATTAACTCTTGGAACCCTATGACATATCAACCAAAAAGTTCAAACCATGACAAAGCTTCATGGTTTGATCTTGGTTAATATCAAGTATTGATTTTGAGTATGAGCGCCTTCATATAATAGTATGTACTTTACAATAAAAAGATGATAAGGGCAATTACGTCTTCTATATGTCATGTATCTTTTCTTATACACATTGTAAATGATCACAATAAAAATCTATTTTTTTAAGTATAGATAATAAATGATTATAACTTGAGAAAGTACCTAAAAACTGCATACCGGTATATGATGCTTTAATTTTGCTGTCTAAATTAGCAAAAAAGGATTCAGTTTTTCTTATATTAAAACAACATTTGAAGGATAAAATAAAATACAAATTTTCAATATGATTTTTAAAGTGAGGGAGGAACAGCCATAACTAACGGGACATTTGGCGCGGGAACAGGCCGGATATGGATGGATGACGTAAACTGTGACGGCACAGAGCAATCTATAGACCAGTGTCAGTTTTCAGGATGGGGCAACACCAACTGTGGTCACAATGAGGACGTGGGGGTCCACTGCCGTACCTCAGGTGTGACCGCAGCCCCAACAGGGTCACCGACGACCCGCGCTCCTGCTACCATCCAGCCTAACAACTGTACAGCAAGTAAGTAAAAAATCCAACAACCGTAAAGCAAGTAAGTCACAAACCCAACAATGGCAAACATGCTACAGTAAGTAAGTTATAAACTGGCAACAATGTTACAGCAAGTAAGTCACAAACTAGTAACAACTGTACCGCAAGTAAGTTACAAACCGACAACAAATGTACAGCTAGTAAGTCACAAACTAGAAACTGTACGGCTAGTACATGTAACTCACTAACTTGCAACGACTTAACGACAAGTCAGTCACAAACCAACAATTGTACAGCAAGTAAGTTACAATCCAACAGCTGTACAGCCAGTACGTCACAATCCAACAACTGTACAACTACTACGTCACAAACCAACAACTGTACAGCTAGTAATCACAAACTTAACAACTGTACAGCTAGTACATGTAGGTCACAAACTTAACAATTGAAGAAGTAAAAACCCAATAGCCGTACACTTAGTTAGTTACAAACTAACAATTGTATAGTCAGTTAGTCAAAAACCAACTACTGTACAGTCAGTTAGTAAAAAACCAACTACTGTACAGTCAGTTAGTTATAGAAATTAACTGTACACCAACAAAGTCCAAAAACTGTACAGCAGATGTCACCAATCAGCGGATGTAAAGTAAGTTAATAAATTAAAAACCCCTCAATCGTACAGCAAGAAAGTCATTTATATCAATATATAATTAAAAAACAACAATTGTATAGCAAATAAATCACAGGTACATATCCAAAAGCTGTACAATTAATGATACAAAATCAGCAACTAATAAGATAATCAGACTAGTCACAATCTTTATAGCAACTGTACAGCAAGTGTACAATAAGTTAAACACAACACAGAGAACTTTACATGACATCAAACATAAGCTCAACAATTGTACAGAAAAAAACTTAAAAGGTCAACAACTTGCCTCAAGTAAAACAAAAAAGCAAATAAAAAAAACACTAAAGCAAAAACAGCAAAATAGTCACTGTGACAATCCTTACAACTGTACAGTAGGGAACTTCAAAGTCAAAAACATACAAAACATTATGAAATAATTCATGCACATAGTATAATATTATTTTAATGTTATTCAGCCTTGAAAATAACCAAAATAAATCAAAAGCGAAAATTAAAAGCTGCTTTCAGGTGCAAATGTCTGACAACATAATGATACTGTAGATCACTAAATTTTCGCGACACTTTTTTTTCGCCATATAGTCATTGATTCTTCTAGCTGCAGAACTGTAACTCTCCGAAAAATATAATTATATTGACAGACCGGAGAGCTGCAGTGCCACCCATTGAAAAAACTGTACATTTATTGCGCGCAAAAAAGTGCGCTGTTCCTTGATTTATTTCTCCGTCCCTCAAAAAGTCAAAATATTACTAACCGTTTGTTCCTAACATATTCATCCACTGTTTCCACAACAAAACATTCCTTTAAACCGTTGTTAGTAGCCCTTCTGGGCCTGAAATTGAGATCATCTAAAATTTCCAGTTATTTCAATGGGTGGCACTGTAGCTCTCCGGTCTGTCAATATGTATTTTTCGGAGAGCTACAGTTCTGCAGCTATGATTCCTCATTAGCGAACGAGACAAGTTATGGTCATTGCTCTATTTAATCTTAAGGAATGCTATCATACGCAAGAATGGTATTTTCGCGGGCGTAACGCGAAAATAAAGTTCTGACAAATAAATTGTACGCATTGCCGGTAAAAACATTTAAATTGATTTCTATTTAAGCCATTATATTTCATTACAGCTACTGCTCCAACCGCCCCTCAGAATTGGGACGTGCGAATTGTGGGCCCCACAGACCAGCGAGGACTCGGGTTCGTGGAGGTTTACCTGAACAATCAATGGAATGCTATCTGTGACGACCGCTGGGGCAGATCCGACGCCCAGGTCATATGCAGAATGCTTTGTTTTGAGTAATTATATTAAGTACATTTCAAAAACATTTCTCTGATTTTTTTATTTATTTATTTTTGTGTATATGTATTCTTTTTCTAATTTTTTTTTTTTAAGTTTTTGAATGAAAAATACTGAAATTAACGTATTGATATGCAATTGTATTTTTAAAAAGTTTTTAAAATTGATATTCATGAAACAAACGATTGCACAAGTGAATCATCAACAATAAATATACAAAATGTTGATTAAAAATATTTGGGTAGTATATATATAACAATTTAAAGTCTACTTTCAATCCATCTTAATTGTGGTTTGCTATCAAAGCGGATAGATGTGAAGAAATGATCTATTGTTCTTTCCTACGTGAAAGCTTTTATTCATGTCGGTATGACAGGTACTTGTGGACAGGACCCCCCCCCCCTATAAACACCCCTGGTCAAAATATTTTTTTTTCTTTTTTTGTCATGAATTTTGTTTCTAGTACTTATTTACAGCGTATTCCGTATGAAAAATCCAGAAAATAACATAGATTTAACGATTTACTAAAAAAGTCATACCTGGGTATTTTGAAATACTCTATTTTATAATATCAGGGTATGACCAGGATATTTTGACCATGGGAGTATATATGGGGGGTGTGTCCTGTCCACAAGTACATGTACCTGTGGTCGGTATACAGTTGTAATGTAAACTTTGATAATATTGGTACCTGTACCATGGAACGGACTATATTTAAGTATTTCTTTCTTATTTTGAATTTCAGTCCCGTGGACGCTCGAGCGGGTTCTCCGATTGAAATTAACTATGTCCGTCAGAACGTCAGCTCCACATACGCTTTGGATGACGTAGAATGCCAAGGTAACGAGAACAGTATACGAGATTGTACCTCCACGACTGGGGCAGCCATTGATTGCAGCGGGCGAGATGAGTATGCCAGCGTAGCCTGTACAATACTGGACAATTCACCGCCAATTCGTAAGAAAATAGTCCTTCTTCTATGTACAAATCTTATTGTTTCTCTATCCTGTTCTTTGTCTTTCATTGGTTTGAATTCATATTAAACTACGATGATAAAGAAAGTCAAGAGTGTTCGAAGTTTCATCGCTTTAAAAGTCATTTAGTATGAAAAGTCAGGAGTGTTCGAAACTTTTCTTTAAAAAGTTATTTTTTATGATTACAGCCCCAATTCCAACCTTGGAATGTGCTAATGGACAGATCAAGGCTTTATTCAGTCTTCAGAATGATAAGAACTTGGAAGAAAAGTTTCTTACAATTTTCAACCAAACCACTGGTGTCTGTAATCTCGTCAAATCAACTGATGCAAACTTTGTTTCCATTAGTATACCATTCGACGAGTGTGGAACCCGTGTTACGGTAACATCATCAAGAAACATCATCCTTAGTCACATACATCTGATCAAATAAATACGGGTTTTCCTATGAAGAAAACCTCAAATTCAACTTTATGGTGTATACTTGTTAAATTCTATATACTTAATATTTGTGTCCATGAAATCTTAGTTCTAATGAAAATGAAGTTAAAAATACAAAGTGCAATGTACAACACTCTGTTTTGTACACTTCCATACATATTCAATTTCAGACAAACGAAACGCACATTGTTTACACCAACGTGATTCGTTATGACTACACATCAACTGAGGGAAATGTTTATAGAGTGAATACATACCGAGTGGAGGTCTCGTGCGAGTTTCCACGAGATTTGGATACAGATCAAGGGATGCTTCCACAAACAGAAAGTGTAACACAAAAAGCCCCGGGAACTTTCAACATAAGAATGGATTTCTTTAAAAATAACTCATTTAACAATCCTGTATCTGACTTTCCATTGAATCTGACTTTAGGAGAATGGCTCAATGTAGCACTCACTTTAGAAAACGTGGATTCCAACCTCAAGCTAGTTGTTCCAGATTGTGTGGCAACACCAACTACTTCTGAAACGGATCCCACAAATTACCCACTATTTGAGAACAAGTCAGTACAGAATTTTTTAAAAAAAAAATATATTACTCACTTTTTATGCAAGCAAAATCTAAAATAAAAAAATGCAACCAAGACGTGCTTAGCTTCTAAAAATCATTTCTTTACGAAGACCAGCAATTATTGATGTACATTTATGGAAGTTTAAGGTGTTGAATTCATTAATTTTCATCCAATTAAAAGTCTTATCCTATGGCGATTGCGAATTATATAATGAATTGAAACCTATCAACTATTATCTATCATTTATATAAAACTTTATGCTTTCCAGGTGTCAATTTGATCCAACACTTGGGTTCTTTCCATTAAATTCGACGTCTTTTGGATATCGCTACCAAACATTTAAGTTTGTCAATTTCGATGAAGTGTTTCTACATTGTAAGGCTTTCGTGTGTTTGTTGACGGAAAAAGACGCCGAATGTGACAGAAGTTGTAATTCCACAGCGACCGCCACAACTGCTGCTCCAGCGGGGCGCAGACGACGAGAAGCCATAACGAGGCCGACCTACTCGAGGCATATCTACAACATCTACAGTCCAGCTATGAGTTTTCATAGGAAAGATTATGACAACTCGATTATCAGGCAGTGGAATGTTACGGCCGGTAAGTTTATTTGTAGAATCATTTGAATACTTGTTGAAGATCTCTTGCTTTACTTCTAAAGTACAAACTTTGCAAAAAAAAAATTGTTTTATGTAATATTCACTTTATCATTTAGGTCCGATAACAACACCGGTTACGACGAGTAGCTTGAAGCCGCCTACGTCATCAAAAGCTCAACCGACAACACAAACAGCTCACAAAACAACACAGACAACAAAGTCAGCAGGAAGCAGCCCAACAACACTAGCACGGACAACTAAAGCAGCAAAGACAACAACGACAACAGCAACACCCAAGTCTACACAGAAAGCAACATCAAAAACAACACAGAAAGCAACGTCAAAACCAACGCCTAATACAACACCAAAATCAACTCAGACACCAACAACTACACAGAAACCAATAGCTACCACGAAACCAAAGCCAAATTATGCCACTTCAGTAAAAATCTCGAAAGTGACAGTTGCACCAACAACTCAGAAAGCAAAACCTATTGTGAATAAAAACAAGTTTTCTGATTATCCAGTATCTTCGGGTTTAGCGGGTAATAGCAATAAACTTTCTAGCTCTTGCCAGAAGCGTTTTAACTTTTTTAATTTTGTTTGCTATCAATTGATTTTACTAAGCTCATTACTTCTTTTGTAAATTATTATGTTTGATACCGGCATTTCAGATATTATTTATTTATGTTGCATTTTGTTTGATCATATTTAATTTATGGATTTTTTTTTGTTTGTAATAAAATGTGCAGTTGTTGACTGTAATGGTACATATATATGACATTGTTTTTGGTTTGCACGTATGGTATTGTAAACGGTCTGGTGTTTTTCCCCCTCGATAATGATTAAATGTTGGTATCATTAATATATTTTTACATTCGCTGTGTTTTTCTACTAAGCCAACTGTGAAATTGATTTAAATACCATTTTCGTGTATACTCACGCGTAGAAATATACACAGAGAAACGTGCGTTAACGTGACGTCACATTGAGGTTGCAACGACGTTAGTAAAAATGTAACGATATAGGGCAGCGAGAAATTCAAATATTGAGTATATTTTAGCTGCTTCCAAACATTTAAAATGTAATATTAGGAATGATTTTAAGTTAAGTGTGAGTTTGCAAAATTAATTTAATTTTAGTTGTTACACGTCATTTGATTTTATCCATTTTGTATAACATAACTTCCCTACGTCACAATGAGTTACGTCAAAAACGTATTACTCCGCTTGACGTTACTTTTAAAATAATGCTCAATTTTAAGCCTTTTTCCGGAGGAAATATTGTCTTATTGTCTACCCTGAAATTAAATTATAAGGAATGAAGCTTATTTCAACTTATGTTATCCGATATAACAAAACTTGAGGCAGTTTACGCTTCGCGGTTTATAAAGCGTAAACTGCCCCAAGTTATGTTATATCGGATAACATAAGTTGAAATAAGCTTCATTCCTTAACTGAAAAACATTCGTTAAGGTCAAGATCTAGTAAATGAAAGGTGCCTACAGATTTATGAAATTAAAGAAATAAATTCCTTTGATGATGCTTCATAACTATAGCTTGGTCAAATAAGGTGTTTCGGGGCATAATTTGTAAGTAAACTCGATGAAAAATCATATTTAAAACTGTCATTTCCAATGAAAAATTGAGGAAAGCTCCACAAATATGGGAGTTTTTTCATATCCAACAAAAGAAAATGTATCCAGATTGCCTACAGTCTCTTAGAAAATGGTAATTTGTAAGTTCATGGCCTCTTCTTTAAAATAATGTCAAATCTAATATAGGTATCGGGACTACTTTTCATGTAAATTCAAATTGAATTCGTAGAAAATACCGTATTTTCTACCTATTTCTATTAGAGCCGTAAAGTACGAGAAAAAGAAAGTTGAAAGTGATTATGACGTCATAATGGATATAGTAGCAAAATGTGGGTCTGAAGACATTAGAGAGGTTTAGCAAACCAACGTGTACGCGTACTTGTACGTGTGAATTACAAGTTAGAGTTACACGTACAAGTTGTTATTACTTTTGTTGTTTAGCAATTAAAACGTGTACGTGTTCCTGTAATTTTTTGAATGTAAAAGTTTTTTTCATTGGATAATAATAAACATTTGTTAGCTTATAAGCTTTGATTTTACAATCTTTCGAAAATGGCACTAAATTTAAAGATGTTGGCCGCAATTACGGAAGATGATGACTTATTACTTCTGGAAACAAAATCCAGTAAATATGAATTTCAGACCAACAATGTAAGCATTTATTTCGCTTTGATAAAGCTGGATTAAATGAGATCAGACGTGTAATGGAAGTCCCAGAGGTTTTTCGGTGTGCGAATCGCACAGCGTGCAGTGGAATGGAGGGGTTATCCGTTGTAATTAGGCGTCTTGCATATCCTAATCGTCTCGAGGACTTATCCCCGCTATTTGGTAGAACAAAATATGAGCATGTTTGTGTCTTTCAAACATATTTAACACAGCACTTGACTTCATATACGACAATTATGCCTTTCTTCTCGATACACTGGACAGACCCTGGTTGTCACATGGTGAGCTTCAAGCCATGGCTACCGCTATTCGGGATAAAAATGCTCCTCTGGAAAACTGCTGGGGTTTCATCGATGGTACCGTTCGACCAATATGTCGTCCAGCGCACAACCAGAGAATTGTTTACAATGGCCATAAACGAGTACATGGCTTGAAATTCCAAAGTATCATGGCCCCTAATGGAATAATTGCGCATTTTTATGGCCCAGTGGAAGGGAGGCGACACGATGCCGGTTTGCTGAGAGAGAGTGGTGTGGAAATCGAAATGCAGAGGAATATGACAACGCCCAACAATGAGGCCTATTGTGTTTATGGGGATCCAGCATATCCCTTAACGCCATTCATTGTACCACCCTTCAAAGGTGCCTTTCTCTCTGCTAACCAAGCGCGTTTTAACAGGCGCATGTCAGCTGTAAGAATTAGTGTGGAGTGGGGATTTGGGAAACTGTTGAGCCTGTTCGCTTTTCTTGATTACAAGAAAAACCACAAACTCTATCTTCAGCCTGTTGGAAAATACTATAAAGTCGCTGTCTTACTAACCAGTTGTCATACATGTTTGTATGGGAGCGAAACTGGGTCGTTTTTCGGGCTGCATCCACCCTCCCTTGAAGAATATTTACATCGTTGACTGTTCTGAAATATTTTCATTCAAATTTAAGACGCAGAGTAAAGAAAAATGTACAAAACAAACTTAGGATATGATTTAAGTTTTATTGATATTTATTTATCTTGTTTTTCAATTTTGATATTTATTGATTAAAATTTGAAATTTGCAATACACAAAAATTATTTTTGATTCAAAGCTTTCTGGAGAAGCTGCAACATTAGAGCCTTTTCCTTTTTTTTCAGTCTCCACTCTTTCCCTTCTTTCTTCTCTTTCTAATTCAAATCTTTCCCTCTGAAGTTTAAGTTCTTCTCCTCTCAGTTTAAGTTCCTCTTTCTTATATTCGCTTTCTTGGTTAGATTTTGTCTGCAGATACTCCATAATATTAGTTGTAAAATTTCGTAAAATTTTTTTGGGAGTTTGGTCACCTTGATCTTCGTCTAAATGGATCAAATACCAAATAGATTTACATGTATAAATTTAAAATCAATTCTCTCACTAAAATCAAGGGAAAAATTTAAGCGCTTTGAATGCTTTTTTAAATTTAATCTTAATAAACACAAATTGAATATTTACAACAAATTATAAAAATAGCGTTTTTAAAGCCTACCTTTGCTTAAATTTTCAAGAGCACGTTTTCGTATGTCTTTTCCTTTTCGATCATCGGCAGACTTCTTCTCTTTCTCACTTTCTTTTATTCTCTCTTCCTCCTCTTTTAATTCCAATATGTCGTCTAATAATGTTGTTTTTTCGTCATATTCTTCAGAAACTCCTGATCTAAGTTAAAAAAAAATATATGATACTTTTCTGAATCTAAAAATCATGTAGGTTTATAGTCTTACATGTAATATATAATTTAAAATCAATAAATATTTGAACTCTAGTCATAGATCTGCTTCAATGTAATTCATTGCATTTTAAAAAAAAAACATTGTTCAAAATTCTGCTTGAACGTAATATGTAATTCTTAAATTTTTCCAAACCCCTTTTGACTTTTTAGTACCCCCCCCCCTCTTTAAACATTTAAAAGTCACCGCACTGATTATGACTAGAATCTTGATAATGGATATATTTTTTTTCAACATGCAGCATTGTAATATATCTAAGATTATTATACTAGTAAAATTATATGGTTAGATGTATTAAATATACCAGCCATACACAAGCCATATACATTTAGTATATATGCAAAGTAAGAAAAAAATCAGATTGGGAATATGCGATAGTTTTTATACTTTTTTTTGCTTTCTGCATCATTTTTTCTATGGTGTTCCAACAGCAGGTTGGTTCTCTCTCGGACTCTCCGGCCATCTACCGTGAATCCACCCCTGCTAATAGCATCGCTGACCTCAGTCCACTTAGCTCGATCTTTAAACGGGTTTTTTGCCAAAACTTCTCTCAGAAGTAACAAATCATCCTTCTTGGAAAATCTTATTTGCTTCTTACGCTCAGACATGTTAGGAAACTGAAAAATAATACAGTGATACTTTTTTATTACTGTGTATTTCAACAACCCTGCCATGCACCCCCCCCCTTCGACCAAACCGTCTCTGTATGAATTATAAAAGATGATTTGTGAACGTATATCGTGTATCATGAACTTGTCATAAACTTGATTCATATATGTATGTTGTGACAGACAAGATAGTGTGTATTTGACAATCAATAAGATACTTTTTTCAATGAGAACATATGTTTTTTTTTCTACCAACATCCGCATTATATCATCTATTTTTCAAAATTCGTTATCTTTCTTTCAAACAAACATCAAATAAAGAAATATCAGCTACAAGTTTGTACTTACGTGTACTCGGTGATTTACACGTTTCGATAAACGTGTAGAAATTCGTCATTAACAAGAATGATGACGTAATACACAGACTTCCGGGGGGAATCCCCTGCTACACGTACAAGTACGCGTACACGTTGGTTTGCTAAACCTCTCTATTTACTATAGGATTAAACGTTCTTTTTTCAGAATTTATCGATGTGTAAACTCTGCCTTTTTGCTCACAAACTGAATAAAAGTGCGAAGCACTTTTATGTTAAGTTTGTGAGTAAAAAGGCAGAGTTTACACATCGATAAATTCTGAAAAAAGAACGTTTAATTCTTATAATTCCAATTACGATTTTTTTAAATTATTAAAGTTATTTCCCTTTGAGGCCGCCATACAATCCGTTATTTTGTACGGCGTAGGAATACTTTATGCCGCAAAGAAACGTATACAAGATGAATATTGATAAAATCCAACTTTATTTGTCAAAACAATCTATAAATTAAATTTATAAAAACTCATTGAATGTTGTTTAAGTCAACAAATATCGTAAATACGCGAATTAATTCTCCAAAATAGGCCTAATTCGTCCTTGACTTCGCCATGTTGACGTCATGACGAAAGTTGAAGACCGACGACGTCCTTGATTTGCTCTGGTTCGTTCAAAGATTTAGGGAGAATATGGGATCTGTAGGATGTAAATATATGACTTGATGCTGAAAAGGCAAGAGTCTGAGGTATGTTTCTTCTCCCTATCGCATTACGATAACAAAAGAGTTGATATGGAACGTCGAGAAAATGACAGCATGATCAGCGGTTTCAAAGTATTTCACACTCGTGATCCGACAATGACATAAACATAATATTCCCGTCTGTCAGTCCTGTTTATCTCCTTTTCATTCATTTATTCATTTTTTATAAGTTTCTTGTAATCATAATTTAGCTAAAACGGACTAGAAGTATCTGTTTTCATTGTTTTTTACAACAGTCAAGAAAGTAGTTCTGATTGAAAGAATTTATCGATGTGTAAAAATTTTCTGGAACGTGTTCTCGTCCAATCAAAACACAGGAAATCAATAGATAAAATGAAGATTGGAATTATTAGATCTTGACCTTAAGGTCAAGATCTAGTAAATCACTTGAGATTAATTCTTTGGTGCTAGATCTATTATGACGTCATAATCAATTTCAACTTTCTTTTTCCCGTACTTTACGGCTTTAGCAGAATTATGTAGAAAATAGGATATTTTCATGTCATTCAATTTGAAATCATATGAAAAGTAAACCGGATACATATATTAAATTTGGTATTGTTTTAAACATACTAATTACCGTTTTCTGAGAGACTGTAGGCAATCTGGATACATTTCCTACAAATTATACCCCGTAACACCTTATTTGACCAAGCTAAATTTGTAAAGCATCAATAGAGGAATTTATTTCTCAAGTTTGATAAATCTGTAGGCACCTTTCATTTCCTAGATCTTGACCTTAAATATACTTACACACAAATTATTAGGCGATTACTTTCATTTAAGAAATAAACAACGTTATTCAGTGAACATGGCGTTATGAATAGCAATTGCTCTGCTGGCATATTCCATGATGCGCATCATGGAAAATATGCCAGCAGAGCTATTGCTATTCATAATGCCATGTTCACTGAATAATCGTTGTTTTATATTACTTATATTTGCATTCTTTGATTTTTTTTCTCAAGAATATCAGAGGAAATTCTGACTTACATTAGGACGCGGCTTCTTGCCTTCAATAAAGAAAAACATACGGCTTTAAAATCAGTACACCTGATCAATGCTCCTTTTCTCTTATAAATTACAAACAATTTATAAAGTATTTCCCTCTCAAACACAGTTATCTGGATACAAGCAGCGCCGTCATTAATTTTTGTTTTGATGCAGTTGTGACGTCATCGATCAACGTTATTAAAAACCTCTGACAAAAATCAATAATTTAACACTATTATGAAAAATAAGAATGGTTTTTTAATGAATATTACTCCAGAATGCTTATATATCATTTTTTTTTTCTCTATTTATCTTTAATAGCTGAAATCATTCTTGAAATAGATATGTAGTAGTTATTCTGAATGTTATTACCCAAGTGTGAAGAGTTATCGTTCTTTGTACAAATATGCATGATACGAATAAATAAAAAAATGGCAGTTCTCTATAATTTTAAAAAGTTTTATTATACAATTCAATACATTGACCAAAATTGAATTTTTAAAGATATGAATCAGCAATTTTAAATATTCTGAATTTTTTTTTTTTCAAAGAATATTATTAAAAACTTATATTCATTCCTCTTACGAAATATTTCATATATATACTTCTCAACACTTCATAAAAATATAGTAGAGCTTGTGTGATTAGAGCAGTATCTCTGTCATGACTGTTTTTAAACATATGAAATGTATATAATGATTATTATCAATAAAAGATAAAAAAAAAATGCATTCATAGAAGGAGCAGTTGCGTCTATTCAAGGAATGTTTTTAAGTTTTGTGTGAGTTATTGGTGTGTGAATCACACAGATTTGTCACGTAGGCATATTTCATGAAGCGCGCTAGCGCTTCATGAAAAATATGCCTACGTGCAAGTCTGTGTGATTCTCACAGCAATAATTCACACTAAACTTAAAAACATTCCTTATATTTACATTTTACATGTTTAGAAGCACCGAAAATATACTCAATATTTGAATTTCTCGCTGACCTATATTGTTAAACTTTTACTAACGTCGCTGTAGCCCTTTTGTGACGTCACGGTAACGCACGTTTCTACATGTATATTTCTACGTGTGAGTATACACGAAAATGATTTTCAAATCAATTTCACTGTTGGCTTATTAGAAAAACACAGCGAATGTAAATATAGTCCTATGAATGCAGTTGATGACTACATGTTCATAGTGGGAGAGAGCTATGCAAATATACTGAAATGCATACATTTGTCGATCATGACAAGGAGCATTAGCAGATCTGTTTGATCGTCATTGGATGCTCACTCCTCCATAGCACCTAATCCCACCTCTGTTTTTAGAGCACAGGCACTTGTTTCGGAAATAAATTTTGAACCCATAGTATAATAACACAAGGTATCTCACTCCGAATTACACTCAGTACCTCCCTCCTCAGAAATGTATAAACGATTTGAATTCGTTAAATATGTCTCAACAAATCCATCAAATATGTAAGCATATTCGTTTTGTTTATTTTTTTTTAAATTCATATATGTAACGAAAGGAATTCGTTATAATTAACTTTATTAACAATTTGTTATATCGAATTTCAAAATATTTTGAAAGATTCACATTATGAACTCCCGTCGTGCAAAAATACGAAGCAACAGTTTTATTGAAGTTGAAGTGGGATTAACCCAGAGAAAAAAAGGTTTTCTTACAAAAGGTACTCACATCCACCCCAAGCCGGGAGGCGTAAAGACCACTTAGCCATCTAGTAAGTCAAAAATTGCTTCAATGTCGATGGATTTCTCGTGGTGCTGCCATGTATGCTACCTGGTCATTGAAATAAAATGAGATGAAGATATTTGTACAATATTTTTTATAAAAGATTGATACCGATACGCATTGCACAGAAATTAAATTGATATTTACACTTCATAAGGATACTCACTTTCACCCCAAGTTTGAATCGAACATTGGACCTACGAAATCTGTCTCTTAGAAGTACAAGTACAAGATAGCGCGCCGTTTGACCATCTAAGGAAATCAAAAAATTGCTTCTGATGCCTATGGAATTCTCGCAACGCAGTTCTTCTCAATATCATGTTCCAAAAGGACATCTCCACGGGGATTTTTATTTCTGAAATAAACAAGGTAAATATTTGTTCTATCTTATCTCTCTTCGAAACCTTTTTTTCTGAGTCACTGTCAAACTACCACTACCATTTATTAAAGAAATGAAAAGAGCAATGGAGAGAAAAGAACTTGAGTGATCCTTTTTTGCACTTTGTTTGGAACTCTTATCTCCTGAAATGAAATATGGGCGATTTACTGTATTTTCATATAAATCAGTGTATCGATTGAAATGTATAGTGCAAAAGGCCTGCAAAAAGAGGTGCTATTGACTGTCGTCACAAATAATGTCATGGGTATTTAAAGTAATTACAATTTTTCAAGAATGTGACACTAGTCAATAAATGCAACCACTGCTTTGAAACTGTTCGTTGGAAAGAAGTAATTTGCCTTTTGCAGTTTTAAGTGGCTTCGGGTGACACAGAATTAAAACAAACAAACAAACAAAGAGTTAATTTTAAAATCTATGCACAATCCACTCTCTACCATCGGCTCGTAGCCTCATACCTCTGTCGTTTAAAGCACACAAGGAATAGTGCGTTTGTTTTATATTCCTTCACTAATATACTTTTGAGTCTTTTAAGGTCAGACGAGACGTTCCTAAATATCTGTTTTGTATATCTTCGTAATGTATGAAAAATATTCAAAATCTTAATAACATTCTGATTTCTAAACTAGTTTCTGACCTTTTAAAAAAAATCCAACCACTTAAACATTTGAATTTGGAAAATTATTTTTCTCCCCAAAAGGATTATATAAGGAAAACTACCCCTGGTATCTTGCAGAAATGCCTGGTAAGGTACCTAAATTTTTTGTGAGTAAACATGTTTAAGTAGCAATTCTTCAATGACAAAATCTTTGAAAAATTATCTATTATTAAGGAACGTCTCGTCTGTCCTTAAGGTAAATATATATTCACTAGGTAGATCTAGAGCTATTTGATTGATTTCTTAAATAATTCTTGGAATATCACCTTGTTCTTCACCTTGTTACAAATCTTGACGCGCGGCGAACTCATTGCAGAGGTGTCTGGGAGAGAAAGAAACGACAACTGTCCACATAGAAAATGAGGCGAAACTTAAAACTTTAAAAGGTTGATCATTTTCCTCTTCAAAACATTCCACCTCGAAATATTGTTTCTCATTTAATGCTTTATGTATTGAAATTAATAATGGGTTTTATCTAGAAACATTTTGATAGCAAATTATATATTATTTCAATTTAATTGTAAGAGCGAAACTTAAATATAATGGTGTGTTAGAAATAGAAGTTTTGACAAAAATATGCTCAAAATCAGCTCAAGATCGAACCTCCTTACCATGAAAACCAGTGTGTCGTCTCAACTATTGATACAAAAAGATATCTTATGCGTTAAAGGGGTAAAAGTCTTATAAAACTAAACGAATCCCTCATTTGCTTTAGACACTGTCTAAAAGCATTCAAAAGAACAAAAAAAAAATTCTCGTATTTTGATTTTTGAAAACACTAGTAAATATAATTGGTAAGAAGTCGTTCTGAATGAATTTAAATAGATTTGAAATTTCAGAAGTGGGTTTCTTACCTTGTGTACCGTGTCTGCAGAAAATTGGAAGAACCTTTAAATGTAAGTGCAAATTGCGACGCTGCATTTCATTACCAGTTACTGCGCATGTGTATCGTCGACAATCTGCAAATAATCTACAAATATGTTAGTGTCGAAATAGAACGAGTTTCTTACAAAAGTTCGATTTGTTTAAAGAGAACGAAAATGTCTAAACATGTCTGGTACCTTGGTATATTGCTGCATATTTTTTCCTTGATTGCAGGTAAAAATATTTCATTATCATATTCCATAGTGCAAAAGACATCTTACAGACTTGAAAAAAATAACTGAAATAATTTTACTTTATCAAATTTCTTTATACTAGATGTCATGGTAATCTATAGATTTTTTTTAGAAAGACGATTACATAAAAGAAAAAAATTAGCATGAATGCTTTTTTTTCTATTGTCACACAGGACAGACTGTTTCTGTGCGATTCGCTGGCAATGGAGCAACAGCTTATCAGGGTAGAGTAGAGGTGCTCTACAATGGTACCTGGGGGACGGTGTGCAATGACCAATTTGGTACGGAGGATGCCGGGGTTATATGTAGGATGCAGGGATTCAAGTCAGTATTTATTATATTTAGATAAAGAAAGTCAGTATTTATTATATTTAGATAAAGACTGCAATTTCGAAAGAGAAATCTGTACATGTATTTACAAATAAAGCTTATTCAATTTTTTTCATTTTTTATTCAAAGTTTCAAGAATGCGTTAAGTGCAAAATTTTATTGTAGCTGTGCTTAAAAATATGTGTACTAAGTTTTTTTTTTATGTTTACATTTTTACATTTGCTGTGTTTTCTTACCAAGCCATCTGTGAAATTGATTTGAAAGTTGTTCTGCGTATACTCATACGTAGAAATATACACCGTGAAACTCACGCTAAAAAAGACGTCACTATGAGGCTAAAGAAACTTTGAAGATAATAAAACGTCAAGTTGACGATAAAGGGTATCAAGAAATTCAAATACTGAGTACATTATTACTGCTTTTAAACTTGTAAAGTTAATTGTGAACTATCCCCAAACGCTCCCCAAATCCCCTTTTGTGCCTAATTCCTGTAAGACATTTTAAAAAATATGATCAGTATCGAAGGATTTCATCAAAGAATTATAAAAGCTACAATGATATAAAATATATGTCAATTAACGCATTGTATGCACAGGCACGTGCATGTACATGCAAGATGATCATGGCATGTTGTCCAAACAATTAACATATCTAATATATCGTGAGAATAAATGAAAAAAAATCTTTACAATATACATTTTAATGTTTTTTTAAATATTGGCCATTTTGCGTATTTCGTGCATGAATGCATGTTCGTGCATTCAATTTTATAGTAACATTATGTAGGAATCCATTATACCTAGTCATATTATAAATTTTATCCCGTTTCGTTGAAAACTAAGAAAGTTATAGACATTTGAATTTTCAGCCAATCAGATTGCAGCACACGTGCATGCGTATGCTTTTCATGATAATTCTTATATACCGTGCAGTAGATCTTTATAATGTCTAGCCATGTTCAAAATTTCAAAGGATTTTGTCGAAAAATAAGAAAGATATTGAGACTTTAGTTTCAGCCAATCAGAGCGAAGCGCACGTGCATGCGCGTGAGATCTTGCTATTTTGACCATGTCCTCTAGTCTATGCTTCTAATATATCCTAATATTATAAGTTTCAAAACATTTCATCAAAAATTTAAATAGTTACGTTTATATCCATTATATTGGACATTTCTGGTGTTGCACGTGCGCGCTCTTGCAAACACACGTGCATGCACATGCTTTCATGGTAATTCTTTTATATCAGGCTGTAGATCTCCCTAATGTATGACTATGTTCAAAATTTCATAGGATTTTTTCTAAAAACAAGAAAGATATTGAGACTTTAGTTTTAGCCAATCAGAATGAAGCACACGTGCATGCGCGTGAGATCTTGCTATTTTGACCATGTCATCTTGTCTATGCTACTAATATATCCTTATGTTATGAGTTTCAAAGCATTTCATCAAGAATTAAAAAAGTTACGGCTATATTCATTATATTGGTCATTTCACGTGTTGCACGTGCACGCTCTTGCAAGCACGTGCGTGCAAAATGACCTTGATTCCGCAAATCTACATAACAAGTCTACTTACTCCAAAAAGGTTTTACCTACATCGGACGAACAGTTTACAAGATCATTCCCGGACAAAAAAGTACCCAGGAAGAAGAAGAAAAATAATAATAATAATAATAAGAAACAGAGTAAAAACAATATGTTCCCCAACTTCGTTTGGGGAACATAATTATTGGTATGTAAATCACACAGACTTACACGTAGGTGCTAGCGCTTCTTGAAAGATACATTGTATGCCTACGTGACAAGTCTGTGTGATTAACCAGTAATTCAAACAAATCTTTTAAATAGTCACATGGTAGACTTTCTAGTGTTGTGTAGAAAATTCGACATGCAAAATAAAAAAAATGATACATCTATGCGCCTAAAATTTTGAATTGGCGCCTAAACTTTGAAAGTCAGAAGCTAGTTGGAGCCTAAATTTTAGAGGTCACTTGGAGGCCTAAAATTGCAAATGGAAAATAAAGTTAATCTGATTTGTTTTTTACCGCATCATAAAAAAATCGACAAATTTCAGGATTATATACATGCGTTTTTTTTTTAAAAATCTTTTTATAAAGTTTACCATGATATGTTCCAAAGTTTGCATAACAACAGCGGTACTTATCTCACTTTTAATGTTTTTGGCGGTCCATGTTTGCTTGGAGCCTGCTTTGTATTGTTTCCATTGGACTTGAAAGATTTATTGCGGTTATATCGAGCTCCATACAATGTATTATATCATTTATCTAGTCTGTGTTTTATGCTAGACTAAAGGCATCGTAACCTGATACAATTCCTTTTTATTCAATTTAGTTTATTAAAGATAGTTTTGTGATAAATTTTTGAAAGGGCCTTACTCTACACGGGGAAAATTTATTTAAACTTTCTGTCCTGTTCTCAAAAAAATAGACGCAATTTTTGTTGACTTAACTTTTTTTCCTACAAAAAAAGTATATTGTGTGAGGTTGATAATTTTAGTAACCATTCTCTTGTCCTCTTCATCTTAAGAGTCTAATTGCATATTTAAACATGCTTCTAGGAGATAATCGGTGTCTCTTAAGAGAATCTAAATAAAGTAGACATTAATTAAACAATGAAATGCTTTGTTTGGTTCTTAGAACAGGAATCAATGCTGCAGAAAAAAACACATTTCTTGCGTAAGCCACTACTCAACAACTTTTGATCGATAGAAATATGGCCTTTTTTTTTTTACCTGTGACAAGATGTCAGCGCACAATATGATTTTTTTTTTTTACCTCTTGACCTTTATGTGTGACCAATTTTTAAATATCTTAACTTTTGGTTATTACTTTTGAATGACATATGATAGGGTTCATATTTGACACAATTAATATGCCATTAAATAATGGCATCCCATCCACAAAGACACCAAAAGCAGGGGACCACAATACTTTGGATTTTTTTCTTCACTTTAACTTTGAGATTGTTCAGTGAAAAAATTGTCAAGAAAACGTTACATGATCGGCTTACCTTTTGCTTAAATTTTCTTGTGCCAATTTTTTTTTATTTCTATAGTCTAGTGATAAATATTCCTTCAATGGCCTCTGAAAAATCATAATCAAGCACGGTTGAAACACATATCATACTTCATCAGTAAAGGATAAAAGCCGAAACATGGCCATTCTGTGAGAAAATGAAATTATCGAGGGCCGTATTAAGACTTGAACTGTTTAAAAAGAAAAAATTCGAAATGCAAAATAAAATTTCGAAGCTGACAGAGTTCTGTGAATACCGTGAAAAAATTCTTCCCTTTTATGTTCTTGAATAAGATTTTTACTTTTAAAAAAAGTTTTTAAAAAGTACATCTATGAACCATAGTTTGCTTAAAGGGGCATGGACACAGTTTCAACTGAATTTTTTAAACCAATTTTAATGTTTACAATTTCTTACTAAGGCATAATATAATGATCAGCCAAAATTTGAACATCATTTGTTGATTAACAAACGAGATACAGAACTTAAAGTTCTTAATAATGTAAACAAGGCTCGTGTCTTATTTTTTTTTTAGAAATAGAAAATATCATATTTATAACAAAATGAAGTTCAGCAAATCAATAGTAACTGTCGAATTGTATTTTAATTAGATTTACTTTTATATTGAAATTATCTGCTTTGAACGTATATATTATGACTATATTAACCTATGTACGAGGGGCGTTCAATAAATAATGTCATTAGCTCGATGACATATAACATAGTAGTCATATGACATAAAGCTTGACTTTCTCTCATTATTGAATCTTTAATGAATTTATAACAGTTTATGTGACCACTTTTCATCACATAGTTTTATCGTGAGAAGCTGGGAAACAAGGGCTATTCGAGACACTGCATTATAAATGAATGTTAAAGAATCAGTAAACTAAAGTGAAAATAAAAGCTACATTAAAGCTGCTGTAAAACTTGTAAAAAATCCCAAAGAAATATTCACTGAAATATGTGATATTTACAGCAACCGATGCCTGTTTTATGGACAAATTAGCAGGTGGATTTCAATGATAAAAAATTATATAATGGGTATCAAAAATGGGTACCCTCCTTGCCAACAAAAATTATAAAAACTTATGTACTGTTTGCCAAATTTCAACAAATAATATTTGATCTTGTATGAATGACTTTAAGACACATAGCAAATTTGATAGACATCATATCGGGAGTAGTTTACACTGTTTTTAAGAAACGTTTGACAGTAATTAAGCTTGGTACTCTAAGGTCACCCTGTATTTTGAAAAATGAGTGAAAACGACAGCCTGTACCAAAGTCTTAACAATTATTTTAAAATATCAGTAATTGTAGTAATCCACGTTTGTTTTTTATTCAGACAGATATTGGAACACGAATCTATTGCTTAAAACCATTAAAACAAAATTTAACATAAGATGTACTTGATAAAAACGGCGAAGGTCTGTCAAGAGCAAAGGTCTGCAAGAGCACAAAAACAGATTATTATGCAATTTTCTTAAATATGAGTGGTAGTACTGTTGAAATTCGTATTCGGGGAGACAGTTTAATATCTGGAGGTGTCTACAAAGCAGTTTTTTTTTTGCAAAGAAATCGGAAGGTTTATCAGAGAAAGGACCCAGAATCAGGAATCCACTACATTGAATTTCTTCATGACAGCGTTCAGACCCGCATGCCCTAAAGAGTAAAGGGGTTTACGGGATAAACAGAAAGTTAATGTTTTTTCACATTAACAATATTTGCCAGATCTTTGACCTTTTGACTTGTTTCTATTTCCAAACTTGAAAAAAAACACCTTTCAGAAGGAAAAAACAAGTCCAGGAGATCATTGGATCTGCCATTTTCCAGTATACTAAGGGTTATACCCAAAAATGAGTTCTAAAAACAATCAGAAATTGGATAAGAAATGTTACGGACATGTGTTGGAATTAAAAGAGATTAATAAGTAAAACCATGAAGACTAAATCATTGAAAAGCGTCGTTTGCTTCTTTCTGAGCCCCAGTGACATTATTTATTGAACGCCCCTCGTAAACAAAAACATGACACAGACCCTGTTTACATAACAGAGGTTTGGAGTTCTAAATCTGTCTTGTATCTCGACAACTGCCGTTCAAATTTTTGATTATCATTAGAAAGACCTTAGTGGAATATTTTAAAATTGGAAACTTGAATTTGAAATTTTTAGCTTCAACTGTGTCCATGTCCTATGACAATAGAAAGTAATACTAGTAAGTCTATTTACGCCAGAATAACTGAACAGGAATATTCGCAATCGTAACATAATACAACTTTTTCTGGTTTCACTTAAAATGTTGAACGCAGTTTTGAGATAATTTTTTTTTAAAGACCTTGGTGTCAAAAGGATAGGATTTTAAAAACCTTTCGCTCTTTTCAATTTAGATTGACAAAATGTATGTTTACTTTTTTTCATACAAGAAAAGTATTTTTGTGGTATGTTGTAATTGGGTGACGACTCTCCAGAACTCTTTAGTTTGGGGGTTTAATTGTATCTGTAAATATAAATTTTTTACAGGAAATCAATACATAGTTTTGAAAGACATCTAAATAGATAAGACATGGAAATATTTTTTTTAAAGCGTTCTTTGGTTGTTAAAACAGGAATCACTTGCAAAAAAAAAATGCACATTTTTCGCGTATGCCACTGCTTAATATATCTGTATTAATTTGGATTGCTTGGGAAAATACAGTATGATGACCAACAAACTCATTTTTTAAAATAATAAATCAAGTGTAACATAATTTTAACATCATACTGTAAATAATTCTAGTATTAACTTCTTTAATTACAATACTGTAGAATAGAAAATTGCATAAAAACGTTTTGGGATTTTCTTTTAATTTAAACTAACTGATAAAAAGAAACATTTCTACATCAACAAAAAATTCTGAAAAATATATTGAACTATGTGGAGATAACGAAAAGTATTTAAGCTAAAAAAAAATCCATTACATATTAAAAATTAAAATAGGAGTGGAGCAAAAACGGACCTTTAAAACATCATAGACGGGATCAGGTGCCATAAAGTTTCCCCCTTCAGACTTGTGTCAAGGATATGTGATTTGATCTCAAACTGGATTCAGTTTTCTTCTTTGTTCATGTAAATGAGAAAAAAAAATTGTCATTATACACAAGATTTCTCAGTTCTAGTTTGAAAAGTTTTGACATGAAGAATAATACTACCTGATAGGTGTGGGTCAGTGGTCAGTTTTTTGTTTGAAATTGTTGCGGTAAGCTTTTTTGGGGAAAAAGCTCTACTTGTAATTATCCTCCTCTCGCAATAGGGACAGTGAATGTTAAGATACATGTAGGTGTGGACTCTTCGCAAGCAATAATTTGATTTCGGAATTTAAGGATTGAGAGATTTTCTAACATTTTTGTGAGGAGATACTGCACCGTGCAACGCCATTGTAATGTACATGTATTTTTCAGTGAAGGGGGAATTGCCATAACCAATAACACTTTTGGGGCGGGTGTTGGTCCGATATTGATGGATGACCTGAACTGTGACGGCACAGAGCGGTCTATTGCTCAATGTCAGTTTTCTGGTTGGGGTACGAACAACTGTAATCACAGTGAGGACGTAGGAGTAATTTGTCGAAGCTCGAGCTCGACAACAGCGCCATCATTAATAACAACCACACGTGCTCCGGCCGACGTTCAATCAGACAATTGTACAACAAGTAAGTGAAACAAGGGTTTCCCAAGTAAGGCATGTATCGCCCGATTTAAAGCATCATTATAGATGCAAATAAAACTTTGCACAACAATACGTTTTAAAATATAACCGCACAAGATTTAAATACGTTCTATAATGAATTAATGCTTTTTGTACTATGAGAAGCTACTTTTGTCGGCAAAATATGTTTTGGGGAGAAAGCAAAACAGTTAAAGTTTTTTTACTAAATATCAGCCCAAGCTACGCCGCAGCAATGGGATGTTCGGATTGTAGGCCCTGCTAACTTAATAGGTATAGGCTTTGTGGAGACGTACTACAATAATCAATGGCACGCAATCTGTGACGACCTGTGGGGGACTGCTGACGCCCAGGTGGTCTGTAGGATGTTGTGTTTTGAGTAAGTTTTGTCTTAATTTAGCAGATGCATTTGTTAGTAATTGTTGTCAAAAAACAATGCTGAAAAAATAATGCTAAACGTCTTATAATATTGTTATTTTTTTTTCTTTATTTTACTTTACCGGTATATTTTATATGAAAGGAAATGTGCTTTAATTTGGTCTAAATGAGATCCAAAACAACACACGTTATTCAATCATCGGAACCCACGAGTATACTACATTCAATAATTAAATGGAGAGAGAACCCGTGGGTTTCACCGGTGACGTTGCATCCACTGTAAATTGATATCAAACGTGTTACAGTACATAAATGGACAAATGGATCAAGATTTAAAATCTAATTCCAGTTCTGTGGACGCTCGAGCAGGATCACCTATTGAAATTGATTACGTTCGCTCAAACGTCAGTTCTACGTACGCTCTGGATGACGTAGAATGCCAAGGTAACGAGAACAGTATCGGGGACTGCAGGTCTACTACAGGCGCTCAGATCAACTGCTTTGGACCTGACGAATATGCCAGTGTGGCATGTACTCTACTAGACAACTCACCACCGACTCGTAATTGCCTTTTTTTTTTATCAAGTCTAATACACACACGTACGACTACATACACTCAGAGAGAGAGAAAACAATTTTTAAATATACAAATAAAGCATGAGATTAAAAATTTCTAAATTCTATGTTAGAGAATCTGATGTTGCTTGTTGGACTGATGCAGGTATATGAACAATCATGGCTTTGCTATTCTTAAGAAAATGATTTTTAAAGAATTTTCCTATACCGGTATATTTCTATGTAAAACTTTGGCTGGCCATTGTTGCTACGCACTACCCATGTAATATTGCACATTTTCAGCTCCGATCCCCATCCTTGAATGTTCCAACGGCAGAATCAGGGCTTCATTTAGCCGTCAGCATGACAGAAATTTAGAAGAGAAATTTCTTAGTATATTTAATCAAACCAATGGTGTTTGTAACGTTATCAAGACAACGGATACAAATTATGTGTCCATTAGTATACCATTCGACGAGTGCGGTACCGAAATCATGGTATTTCTTATTTAAACTGATACATCTAAAGAAAAGAATAGTAATTTTACATTTATTCATTTAAAAGTCTACAGCTAGATGCACAATCATCTTTAGCAAAGTAGCGACATTAATATAACTGTGAATTAAACTATTAAAATCTGAATAAAAAGTAGGTGACAAATGCCTATATTTTTTTATTACCTTTCCTGGTTCAAATTTGAATAATTTCGTTTAAATTTATACCTTCTATATACATGTAAAAATATCACAATTGTGAAATAATTCATATGAAATATGTTAAAGGCATACTAATATGCAATCAATTCACTTTTATTTTTAGACAAACGATTCTCATATCATATATACCACGGTTCTTCTCTATGATTACACATCAACCGAAGGTAATGTCCACAGGGTGAACACGTACCGAGTAGAAGTCTCGTGCGAGTTCCCGCGAGAATTATATGCCAGTAAAGGAATGATACCGCAGTCAGAAAGTGTTACACAAAAGGCCCCTGGAGCATTCCACCTCAGAATGGACTTTTTTAGGAACAACTCATTTGTCAACCCTGTGACAAATTATCCTTTGGTCCTGACTCTGGGAGAGTGGCTAAATGTAGCAGTCACGTTGGAAACCGACGATTCCAATCTTAAACTGATAGTTCCCGACTGCGTGGCCACACCATCTACTTCTAAGACGGACCCCACAACGTATCCATTGTTTGAAACCAAGTCAGTATTGCCAAAATTTGTCCTTAAAAAGTAACCTTGAGGCTAACTAATTTCAATAAAAAAAAAGATTCATAGAATGATTATATGTTGTTTTATGTCCCATTCGAGAATCTTTCACTCACATAGAATCGTAACCATATACCGGCGATGGGCTTAGAAAAAGACCTAGTATAATCTGTAATCAGGGAAATAAGGAACGATTAGAGTTCCTATTTGTGCCAGGCCTGTGACACATTAATAACATTCTCATGCATGATAGAAATTATACAATATGTAGAATTTTTTTTTACTAGATGATAAAAATAAAATTAAATGATTGTAGAGCATCTTTGAAATCTTCAACTCTACATAGATGCATATTTTTATTGTATTTTGTCTCGATTGGTTCAATTTTCTTTTCAGATGTCAACGTGATCCCACTCTTGGATTTTTCCCCTTAAACTCCACCTCCTTTGGATTTCGTTACAAGACTTTTAAGTTCGTCAACTTTGATCTAGTGTACCTGCACTGTAGAGCTTTCGTTTGTTTGCTCTCAGAGAAAACAGCCGAGTGTGACCGGAGCTGTAACTCAACAGTAGCAGGGCGTAGACGACGAGATATTACTGGCAGAAATAGTCCAACGTATTCCAAAGATATTTACTATGTTGAGAGTCCGGCTATTCATTTTTATAGAGAAGGTACTAATAATACAGTAGTCAGGGACTGGAATCTCTCTACAGGTAAGTAAACATTACAGATTATTTGGGGAGATTGGGGATAAGGTATGTTCAGATATGAAAAAAGACCATTTCCATAAAATGGTGAATATACAACATATAATTTATGTAGGTGTGTTTTTCTTTATTTAGGTCCTACAATAACCCCATTGACCACCAGGGATTTAAAGCCAACTTTTACATCAAATTCAACAACTCTATCAGAAACATCAGGGAAAACAATTGCACCAAATCCACCACCAACAACAAGGATGAACTCAACACCTCCATTGACGACAAACAGGCTAACAACAAAAACACCAACATAAAAAACAACAAAAACAGCAGCAACACAAAAACCAACAACAGCTTCAACTCAGAAACCAACAACAGCTTCAACTCAGAAACCAACAACAGCCTCAACTCAGAAACCAACAACAGCTTCAACTCAGAAACCAACAACAGCTTCAACTCAGAAACCATCAACGGCATCAACTCAGAAACCATCAACAGCATCAACTCAGAAACCAACAACAGCTTCAACTCAGAAACCAACAACAGCATCAACTCAGAAACCAACTACAGAATCAATTAAGAAAACATCCCATACAACAAAAACACAGATAATCAAATCTCAGAAACCAACAACCCCATCAACAAATAAACCAACATCATCAACACCAAAATCAACAACTGCTACAACTCAGAAACCAGAAAAAGCATCAACACAGAAATCATCCGATATAACTAAGAAACAACAAAGAACAACATTTCCAACAACCACCATTAAAAAGATATATTCAACATCTGTGAAAATCGAGAAAGTGACGAATTCTCCCACGACAAGGAAAGTGAAGCCGATAGTAAATAAAAACAAATTCGCTGATTATCCAAATTCTTCAGGGTTATCAGGAATTAATAATAAGGTTCATAGTTCTTGTCAGAAACGATATGATTTTCTTAATTTTATTTTCTATCAGTTTATTTTACTTTTTCTATATTTTCTTATATAGATACATTTATCGTGATTGTTTTAAAATCATTATACTAAGGAGTATCTTACATGTACACCTCCATTTGAACTTTTTCAATAAAAATGCAAACAGAACAATAATATAGAAATTGAAGTAGTTTGCGTGAGTTGCTGCCATTTTTGACATACAGAGAGTGCTACCTAATAGCTAAAGCAGTGAAGGTTCTATTGTTGTCCTAGACCAATATACCTAGAACAAGATCCTAGAGAATACAACAAACGTTCACAAAATCTATACCTTTGTTGGTAATTTTAAGTTAAAGAAACCGTCGAGTTGGATCGAAATTATTATCTTCCGACGTGTTTTCATTTAAAGATTCTGTGCTGGGCAACATACCCTCGCATTATAGTTGGAAGGGATGGAGTGACGCGCTTATATTTGGGTTGGAGGGTTAGATTGTCATTGAAGGCGTAACAAAACTGACGTAATTTGTATTTGTCTAGATGTCAACCGTTGCACTGATTTATAGATTTGCTCTTTTACGAGGGTATCCTACGCCTTGCGGTGGCCTTGTTGGAAATGAGTCTTTGAGGAATAATTTTTATTTATTTCTAGAATGTTATACATAATTGTCAAATCAAAAGTTCAAGTTTTGCAAAATTTACACATTGTATTGACATCGGTTATGAACAATATTTTTAACTTCCATTGGAAGAAGAGCAATTGTATAGTCTATGGTCAAATGCAAATTTTAATAAATGTGGTCTTTTCATATGTACAGTTGATCCTTGATAAAATTAATAACATTTTGGTTTCTATGTCTTCGTTCGGGTGTTATTGATCATTCTTTATATGTTTATATTTATTATCGAACAAATAGATGATTCATTGTCTATGCACTCCTCCTCAGAGTATTTGTAAAAGGACTAGAAAACGTATTCGATCGTGTAAATATTCTGAGGTGAAATGCAGAATTTAAGAGAAGAGCATTAGACCTAACCTTTATTTGTTACCAGCAAGTGACACATTTTACCCAATGCACAACCTTTATGATCCTTTTTAAATTTTTCCAGTTTCAACTGTTTGACGAAGACTTCTAAAATCTACGTCCTTTTTATAAAAATAAAATCTGAGATATTAAGGATGACTTGAATAAATTCATTGACAGAGTACCAAGGTCCATTTTACTTATTTTAATTTTATACGTCGGTAGAGATAAAGATTTGGACTTTGAATTACCTTGAAAGAGAAATTTCCAAATTTTAAATCACTCATAACGTAACAAAATATTTCTGTTACTGAAATGCTGATAAGATTTTTAAAAGTAAGTTAGCAAACGCATTGTTAAATTAAAATTGAAACCAACTTTTCAAGGACATAACAATGCAAATATTGAGTACATGTTATTCTTTACCTTAAAATCTATATGTGTTTGATTTTTTTAGCAAAGAAAAGACGTGAAGCTGCTTTAGAGACGTTGACGTTATTATCCATGCACCGTAAGGCTATGCAACACATTACATTAAATTTCATAATTTGTTTATTTATGCTTATATCTATTTGAAATTTGCTATGTATTTGGATGAAATATGTACTAAAGAGTAGTGAAAATTTAAGAACGCAGTAATGATTATTTTTCACTTTACACTTCATAACAAAAACCTCTCATTCTAACTTTTTTATTTTCCAAGACAATCATAATTATAAAAATATGAATAGATTTCTTCAAAAATTGTATAAGTGGCTCAGGACAACAGATTTTTGTAGAAAAACCTGTTTTTGACCACCAGAAAGCGTAGAATAACAATTTTAAAAAAAATTATGCTTCTTATGTTCAAGGCACCACAAACATATTTCATATGACAATTCGGCTACTGCTTTAAAATTTAAGAATTATTTGAGTAAGATATGTGACGTACAAACAGACGGACAAACCAGGATATTAATATACCTGAACTTTCCTTAGAAAGTACTGGTATAGACCCTTTTCCTATGACATATTTTGCCTAAGAGTTATTGCCTTTAGCCGCCATATTGTAGAGCAACATTACCAGATCCCTTCATTATTCAACCAATTTCAATTTGTTATACAGGTCACTGAGGTAAAGATAACACTTAGTCTATTTTTCTTATAAAATTCTATTAATTCATAATTTTAATATTGTAAATATTTCCCCCCATATATTTCTTGCATGCATGTTTAAAACTGGTTGCTCAAAGAGGTAAATTCACTTCTTTGCCCTACAAGATGGCGACTAAGGAGAATAACTCCTAAGCAAAACATGTCATAAGAAAAGTGTCTAGTAAAGTTAGCTTGTAACTTTCCATCCGAGTTGTGAAAATCATGTTGGCCTGTCCACGAGCTCTGGCATATATAAGAAAAAGATTCCATTGGTTATCCATTGAAAATATATTACACCTTTGAACTTATACTATTCCTTGCCAATTAACAGAATAGTGTTTACAATATTAAAATGAGCAATAAGTCATTTAGCAGTTTTTTTAACCCTGGATGCTAGACAGATCCAAGGTTCAAGTTGGGGCTAAATTGGTGACCTTTTATACTGACTTTTGATTTATCATTATAATGTCATTTGTTTCAAGTTTTACACCATTCAATTTGTATTATATAAATTTAAAAAAAAGTACAGGCTATTCAAGTTGCCGTTTGACCCAAAGACCTTTAAATTTGACCTACTTTACAAAAATAAGAATTACTTATAGTTTTCAAAAAAAAAAAAAAAGAGATAGGATTTTCAAAATTCACATGTTTTATCTTTGACAAAAATGTTTTATTACTGTTGACTTCATTTTATTGACATTGCAGATTGACTTTCATTTCAAAATTTAAAGATGGTAATAGCTTTTTATTGAGAGAAAACATGTATACTTTAAATTTAAACGTATGCATTACCTGTCTGTGGCGGAGTCATATTTATTTAAAATAAATTTTTTATCTTTATTGAATAACTTACTGAGCCATAATTTACTATATGCCATATTTGGTAGTAGTCTCCATTCATGAATTCTACTCACAAAATCTCATTGGCCAGTAAATTTGTACCCCCTTGTTTAACCGGTTTTTCTGCTATATATACTGAGGCATGGGCCCATCCCTGTCAGTGCGGGAAATTTAACTTACAGATTACCAGCTGCCCGTTGTCACCACTTGAAAGGTAATTTTCTTAGTCTATTAAATTTTTGCATTTTATTTATTAAGTCCAAGTTATAAGCTCAAGTGTTTTTCATATTTTTGAGAGAAAGGTATTTTAAACTATGAATTTGACGTTTTTGGGCTTAGTAAACTTAAATTTTCTTATTTTTGAAGTGAATAGGAAATAAAAGTATTTTGTCTCAGTGTCTATGTGTATTATGATATTGTATATATGTTTTTGTATTTGTAGATCTGCCATTGCTTTTTCATTTCCAAATAAATTTATTAAACTGAACCTGCGTTTTCCATTCCCGCTTGGTTACATGTCACAAAACTTACAGATTGCGTCATGAATTTTGACTTCACAATCTACTTTTCATAAACTTAACCCTGACCATAGCTTTTGCATCTTAACCTTGACCTTCGAGTTTTATGTAGTTTTAAGATACATATTTAGTAGTTGAGATTTCTTTTGAAACAAAAATTAAGATTCAACAAAATAGAGAGAAATAACAGTCACAATATATCATAAATACCTGTATATACATGAGTGCTGTCCCTAAATTTGAGCAACATAGTTCTCTGAATTTGCTTTTACTCCATATTTGCACATTCATATATTCAACACTGACACGCGGATAAAAAAATTTGGAGAGGATTTATTTTTACAAAATAATATTAAAATTTCATCACATGTCACACTGTATTCCATGAAGTAAGTACTCGCTCATCATGAAATACATGATTAAAATGATAGGTTTCATCAACAATAATCACTAAAGTAATATGCATACAACAAACAATGTAAATACTGTATCTTGCATAAGGGTAAAATTATTGCTTGACATTGTACAAAACTAAGTCTTCACTGGTTTTATAAAACAATCCTCGTTTTATTACGGTAAGTTTGATTTTGGTAAAAGTGGGTCCTTTATCATGAAATGAAACAGCCAATACGTTTCTCATTAATTATTGCAATAATTTCTGTATAAATTTGATAATTTAATAAATCTTAAATACTTTTTTTTCAATTGCAATCGCAATTTGCTAACTGTAAATAGTGTACATACATGTATTTAGAAAAAAGCAACACATTAGAAAAAAATCATATTTCAAATGTTATGATATCAATTTTTAACAATTTCATTTATATGTTTTTATTAAACAATTTAAGCAAAGAATATATATTTAAATAATACAAGAAAAATCCAATGTACTAGTAACCTTTGTAATTTGTAAATTTGTTCAGAAAATTCCGCAAAGGCTTGATTACAATGTTGTTGACTATATGAACACAAGTTATGGAAGGTTCAATTTGCTTTATGAAATTATTTCTGCAATCTATTGTAGAAGATTCACATTAAAATGTAAACTGCAAAATAGTTAACCAGCGACTGAAATACTAAATTTATTCATTTGCATTTTTTTTTTAAATTATTTCTTCACAAAAAACCTTAAAGTGTTTGTTTCAGCTTACATCTTTTCAAGTTTTGCAGGTTTATTATAAAAATCTAAAATTAATGACATTTATTCCATTGAGTTTCTGGTATAAAGAGAAATACAAGAAACAAATTCCTTTAAAAACAATTATTAATGGGGAAAAGTCAAATGTATTTGCTAAGATATCAACATATCAGATGGACTTTTAGTATAATTCTTTTACACTTCTGTTTTTATACATTCAAATTAAATGCATTCATTTTTTGTTTCTTTAGAAAAAGCTTACTGGTATTTTCTTTTTGCATTGCTAGTGATATTTCTGGAATGAAATAAAATTGTCTTTAATGGGAGAAAATAACAGGACAGACATCAGTTGATACATGTTTACATGTATAAGAATGACTTGATTGTTTCGTCATGGATATTTTTGGATTGGAACAAAAATAAAGGAATATAAATAAATGAAACATATGCGTTGCATTCGTTGTTGTGTAAGTTACGAATGTCTTCAATGTACTTCAAAATTTCTTATCAGTCTTTTTTACAGATGATGTCACACTGTGTGGACTTTATCCCTGTCCTTGAGGCTGTGCCATGTCATAAAGTGTTAAGGCTTGGATGATGGTGGGGTCTTTCTTTGAGCCTTCTAAGAATTCCTCAAAGGTGAGCTTGTCGTCTCGATTCTGCAAATAAGTAAAGTATTATATACCTGAACGCAATAAGGTGCAGTATTACAAAATTGTAAATTTTCAGAGATACCACCATTAAAAATTATTTAGATAGGTAAAAGTGATTTATATTTATTCAGTATCTTTTCTTCCCAAAACTAATTTCCTTTTACAAAATGAAAACAAAAAGACAAGTCATCAGAGGATGTAAAGTAAATTTTGCATATCAAATGCAGTGTACATATAACCTGTCTTTATAAAACGAAATATTTCTAAAAAATATTTTAGTCATACAACACAGCATAATACTGAGTTATCTCTCTTATTATTAGAACATTGTCCAGTACTCACCTTATCCATAATGTCAAAAATTTTGTTTACTCTTTTCTCCGGTGTATTTTCTTCTTCTGGAAGATTAACCATACTTCCCTAAAAAATACAGACATTGACAAATGCAAAGAAATAAACGAGAATTCCTCTGACCTAGTGGCTACACATAATAATATTCACCACTTTGGCCAATCAAAATATGTATTTGCTGAAAGAACACGTTGAAATTTTTGTGGCATTTAGCATTTGGTGTAGAAAGCCGATTTTGTAGCAGAATATGATCCTACATGAAACAGATAATATGTATAAACATTAATTCACCTGTACGATAACATGCCTTATTATTTTACAGTTAATATCAACAAATTTGATTGTTTGTCTATCTCTGAAATTGTTGTTTTATGAAAAACAAGAAACTGGTTTCTACTTGATATTTCTATCATACCCTGTTCATGAGGAAACTTATGACTTATAAGAAATTTAATTTCTGTTTGATCCGTACACATATCTATATTTATTTATTTGATTTATTAATATAATAAAAATTATTAATGACATTAAATTATTACGTAATCTACGGGGCTTATTTTATATAGCTAAATTTATCTACGAAATATTTTTGACCACTGCTTAAGTTTGAGTTTTTAAATCACTGTAATTAAATTACATGAAATTAGTTATAAATTGTAAAATCATTTGTTTTTTGTTTTGTTTAATACAATATGTAAAAGAACTAGGTTTTGAAAACCGTCAAAACATGCTTTTCGATATTCAAATTCTGATTTTAAACTGAGCATAATATTGTTTTGAATATTTTAAGTCCATAAAACTCTTGAGATCACTACGTTTAATTAGAATTTAAGTTAAAATAAAAGTTAAGTTGAAAGAGCTAAAACCGTTAACGTGCTCGTCAATGTACGTGTTATTTTGCCAATGAGTGTTATTTACGTTATACGTTGTGAATCTGAATTGTAAACAGCATAATATGCATAGATTTACATTTTCTCTTAGTATCAATTTAACCGAATGCTTTTTGTTTACATATTTACATGTATGCTCATTGCAAAAAAACAATTTCCCAAAAGTTATTTCGCTGAAATTCATTGGATTAACAAACATCATGCATTTCCTTGAAAGGGCAAAATTACCTCTTACAATGTACTGAGAAAAATGATTTTTGTATTTGGATTAGTGTAAAAGTGTACCTACCACCATCTTATATATAGCGTCTACTATATCCAGTAGTTCTTGCCTTGTGATGTACCCATCATTATCTAAATCATAAAGTTTGAAAGCCCCTGAAATAAGAAACAAACATTTTTATGTTTCAATTGCATGACAAAAAGACCTGTCTATGTCGATTTTAATGAAACAAAAAAAGATAAAAGACGAAGTTATCTAATTATTATACATTCTCAATCATATTCATGTCTATGTGATTTGCATAAACGTACCTTGTATTACTAAGTGATAAATTTCATTCCAATAACAAATAATAATATCCTTAAAAAAATTAAATGCAAGATTCAAGCACCTGATTTTTTTTATTTATTTCTCCAAAGAAATGAATAATCATAAATAACAATTATAAGAGCATCATAATTAATTCCAGAGGTCGGATCAGATGCCCAAGAAGATCAAGTATCCACTGCTTACCAGCCATACATGCCTCGAGTCCAATGCATTGTACAAGAAGACGGAATATATTTCGTAGTCAAATTAAGTACAAAAAAAAGGCTTAATATATGACACCAATCCACCAAAATCAGCCAAAATTCGACCCAATGATAAATAATATCAGTTTTTGCTAAGAAGGTCATTATAACTAAGAAGGTCATTATAACTACCATTAAATATTGACGAAGTTATTGAAATCTACGTAGCATCAACCTACAGGAAGCCTGTCTTGGTTTTTAAAAAAACTATCATGCTATGTGTATGGCCCTGCGAAGCAATAAGTTGGAAGACATAAACACCATATGCAGATGACATTGGAATATAAAGGGAGTTGACGATTGAAAAGCTGAATTAATCTTGTCATGCAATTTTGTTGCAAGTAGGATTTTGTCGTGTACATGTATGGTCAATAAAAGATCCAAATATGAAGGAGGTGTGGCATACTCTGTGGTGTCCTTTATTCGAGTTCACTGAGATAAATCGAGTCACTGGAAATAATTTATGTTACTCAGTAACTGAGAAGGTCAAAGCAAATGTCTTCCTAATCTCATGTAGAAGTTTTTGAATAAATTCTGCATCATATATAGGAATGTAAAAACAGGTCGGCTAATTATTAAGGAGCACAAAAAGTGTTGATCAGAATTTTCTTAAGTTTGTTAGATAAAATGTTGTGTCCAAGGCTACAAACAATAAATTATGATGTCAAAGAAGAACTCCTGACCAGCGTCTTTTTAAAATCAACATCAGATGAGAGTGGTTTTTAAGGTATGTCACTTGTGAAATTTGTTAAATCAAGAATTTATTGGGAAGTATATTTTGGATAAGTACTCAAATAGAGTGACTCAAGATCGCAGAGAAAATAGGGGGTCGGTGTTCATCTTACTGATCTACGGTACAATGAAGTTGACTTTTTTGCACTTAAATGTTAATTCTTTGGTTAATTACTTAAATCTTTATTATATTTTATCAGGTGTAACCATGGCAAAATCATTCAAAATATTTTACGTAAAATATTTTGAATAATATTTATCATTGAAAAAATCTTGCAAATTAATGCGCGTAAATTATTGTGTGACCTTTTTGCACTAAAAAGTAACATATTTTGGGGTATTTAAAAACTAAATAGGCTATAAAACATTTTCTTAAATCAAGCGTTTTACGACTTAAGTGCTGATCAGTCATAAGTATCGAGTACTTTAAAATAATGAATGAACAAGTGGGGGTCAGTGATGTTAAGTTTGAAATATTGATCAAAATATGTGATTTTCAGGCATAAAATGGTGTTTATTTTATATTGAATTATTTGAAATATCTTCATTTTTTGGCAAAGTTTGTCGAAGGAAGGTGTAAAACTTGTTCTAAAAATATAAATTAAGACCTATATTAAATATTCCTATCAATATCATAATGGAAATATTCTCCAAGTAAAAGTATGTGAGGCTAAAAGTCCAAGATATTAAATTAGATAAATGTGCAGATTTGCAGAATTATCTGCTAAATGTCCTTCAAAAAATAGTCCTCACAAATCTTGCTTCTTTGTAGCTTTTTGTGCAGTTTTTTAGTTGAATGTTAAAACAGTAACATTGTAGAAATTAAATATGTTATAAAAATTTAATTTTGATAAATAGTTTTGAAGTACATTTGTAAGAGGTTCTGCGTGAACTTTTCCAAAAAGCTGACGAGTGACCTACCTTAATTAACAATTTTAATAGTCAAAATATAAAAATATTTATATTTATTGTGTTTTTCCTGTTTATCCAACGTAGACTTACGCTGGGGTTGAGACTCTATAAACCTTGACGATAGAACATATATTTTAAAACAATAATATGCTCTTGCTCATGATATCACACAAAAATTCTATTCGAGGTGTCCAGCAAAGAAAATATTTAGAATTATGTAAATTATAACAAAGCTTTTTGTTGCATGAATGAAATAATGTGTGTATTTGTTGGTCTGTTGTGTTCTTTCCACGCAATTTAAAGATGATGACGTAAATACCTAGACAAAAAATGTCAGTTTTGATTCTTTCTAACTTAATGAGCGGATAAGTCAATTATATACCTCGTGAATGTACGTGCTAGATTAAAATTGACTTCCGGAAGAGATTTAGTGGAGAAATCTGCGGTTTGGCAACAAAAAAGAGATTTATTCATGAAGACTCATATCTATTCAATAAAGGCAGAGTTTTTGAGCATCCGAAATTTGTCGAAGATATTTTTGGAATGTTTATTAGGAAACCTGGCAAAGCTGACAAAGATATTTGGGACAATTCAGTGCATAACACACACGGAGAAAAAGAGTAATTGGCTCTCAAGGTTTTATAGCAAAGTGCATACTTTTAACTTTCGTATATAGCTTTGTTATCATTTTAACCTTGACAGAGTTGTTTCTTCTTTTTTCAATTAAAATTTAAATTTGTAAATTATAAGTAACGTACATTCACATACATGATTGATTTAATATCTTGTTAGACTGATTATATTTGTTCATCAATTAGAAACATCCGTAAAGCTCGTACTTTTATTTTGGCATTTGGCAGACAAAATATACATGTCATTGAAATCCTTTAATGTTTACATTTTTTATCAGAAAAACAATAACTACCTATTGATTTGGAACCATTTGTCTCTTGTTTCAAATTCAATATTTTTACTTACTTATTAAACATTCTGATTGGAAATACATGTAGTCGGTTTCAACAATCATTTAGATTACAACAGTGAACATACAATAAAACCCGATACTTTCACACCTTGTGATTGGTACTCAACCAAATTACTTCGTTGAAAATCACTCTGATTATTCACACAGGTACCGTGAAGTTGATATTGAAGGATGCTGGAGTTCCTTGAGACAACATTTATGTAGTCTTAAGATGGACACTTATTGTACTCCTTTATAAGCCGATCTCTTTTATTGTTTAATATAATGCATCTTCTACATGAAAAATACACTTGCCCTGACCTTTACTTGACATTCAGATAGATCAGCGACGTTTTATCAATTAACACTACTTATTTCTTTCATTTGTCGACTAGATATATCCCAAGACACCACAGAGTTTGCCATATCAAGCTTCATATTTGGATGTTTTACTGACAATAGACCAAAAAGACCAACTTAAAATTACTTGTGAATTATATGAAAAAAGAAATGTCTAGCCTTTCCATCGTCAACTTTCTTTTTTTGTAGTAATATTCCGCTATCTCATGAACATAGTGTATATGTCTTCCACTTTATTCGCTACTCTCAGCAAACTCTGAGAAGGATAAATTTTCAAACTCTGCAAGCTAACTAACATATATTTTGATTTCAACAACCTCGTTTCAAGTCAGCAGTTCGTAAATTTTATGGGCGTTATAATGACCTTATTATGACGTTATAATGACTAGTATATGCAAATATAACCACTGGGTCGTGTTTTACCTGCCTTTTTCCATACCAATTAAGCCTTTTCTTTTTGTACTCAAATCGACTACGGAATGTTCTGCCTACTTGATCAACACATAGGGCCCATGACGAGTGTGACAGGTCAACATGGAGAACTTTCTCATTCTAGGCACCTGATTCCACTTCTAGAAATCCTGGTTTGAGTTTACAATTTTGTATTGTTTGTAGTTTTTTTTATGATTTTGACCGCTGTTCGTCATCTTCGCCTTTTTCATGCTTCTAAAATCATTCAGAAGAAAGATAAATTTTCTGTTATCGCATTATGAATGATTAGTTTTATTAAAAGGGCGTTCAAATTCAAATTTGATGTAATAATGATTCGCACGTTAGTTAACTGATAATAGAATTTGTGAAAGAAACTCAAGAAACGCCCAACTCAGACATGAACATGCACATCATAGCATCTGTTATTAGCATCTGTCTAGAAACTCGTCATGTCAAGAGTTTGTCTACAACCCCTCGTAGAGGCTGTAAAGGCCATCAAACCTATTCCTGGGGATCCATTTCTTAAAGACATTACCATAGATATTCCGTATGGTAAAAGCAAAGCTAATAGAACAAATTTGCAAACAGCTTATTAGCTTAGCATAAAAATAATTTTTATATCAACAGCTTTCCATGTATATCAATATGATAGCAGACAGGAACTCCGGCATTGCGTCAAATAACTGTCCGCGCGTGCCAATATTGACAGCATTTGTGGTTTGTGGCGTCCATAAGACAGAAACCATTGTGTGCAAAAAGAAAACCACGAGGAACCGTTATCGTGCAAATATTGCTTGGAGAGGATGAAGGCTAATGAATAAATATCAATTAAGAACACAAACATGAACCGCATAGGCAGTCTACATAAAATGGCAATATCTTTGAGAAGATCAAGACGGACATTTATGATCGGCATTGTTCTCTTCATATATGCCATTTCAGACAGAATGAACTGTCATGGTTCATAAAGGACGTTTTAGTGTTTGAAGAAATACGTAATAAACAATAAATATATAAATGTTTTAAAGAAAAGGTGATAGAAGTAGACGATTGTATAGTCACCTTCACCATCAGACATACAGTATCAGAGAAGGGGTGTTGAATTCACAATAACATTCACAAGTGATGAGTTTTATGGGTCTTACAATGTGAGTTAAATATGCAATGATTTACAATGAAAATCACAAACATCAATTCTTAAGTCTATAAATAATTTTATTTTCCAGGGTAAAAATTGTCAACTCCCATTAGAGCATTACACTGTTACATGTATGTTGCCGTAGTGGCGCAGTGGTTAGAACATCTGCTCTAGACTCCCAAAGTAAGGAGTTCATCCTTAAGTCGCGGGTTCGAATCCCACTGTGGGACGTGGAGACAGGTCCTTTGGATGAGACCATATAAAGGTCCGTTGTCGCAGTAGGTGCTGGCAAAAAAAGATCCCTCACTACTCAATGGCCTTAAGTGCCGAGTATAGGACAAAGTTTGCAGCTCTCCATCGGCAAGTGATGACGTCTCCTTTTGAGTGAAAAATTCTCCAGATGGACGTAAAAAACTATACAATCAATCAATCATATCTTTACACTCCCAATACGATTGAAATTGTCGTTTATGACAAACATTAAAAAAGCACTTACATTTAAGTTTTTCTTGAACACTTCCCCTAGAAGTCACAGATAAGGCTGTTAAAAACTCGTGGAATTCTATATAACCGTCTCTGTTCTCATCAAATACATTGAATACAAACGACGCAAATTTACTGGGATCTCCGAAAGGGAAGAATTGCTTGTAGATTTTTGTGAATCCCTGGAAAGATAAAGGCAAATCTATTAAAAACAATGAATTGGTGTCTTCCTGAGTTTTCTAACATTAAAAGAGCATAATGTTTAATTAAAATATATAACAGTTTGTTTTTGACTTTATGGTCTGTAAAATTCATATCAAAATGCTTCAAATAAACACACTTTTTTCTTCCTTGAATATAATAATGAAAGCTTCTGTCTCGAGTCGTTAATTTTTGTTCTGCAAATATAAAATGGAAAATACTTTCCTTCGAAGTTACTCATTCCTATAATCTAAACTTCTGACTTTGATTGTGATTAAACATGTAATACTAGTACTAGTAAGTATTCCATTTTTTACGCAATTTTTTCGATTTGTTAACCGGACTTTATTAATTGATGCGAAGAAATCTTGCTAGGCATTATATAATGAAAATCAGTCCAGAAAGGCTACCACGTGTTAAACAAAATTGCATAAAATATTCTGGATATCAGTCAAAATACTGAAATGTGTTCACTTTTTTAAATCTATTTATTCCTCAAAGAATTCTGCAACAGAAGTAATACTAAACAAGAGCGAACTCCTCTGTTTTAAAAACATTTGCAATCGGATTAATTGGTGTAGACCGCAAAAGATCAAAGAAGCCAAACTCGTTTGCTCCTTTCATACTTTTACAACATTCAGGAATTTATACCCCATTCAAAATATAAACACAATGAAAGTTATTAATCTTTTCGCAGTCTGTTTTTCAAAGAACATGACGCACAAGTTCATGAAATCTCCTTATTAACGTGGGTTATGAAAGTATTTTAACAATTTTCTCTGTAGACTTAAAAATATGCGTCAAACATAACAGATAATCGGGGTCTTTAAAATTCTTCATCGTGGTAAAAAGAAAAATAACTAGAGGTACTGTGAGCAATGAGCTCACTAAATGATACCCCCCGCCTCCATATAGTTATAATTGCAAAGTCCATGTTTTGCTGTGGCCGGGAAACCCAAAATATGTGTCGGATCAAAAAGTAAAATAGGAGGTGCACAATGGCAATATGTAATAAAGATTCTGTGAAAGTTTCATCAAATTTCATTCAGTGGTATGAGAGGAGTTGCGGATAAGAGATGGGTACCCCAAAGCGTAACAGACGGACGGACGGACAGACGTACAGACGGACGGAATTAACGATTACTATATACCCTCCCGCTTTTCAAGCGGGGGGGGTATAATATAAATATTAAATACATAATGAAGAAACCATTTTTTTTTTATAAATGTGTACTTTTCTTTGACATTGTAACCTGACATGCCAAATATTTCCAATACACAGGAGAAACTGACGTATTTTGATAAGGAAATCAATTGCTTATGACATATTCGCAATATTGTGTGGCGAAACGGCGTTTGCTATAAATGTGGTTTAACGGTTATGGGCTGATCAGTTTGCAGTTAGGAATGGCCTCTCAAGAGCTTTATCGGTAATTAGGAAATAAAGCCCTTTGAAGGATTATAGCTTATGAATATTCCACTTGATTTAGTTCCACGCGCCATGTTATCCAAAAAGTCTGAATTCCTAAGGGGTGATTCTGGAAAGTCTCTAGAAATTGGAAAACAAATAAAAGAGTGCCTCAGGACGCAACATTGACCACACTGACGGACCTTTAACAGCAATATGTTAAGTTACATCGATTCATTTCACATTCTGACATGCTCATCGAGATCATGGTGAATTTTGTGTAATCTTGAGACAACTAGACCCAGGCCAATCCTCTTATTCTCACCTTCTATATTAAAAATGTAACTAGACCTAGGTTCTAATACATTGTAATTAACTTATCTTTGATTAAATATCTTCTTTGTCCGTCTGTCTATACGTTTGTCCGTCTGTTACGCTTTGGGGTACCCATCTCTTATCCGCAACTCCTCTCATACCACTGAAGGATATTTAATGAAACTTTCACAGAATCTTTATTACATATTGCCATTGCGCACCTCCTATTTACTTTTTGATCTGACATATATTTTGGATTTTCCAGAGCAAAACATGGACACTGCCATTATATTCATATCGGAGGCGGTGGGTATCATTTAGTGAGCTCATTGCTCACAGTACCTCTAGTTAATGATACTTTCAAGGTTTCTTTATAACATAATGCCATTATGCGCCTCCTATTTTAATCTGGCACTTATTTCTGGTCTCCCATAGCAAATCGTGGACTTTACAGTGTATAATGATATGGGAGGCAGGGTTATCATTAAGTGAACTCATTGCTATCAGTACTTGTAGTTTGTTCATTTTTATCTGTACAGTTATGTTTTCAAATCACTTAAGGTCAAGATCTAGTAAATTACTTTAGACTCATTTTTTGTGCTAGATCCATTGTGACGTCATAATCAATTTCAACTTTCTTTTTCCCGAACTTTACGGCTTCAGCAAAACTATGTAGAAAAATAGATATTTTCATGACATTTAATTTGAAATCATACGAAAAGTAAACCAGATACCTATATTTAATTTGATATTGGTTTAAAGAAGAGGCCATGGACATACTAATTACCGTTTTCTGTGAGACTGTAGGCAATCTGGATACATTTCCTTTGTCGAATATGAAAAAAACTCCCATATTCATAACTGGTTTTCTTAATTTTTCATTGAAAATAACAGTTTAAAATACAGTTTTCCTTCTTATTTACCTACAAATTATGGCCCGAAACACCTTACTTGACCAAGCTAAAGTTGTAAAGCATCAATGGAGAAACTTATTTGTCAAATCTGATAAATCTGTAGGCACCTTTCATTTACTAGATCTTGACCTTAAGAAAAAAATAGTGGATTATATATTTCTCATGAAATAAAAAAGGATTAAACATCATGCATCCTTTCCAAAAACGCATTGGTCTCAGAGTTTCACATTCTTATCATTTAGGCATTTTATTTCATTTATGATTTAGATTTTTCATAATTTTATTGCACGTTATTCTTCAAGAATGTTGAATCATCCTAGAATATGTCCTTTTTTCGTACATGTTGAGCCTAGTATGCATTAAACTGTTTTCACATCGTAAATTTAATTGCGTGACAATGTATTTTGCAATTATGCATCAATCAAACTAAAAGTTTTTCATGTTTATGCATTGTAAGCATTGTTTCTATGTGTCTCCATAGATAAAACATAAACAAAACAATGCTTTTATGCCTAATTAATAACAGAATCCCCCCATTATATTCCAGTGCCTTATCATTCACAAACGCTGTTCATTGGAATGAAAAGCTAGAATGAACACGTGCATTGTATCAGCTTTCTGTGTATATGTTCTGAACCCACTCTTGTCCTTCGACTTTGAAGTTTGACCCCACCCCCCATTAGACTTACCTCTAATGTCAGTTTACCATCTGGACAATCCTTCATAAAACCTTTGTACCTGTGGAAAATCGTACATTCGTGTTATTGTTATACTTGGCAAGATTTGATAGCTTATAGATGAAAGTTTTGACATAGAGGATATCTTTTTTATTTGTTTTCTCAGCTGAGCATATACAGCATTTCACATATGAAGAACACTTTTGATGATGTGTACTGTGTAAAATCAAGGTATACACATTTATCATTTTAAAACCATGTCAAACTGTCCAGACTTTACTACATGCATTTTCTTTTGCTATTTACATGTAAATACAGGTGTTTAACTATTTTTAAAAGCAAATGCAGAGACTGCATAATTATCATACTGAATTTTGTCTGATGGAATTCAAGACTCCAATAAACAAAATTTGTAAAAAGGAGGTATAACTTCACGTACTTACCAGTTTTGAATTTCTTTTTCTGTAACTGAAAAAAGAAAGAGGATTTCAATCAAATAGTAGCACGTGTAAAAATATGATTGTTCTTTTTTAAAATTCAATAAACATTTTACTGGATAAAGAACCAGGTATCAAATTCAATTTTTATAGGTACAAAATAGAAGTATGACAAAATTAAGTGAAAGTGAATCATATGAAGGGATTTGCTTTAAAATTATACTTGATAGAACTTGCTGCTTCTCACAGTTAAGAGTTTAAACAACATAGACAGTAAACATGTAAAGGATAAAAATGTGAAACTATCAGAATGTAATGATGTGAAACTGACATTGGACACACTCTCATTTGCAAAATTACATGTATTAAAATAGTCTTCGGACGTACTTTATTCTAAGACTTTGCATTTTAGATGTGCCATCTGAAGTGGACTAAGTTAGTAAGTAACCCCATTAACCTTAACCTTTTCACTTTGAGTGAAAACTTTAAATTACCAGTTGATCGTTGGTAAAGTCATACCTGACCTTGAAAAAAATGGGTAGCAACCTGCTCAAAATAACTAACGTGTTAATTTAATCCAAGGTCTGTGCGTAATGGTAAATTGGTAGACTTCACTTAAAGTTTTTACATATTTGATCTGGAAAATTGTTTAATATATATGGAGACGTTCCGTCTAGCAGAAGTAATACTTAATATTGTGAAAAAAAAGTAAATCTTTGAATTAAAAATATGTTTTAAAACAGAAGCCGAAACTGAGAATAAAAAAAAAAAAATAAATTCCTTTACAGAAATTGGACGTGTAACGCCTATTAAGCCTATTAGGCTGAAAGATATAGGGCCTTATCAAACCATGTTCTTTTGAATCATCTAAATGTCCAATGAAAGTATCAGATTGATGTCAGATATTCAAGCACAATGCAGTTGTCTCTTAATGGAAAAATTATGTCATATCCGGTCTGCCTTTTGTATTGATAAAATGACCAAACTATAAAAGCTCTAGATTGTATTCATATATAGAAAGGTTAAAATGTTTTGAAACCTTGAGATATCAGTACCAATTTATCATAACTTATACATACATGTAATCAGCTATAACTTTTCTTTAGATTTGTGTCATCGTAAAAAATTATATGTCCTGGATATAACCACCGTATTATACTGAAAAATTGGTGTGGTTTTTAAAGGACACATTATACACAGGGAAAGGGACAGGGAAAGGGATAAGGGGATGAAAAATCTCTAAACATCGACACTGCCATTCTTCATGTAATATTGAAAGGTATCCATCTCTTATCCGCAACTCCTCCAACACCACTGAATAGAAATTGATGATGCTTTCACAGATTCTTTATTATGTAACTTCATTTTGCATCTCTTAGTTTACTTTTTGATCTGACACTTATTTCAGGTCTCCCGGGGCAAAACATTGATTTTGCCATTATATCATATGAGAGGAAGGGGTATCATTCAGTAAATTCAGTGTTCACATTACCTCTAGTTTTCATGTTTTTACCTATTTATTGCCTGATTTTTATGATAATGAAAAATAATTTTTTTAATGTGTTTAACCTAATGTTCCATTTTTCTATTTCTACGGTTCTCGCGGTTTTTCGCGTTTTTTCTTTTAAATGCATTATTTATAAACATATTTGTGTCGATTCTAGTGTGCTTCTAGCATCTTTTCGCTGATCAAAGACAGTGTATTTATTATTGATGATTCTAGTTATAGCAATGGCACGTCATTCATCTTGACTTCGATTATGAAGCAGTCATTTTTTTAAAAAAATTATCAGATATTTTTGTCTTTTCTCTCATCTTGCAGTAAAGATGAAGCTGTTGTTTCACGGAGGGAAAGATACATCTTTAACCCACTACTGACTCCAGTCCATACTTTATGACAATAATGATACACTCTTGAATCAATATGATATATAACAGCATAAATGATTATTCAACAGTTCAAAACTTAATTAAATTGATTCTTATGATTAAGTACAGCAATAATAAGGGCATGAATCATGACCGACAACAGATTCTATTTATTCCTTTGGTGGATTATAGAAATGTTACAACTGAGTAGAAGACATGCTTTTTGATTTAAATAGAATATACCTTTACAGTTAAGGTGAAATAGTAGAAAGTATATTAAAACTATACTAGACTGAGGTGCTGTAAGCACTGAGATCTCACAGTGTTACACCTCCTCCCCTTCCGCTCTGATATAATAGTAAGTAAAATGGCAAAGTACATTTTTGCTGTTGGAAATCCCCATTATTTCTCCAATCAAATGTAAAATAAGCAAAATTGCACTACATACGACATAAAGAATCTCTGATAGTCGCAGTAAATTTTATTCAGTGGTACAGGAATAGTAGCGGATAAGATATGGATACCCTCTAAGTTTAAATAAGCCTGACAGTTTCTTGTCTTGTTATGAGAAACCCCAGATACCTCTTAGATCGAAAAGTAATATTTGACAATGAAGCCACCTTATAAGGACCATGTGAAAGTCTTATATAGGAGGATGGTATAGCAGAATTGTGGATACTGAAGAGATGCGTGCCTCCAATTGATATGGTTGGAAGGAAAGACACCCATAAAACCATATATATCTACCGTCTTCAACTTCAAGTGAGGGTACTTACAACTAGGCTCGTTACAAGGATTCTGAAAAGGGGGTTGCAGCCATCATATTTGGACAGGGTAATCCCTGTTCCAATTCAGAAGACATACATATCCCTAACTTGAAAAGCGATGGGTATATTATAAGTGAAAGGGTGTCCGCCCTTCCGTATATCCGTTTAACTTGGGACATATACTAGTATCCTCAACTCCCCAATACCACTGAATACCCGGTAATATCAAATTAGACTCTCACTCAATTAAATTACATAGTGCCACTGTGCACTTCTTATTTAACGAATAATCATATTTGAAGTTTCCCAAAGAAAAGCATGGCCACTGCCTTTCTTTTTGTAACAATAAGAGTATTTAACTCTTATCGGCAACTTTTTCCTTGTAAACCACTGAATAAAGACTCTTTTACGAAGACTTCTAGTATTTATAAGTGTCACTATGCACCTCATATTTTTCGTTTTGAGCGGATTCTTTTTATCGTTACCATAGCAAATCCCGGTAAATATAATTTTTTCCGTAAGAATTTGGTACCCATCTCTTATCCATAACTCCTCCTTTATTAATTAATAAAATTTACTAAAACTTTCACAGAATCTTAATATTACATTGTGCCATTGTTTACTCCTTTTATATATATTCTGCTTGGAAAGATATTATTGATGTTTCCTTTTTAAAAAACTTTGGAATTATACCCGGTACTCAAAAGGGAGCAGGGTCATCTATCATTTTGTGAGTTCAGTGATCACAGTATATCTTTAGTGTTAGGTATAGGTTTAATTGTCCCGTCACCATTTTTGATGGGCTCTGGGATATTTTGTAAGTCTTTCTTCGAAAATCTAAAATCACATGTACCTGCATGAAACAGATGAATAAATAAAAAATGAATTTCTTTCCTTTCAATTTTTCAAATTTTTTTCTTAAGAATTTTTGGTGGCTGGATCATATCCTTTGAAAGACCTTAAAATGTAAGTACACCTTTCATAAAAATATAGGTACTGTAGGTCCTGATATCTGAAAATAATACCCCCGGAGTAAAATGGCAAAGTTTAACAGTGGTTTGAGTGCAAACCACAAGATTCAAAGAGTAATACATTGTAATTTGATGCACAATTACACTATGAAAGAGGATTCTGTGAAAGTCTCATTAAATTTTCATTCAGTGGTAAATGGGTTGTTGTGGATAAAAGATTTAGGTACCCCAAATGTTATGGAAAGAATGACAGTGTCAAGGTCTTAGAAACCCAAATATGTGTCCAATCAAAACATAAAATAGGAGGTAAACAGTGAGAGGTACTAACTGTGAGCACTGAGCTCACAAAATGATACTCTCTATCTTTTCAGGCGGGGAAATAATATACCAATGATGAAAAATAAATCATTTTTCTTAAAGTAATTTTTGACCATTTTCTGAGGTACATCAAAAGAAGAAAAACAATCACATATGCACATAAAGATCTTAATGTACTTATTGGGTAAAAATTTCACACCCATATAGTGTCTTTCCAACCCATGAATGCTGATCACGATTGTCTTTTTTCCTTTGATGTACTTCAGAAAAATGGTCAGAAATTACTGCAAGAACAATATTTCCTTGATTTGACACGGATATATGAATACAATTATTAAATGTAAGAAGAAAGCATTCAGTTGTCTTAGCGCGCGAGTTTGTATCTTTATGCATCGAACTGGAAACTATCGTTTTTCAGCCGATGAAAGTCGATATCTCGTACAACATATACATATGATTTTCTGTTAATTAAAAGCACGTGCTGTATCTACAACCGTGCACAAAATGCATCTTTCAAATATGTATATAAATATATCGAGCAATTAAAAAGAAATATCGCTTAACAATTAGATGAGTACTTTTATCATAGGAAAGAAAGATGCACACGACCTCCTATTCCCGAGGCTTTCCGTTGATGACGATCAGGCGGCATTTGCTGGGGATTAGAATAACAGAAAACACGTGTGATGCTATAGGAAATTCTGTGTATACAGAAGAACTTAGCAGGGGTTTTCATTACCTGAAAAAATCTCGTTGTCTGTTTTAGTTTCTGTGGATTATAGAACGCTCAGTCCCTGGTGTAGCAAAATGTCGTATTATTTGATTAATGGTTTGATTGATTGATTTATGGTTTGATTGCATTATTTATTATACATATTTATATATGTTCATTACTGCATCGGGTCAAAGATGTAGAGAACTGGGACATTTTTCCTTATTGATTCATGATTTAATGCATGGCATTGTCTTATAATCCTAAAAGCCAAAACGATCTACATCTGAGGAATCATGAAAATTATTTATTTTACTTCCGCCTAGAATCTTTGTAAATATAATTAACTATGTCATCAGTTTGAAAGATAAATCACACCCAAATGTCTACATCTTTGAAAAATTGCTTATGACGTTTTAGTGGTAAAATAAATATCAGTTGTTCCAAGAAGGGAAACCATTTTCTGCACTTTTTCAAAATGTCGGAAATCATTACTTTCGCTACGATCCCTGTCAAAAATATCCATCACACAAACTTCCTTGGGAGAGGAAGAAACTACACTGAAAGAAAAACATAGTGAATTTAACTAGTGTGTTTCGTAAAGCGTTGGTCGTGATTAGTAAACTTTCAGTTTACTGGTTAAGATAGTGAGTTGTGGAGCGGGGGTCGTATAGATACTTAGATACCTAGAGAAAGTTACTCATTGATTCTAAATTTACTAATCTTATCTAGTAAATATACCAATATCTGGTAAAACTACTATTAAGGTAGTGATTGTATGGACAGTGAATCTAATTGTTTTCTTCGTGACATTAACTAGTTATGTTTTTTACAGTGTATGTCAATTTGTCAAACATCTCCAGTTAGATTTCTACAGACTAAGTGAGGGCATAAAATGATGGACTTACAAAAATTGTTTAAGGGTAGATATATACTTCGGGATAATAGGTTAATAAGAACATGTTTTATTGAAAGAACAATTGTATTTGTGCATTAATTAAACATTACACTGAAAGAAAAACCTAGTGAATCTAACTAGTGTGTTTCGTAAAGCGTTGGTCGTGATTAGTAAACTTTCAGTTTACTGGTTAAGATAGTGAGTTGTGGAGCGGGGGTCGTATAGATACTTAGATACCTAGTGAAAGTTACTTATCAATTCTAAATTTACTAATCTTATCTAGTAAATATACCAATATCTGGTAAAACTACTATTAAGGTAGTGATTGTATGGACAGTGAATCTACTAGTTTTCTTTGTGACATTAACTAGTTATTTTTTTACAGTGTTATAAATGGGGATGGGTGTGATCGGCAGGGAATGCTTACTTTTCCACGGCATCTGATCCCGTACTTCCTCTGCTTGAAATATGTATTGCTTCCGTGGAGATTTGAGCTGGAATATTTGGTCATAATAATCTCCATATTACGTAGATAAATTTTGTGAAGATTACATTACTCTAATCATTGCATTTCAGTGGTCTCATTTATATGATACAGTACCCAAAGGATTTGTAACCAATGTTTTTTGTATTGTGCATTTCAAAAAATATATATTATATATAAAAGAAAGAAAAAAAATTGGTTAAATAGCTCTGTTCTTTGTTTTTCATCACATGTAGCAATTTTGATCTCACGCATAAGCAAAATGAACAGGAAGTGTCTATCCCAAAACGTTGATGCAATCATGTAATGAAAGACAAATATCCGAGATTAAAAAGTTAGGTTACGGAATTATCGATACTATGGTTCCGGAACAATTGCATCAAAATAAGTTAACAGTACATGCTTTAACAGATTGGGGTTTTCCTTCATTTTATTTCAGTGGATCGATTTGGTGTCGTGTTTCGTAAATTCAAAAATTAATATTGTAAACGTGTTTGGCCTCACTTTGTTAATTGTTAAAGAATAATTTAGTACCATTGATTAGGGTTAACCGAGAATACCAAAAACTGTGTTTTCAAAGGATGTCTTCCTTGACAGTGGCGTAGCATCGTTTTTGAAAGTGGGGGGGCCAGGCAGAGAAAAATTTTTTTTTTACTTACCTGAAGAAGTTGACAAGCAAAAAAAAAAAAAAAAAAAAAAAAAAAAAAAAAAAAAAAATTTCCCCAAATGCAAAAAACAATTTTGGGGGGGGGGGGGGGGGGGGGGGGGGGTTAAACTTTTTTTCAGTGTCAACTACTTTTAGTACCAATTCTTATACTACATTTTGGGTACATTTCTAAAACTGGGGGGGCCAAACAGGCTTTGAATTAACATTTCCTATAGTGTAAGTAAGGTTGGGAAAAAAAGTGGGGGGGCCAGGCCCCCCCTGGCCCCCCCGGATACTACGCCCCTGCTTGATCATTATGTTGACATGTTAATACAATTCTGGTGAATTGACACAATTTACAGTTTTAGGTGATTGTTGCATATTGTTAAAATGCTTTATTTTTCTATCACTGAAACAACTTTGTCCATGAATTAAAGATACATAATAAATTTTTAACTTTTTTTCTTTGTCAGAGCATTGTTCTTGTGCAAAGACCAATATAATTATGCGCTTTCTAATTTCTTTTAAAGACTTTAGCACAAAAATTGGAGATGTTTGTATTGAATATTGAAAATGGTTTCTGTCATGATCAACTTGCTTTCATCCCAATATCCATGATAAGTAGCCTTTGATTGGAATTATACTAGTAAATCTTATGGGATTTTTCACTATTTCACTAAACATATTTGCAGTTGTACAAACTATTATACTTATGTGATAAAATTAAAAAAATACATGTATCTCATGTGAAGTGGGAAATAATCGAGGTTCTTTTATAATAAGAGAAACAGAAAGTAATGAAACTTATTATGTAATCATCGAGCTCATTGATGTCTTAGATTATTGTAAATGGCAGATGTTTCGCACAAAATGATATCAGAGATTATATGTATCTACTGTAATCTGATGAGAACTATTTTCAGAAATCAGAGAGAGGGCGAATATCAGCCATACCCATGATCAAAATTTACACATCTAGTTTTGAAAATTAATAATGACCTAATATGAATGCTCTTTACAGTATGTTCGTGTAAAAAGATTGTAATTGTGGTACAAGGCTTACCCTTATTCCTGTGACCTCAAATTGACGTATTACTTGAGAAATTACAAGAAGTGCCAGAAAATATGCATCAATCACAGAAACTGATGGTAAGACTTAATCGTTTTCTTATGAGCGGTTACATATACAGGCAGAAACAGCAAGATGTCAAGTGTATTTCAGGTAGTAGTGGGAGAATGATTTTGAGAGAAAAAATATATATTTCTCTTCTCTCTTATTTCTTAATTGTACTTTTTTATTTTCCCTGTATGTTTTTACATTTTACGGATATTTTTTGTAAGTGATGACTTGGCGTTTGGCGATAAAAAATGCATTTCTTTTTAATTTGCAGTAAATCACTGGCTTTAATTAAATTACATAGATCAGAATATATACCTGCTCCTGTAGGGCTGCACAATCAGTAATTGGTTGGCGCTATGAATTTGGCAGACGACAAACTTTGACGAATTAACTGCACGCCTGCACGTGCATTCCAAGAGAATAACATGCACTTCTTGCAACATGTGTTCTCTGACCAACATATCCCCAACACATTGCTTATGTACTTCTGTGAAACTCACGACATAACAGTAGCGAGTTCACAGAGGGTTCTTGACCAATGTTTCCATATGAACGATCGAGGAGAAAAAAACATAATTTATAAAGTTCGAGAGTTTGCTTATGTTTTAGTAATTCTAAAAACTAATCGCATTGCAAGGTATATTAATTATTCAGATAACGGAAAATGATGTTCGATAATTTTCTGTAATCATATTAATGTAATTTTCCGATTGACGATTCTAATTTTGGACCATGTCTAATAATATTTATGTCCTTTAATTATTGATGATTATAATGTTTCTTTTTTCTACAAAGGGGTACATTCAACTCGTTCGTATATGCATAAATATACGTGTATTGATTTTTGTTCGATTAACCAACAAGTTATAATTGCAAATGTCATTGCACACACAAATTACCCCCTTAAATCTTGCAGACTAAGCATATGCCATTCACAATATTGGAATATTTGCTTCAGATACGTTGAACAGAACCATTACAAGAATCGGAAATTCAGGAACAAACAGACCTAACTTAAAATAGGGAAAATCCCATACCAACAGATAACTAATAAATGCTGTGAAATCGATATTCCGACACTCAGAGAGGCATTATACAGAATCCAAGTCACACACTCTGTAGTTTTATGCAGAAAATTTCCCCATTGATCAAAGGAGGAAAACGTAAAACAAATCTGTACAGATATTGTGTATGTCTGTGTGTGTATATATATACTCACAATATGTCCGTTTCTTTAAATCTTCTACCTCCTCTGGTTTCAATTTACTGTTCTTTTTCCCCATGATGGTTGGAACAAGAAAATTGCATATAATAATGGTATATGGTGCTCCAAAGTTTCTAATTCCTCATGATTGTAACATATTGTGAGTACTTTTTATCGAAATCACTTTTGCTGATCGTTTACATCCGTGCAGCAACATGTAGGCACAATATACATAACATTAGGCACGTGAAGTTATGGGAGACTGTGGCTAAGCTCATCTGTATATTGGCAAAAACGCGGATTCCGTCAAATCATTCCGAAAGTCAAGTTGCTGCAGCTGTATATATAGAACATTTTGTGTGAACAATCCCGAGGGGTTATGAATGATAAACTCCGCGCCAATTAATGTGGAATTTTTTTCTACGGAAGGAAAGTTTACGATCGATCACAGAGCGGAGATCATTATCATTTAATCACGATAATCTTGAAAAATTATGTAATTGCATGCTAAGCAAAATTGGCTGGAAATTGGATTAAAAAATTTTTTCAATTTGTGGTGTAATATTAACTTTGTATTTTTTGAAGATGGAAATATTCTTCCATTGAAAATGACATTTCATTTTTAAACTTAGATGTGCACAAGTTCTTGAACAATAATTTGTATATCATTTTCAATAATAATGTATTTAATAACTTTACACAAAGTAATATAAAAATGACTTGTTTATAAATGCCTTATTCTGGGGAAAATTATGAAACAATAAACTAACGATGCCTTTCTCTCTCTAAAAATTGAATTTAAACCATAATTCATCGTAAAAAAAAAAAACTAAACGATGAAGACGCCATAACCTTCTTGAACGAAGTTGTTATAAATCAATTTCAATCATTAATATCAATAAAAACTATAAAACTAATATCTTTTCAACAAAGCAATCGTAGTATTCTGTATTTTGCTAAGATTCCTTTAACAGACAATGTTTGCCTTTTATAATTTAACTGTAAAAAGGAAAAGGCAACGATAACAGTCTCAAAAAATCTTAAAACAATACTAAACTATGAAGAGGACATAAACAACTGCCTGTAATATCTACTTATTTGTCAGTAGCATATCTCAGTATAAAACTGATCGTACTCGGAGCATATTCTTCGTTATCGAATAAGTTGGAAACTGTGTAAATACCATGATATGCAGGTAATAACGATATATTACTACTTAGATAAGGAACGTTGACGATTTAAAAATGAAATCATCTGATTTGTCACATAGTTCCGTTGTTAATTGGCCTTTATCGTCTACAGTCTGAAAAACACCCAAAATGTCGTAGAAATCTAAATGGATATTATATATTTTTTGCCACGAGCCAGGTTACTTCCATCCTTTTTTTAATGGCACTGAAATGTTCAAGTTACTGACTTTTACCAGAGATGTATTTTGTTACAGTTCCAAAACAAAAGACTACCTCAACCTTTTTACATCTTATTTTAAAATATGCTAAGAAAAGCAGGTGTATGTTAAATATATAGAATAGTAATTTACTTATATGTAAGTTAAGGTATATCTAACAATATTTGCATTTTTATTATGCAAATAATCTTTACGTAGAAACACTGATAGTTTTGGCTTGGTTTGAAATATTTGTTGTGCTTTGACTAAGCTTGGCGAAGAAAAAAAACACCAATTTTCGTTTCTAGCTACGCATTTCACTTGCCTTCGAAGCATCTCTCGCAGATAATTCTATAAATCTACTTATTCATTATTGAACCAAAAGTCAGAGGAATGACTTTCGACACGGAATCTGGATTTTTATAAAGCTCCCCGCAGAACTAATTGAGTAAAACAGCCATCGAAGGTCAAAGCTTAACATCTCATTGCTGAACCAAGACATTAACGACGCGTTCTGATGTTCCGAATAAGGCTACCTACGAAGGAGGCGGACTTTTTTCAGTCTTTGATTTGTTCCAAAAATAGTTGCCGAACGCGGATGAAGTCTATTTTGAGCTATACTTACGGAGACCAGAAATCAAAGGTGAAAGCTATGCGTGAGCTAAGGATTTTGCTTTTCATGTGTTGTGATGGATTATGAAAGTTCGAGAGTATTTCTCATAAATTTCTCTTCTGTTTCTATTGGAAGAGTTTAAGTTTCAAGGCAGTTCAAGCTAGACAGGTGTTTTGATCTCAAACTGGCACGTGAAAGTATTATCGTTTTTGAAAGAAAAAAATATTTGTCAAGTTCACCTGAAAAAGTTCAGACAATCCACAAACATGAGACCCACAGGCAGAAAAAGCAAAAATCAGTTCAGTATTGAAAAGTAAACGGGGGGACTCAAATTTACACTACATGTACTTCATTTTGCTTCCATGTCAATGTTACTTATCATGGCTTTGCTGTTCTTGGGCAGCTAAATTGAAAAAAAATCTCATATATTCCTAAGTAAAACTTTCATACTGATCTATGACAGCAGTATTTATAACTTACACAATGAAAATATATAATAAATACATGTGCTATTCAAACCCTTCATGGGAAGTATGGAAATACTTAAAGAAAAAAAACTCTCGATAAGTATTTATTTTAAAAGAGCATTAAACAAATTAAACTTGAATGGAAATGTTTAAGAAGAATTTAGTGGTTTCGTTTTTATTTCCAATCTACAAATTATAGCAATTTGCATATCTAAGAAAACATCTTCCAATCATCATAAGTCATAAACAATACGTAATTTGCTGCATATATATCTCTAACACAACACATCATAGTCAAAATTTTTATTAAAAAATGTGTTTAAATAATTTTGTTGAATAAAACAATATGACTGCTGCATAAAAAAACAAAAATACTGAATAAATACATTGTATTCCTTTTGAGAGCACTCATGTCTTTTGTCTTTTGGGGGGGGGGCCTTCCCCCATCTCTGAGGGGCTTTAATTCTAATTAGGATCAATATATTGCCTCCTCAAAAGATTCCTTTTCCTGGAAACGATTAATGTTAAGGCACAAATTTAGAGCTGCTATCCCTAAAACTACCTTGATCTTGAGGACATATACTCTTGGTCCAGGGTTATTAGTCACTAGACACACAACTTGTTACTTATAATAAGTTTCTCCATCAGAATTTGAATCTATTGGATGAGTGAGTCACACATACATGTATAAGCAGTTAAACATATATGGACAAAATATTTCCTGAATAAAATATAAAATATCTGAAAAGAAAATTTGCATAAAAAAAAATGAAGTGTAGAGAGGCATTTTTTAAACTCGTGAATATAGAACTGTTGAAGACAGCATGTCCTTGGATTGGAACAATTACATGTATTGTATGATGTAACAAACTTGCTAGTGTGAAAAATATACCAGATGTAAAATAAAAGTAGGGCTTTCTAACACACATGAATCTAATAAAGTAATATGCTCTTACACTGGTATGTCTGTGCCTCATTCATAAACAAAAATCACACATAGTATAGTTATAGATATGACAGATGACTTAATGTACATTTGTTAAAATGAATAAAATATACGAGGGTTGATCCAAAAGTTCGTGGAATTTCTTCATATTTTATTCATTTTTAAGTGAAATTGATTGAAAATTACAAATGAGAATATAGACACTTGTTGAATATTTGAAATAAAAAAACATTTAAAATATTTATGAAAGCAGTCTATGGCAGTTGCCATAGAAAATTTTGGAAAGGAGACATTTGCGTTTATTTTCATTTCAGTTCTTAATACGTGATATTAAATAAAACAGCCCTATGTGGTATATAAAACGAAAATTATGTCATTATTACAATTGCTTGATCTTTTATAAACGTTTGTGTGAGGGTTTTACTGATTTTATTGGATATTTAATTTAATAGTTGATGACTTATTGTTCATCTTTAAGTTGTTAGAAAACGCCAAATTTCAGGCAAATCATAATATTTGTGAAAATACCGGGATCACCTTATCTTGAACGCATATATTATTGACATAGGCTGGGGAAAAATGTATATAGTTACTAGTTTTCCAGCAGCATAAGAAATTTAAGAAAAATAGAACGTCCTAGGACATTGATTAAAGGTGTGGCGGCCTTTTGGAGGCTCTGTTTTAAGTGTTTATCCCCCTAGACAAATTAAAAACGTTAATGGACGTTGTCCTAATGCTAACGTACTGCTTTTGACATTTGCTACTGAAATTGGAAAATCATGTGGAAAGATTAGGAGTATTTTGAAATATGAGTTAAAAATGAAGATAAATTGGTGCAAGAGGACACCCAGGCTTTTCTTGAGAAAAAAAATGGAGAAAAAGGGCAGTATTTTGCAGAATTGCGTTTTCGACTGGAACATTAGGGTGAGATGCTTTTATAACGTGGCGTGACATATCAAACTTGAAATAACGTAAATTTCCCCCGGGTTTCACAACTATCCATTTTCAGAAAGCTCGTGTGACCTTATTGGTGATTAGAAAGTGGTGAAATTTTCCAATATTGTTTCATTATGACTCTATATTATAAATATGCCTGTTATTTGTTTTTATCAAATCACGATAAAAGTTTAGAAAGAAATTCCACGAACTTTTGGATTTACAACAGCTTTGGAAGGTGTCAAAGGCATACATGTACAAAATTAGGGCTGTAAAAATGAAGAGAAAATATACTATAATTTTTTAACTTTTAAAATGTTCTCTACATTCACATTTTGAGAAAGATAAAAATACCAGGAAAATAATGAAAGGGTTATAAATATATTTACATTGATGTTAGCACTACAGTCAAAAACCCCAATTTGTATAAGCTTATGTGTGCTATGTGATGTCAAATGTATTTCGTTGACCATTTTCAATGATTTTTAAATCAAAAATGTAAATATAAGAAAAAGCAGTACAGTTAATGGAGTAATACTGTTTACACATTAAACTACATTGCCAATTATACAAATCATCATGTTTTCCAATGTTTGTATACCATAATAAGCCCCCAAAACATTCACTTCAACTTGCATCATTTCCAAAGTACAGTCCTCATGTATTCATTATACTGCAAACACAAAACTTTTGAAAAAGCATGACAAGTTTCTTTCAAGGGAAACTATTCTTTCATCAAAAGAAAAATTATGCAACAATACTAATAAACAAAACAATAAATATGAATTTTTAGGAATTTTACCTCAAAGGAAATGATAGTCATCAATAACGTGATTCTACAATCATCATCATCATCATGATCAAATGACATTAATGTTCTCTAAAATATTTATTAATTTCAACAAACATTATAATTTAGATACGTGTACCTATTTCTCAGAAAGAAAGAACTTTGAAAAAAAAAACAACTACAAACTATACATACATGTACATGTATGTATGACAACCACTAAGTACAAATAATTGTTTTAAGGTAGGATTCTTCTCACCTTTCTTGTATTTAAAAATTAATGAAATTTTCACAGAATCAAAAGGACAATATTACTAACTGATGGTATCAGTGAGATTAAATTTGACCGTTTAATATTAGAGGCAAGGTCAGGTCAAGGTCATTACCTTTTTCTTGGACATTAAGAATTAAAAAATACTGTTTCCAATCATGTGATCCCTACTTGTAATTCAAAAGATTGAAAGTTTTTCTTTTTGCATAAAAAGATACTACCATATAGGGCCTATAAGATGATATTACCAAATTGACATGAATAATTTAAATAAAATGGATATTTGCTAATCCAAATTTCCTCTAATTTTCTTAAATTTTTAGGATTTATTAGTTATTTTTATATGCTTTCTATATTCAACCTTTTCCAATTTTTACATATAGTAAAGTTGTAACATAAAGGTACAAAATGATACAAAAACTAAAAGTTTTGATCATTTACTAAGAGAGAAATAACACTTTACGGATTTTTGGCTCAAATGTACTTATATTTGAAGCATTTAGAAGCCAACATAGTTCTAGTATGTGTGAAAAATCTTATTTATTTGGTATATTTTGAAACTTTAGTCCCTTATTATTAATTTAACTTACATTTGAAAATTTCGTCTAGTCTTTGATTGCGTAAAAATTATAACTAAATTCAATGTTCTATAATAATTTTGAGAGCTAGAAAAGAAGATATTTTCATACGCCACCATTCCACCAAAAATAGTCCCTGCTAGTTTTCAAATGCAGTTTAACAATTCTATTTAAAGTTGTATGATTGTGATGAGGAAAGAAAAATATGGTCTTTTAAATCTCTTACATCCAAATTTATAGGACATATCATCAAATGTACTTTGAATATTCCATCTAGTCAGAAACCAGAGAAGAATCCTACCTTAATTAAACTAAGGCCAAAGTTTTTTTTTCTCTTGGTTTACGATTCCGGCGACCCTATTTTTCCCTATTTACGAAAATAAAAATAATGTGTCAGACTCGAAATTTTGTCGACCAAACCAAGATTTACAACACATCTTAATCATTAACCCAAACTCTCACTAAAATTCAATGAACTCCACAAATACAAATTATCAAACCACATTGCCAATGACCAGCTAAAACCATTCATCGGTCGAATACTCCGTCGGAACTCCTCTAGATTTTACACTTCCGGGTATGAAAAAGTCCATTGTTACGTCTCTGGTTATACACAACAAGACGCAAAACAGCTGGACAGCGATCGATGTCATGCCAAAGATGTTGGAGAAGATTTTAGATCTTTATTATTGTCAAATAATTAATTCATGCTGTGAATACAGACATATTTTTACTGATGAATTGTGAAGTTATTAGCTTTCTAAGAGGTTACACATCAGAAGACAGATTCGATAAACATAAGTAGCTGTTCACAAAACTTTTAATAGAAAAAGAATTTTATATTGAAAACAAGTTTGACGAGAAATTAACAGAATTTTTCTACTACAGTGTATAGAAGAAATGAAAAAAATGTTTTGATAGACAACATTAATCTGACAATAAGAAACTTTTAAAGTTTAATTGTAGTACATGTAGTAGTGAATTTTATTTAATGTCAATCCTGTTTTCTTATTTTTTCTAGATATTTATATACCTTGTAATTGGGGGAAATATCTTTTAAGATTCTTTTTCTCTTTTTTAATCATTTTAAATACAATGTTTATACAGAAAAATTATTGAATTGTATGTAAGTTTTAAACAATGAAATAGTTTTATAATGATTAAAGTGTGCCACGAATAGGCACCAAGAAGTCCTCCTAAATTTCAAAACTTCTCCTTAAAATTTCTTTGAGGGAGAAGTGAAGTTTCCTTCATGGGTCTAGGTAATTGGTCCCTGGACACACATATCTTAAGGTAAAGGTTTGTTGTGAAATTAAGTAATCCATCACTTTTGGAGTTTCCAATTTTTTTTTCGTAAGTGGAAAGGCTGACCAGAGAATAGCCAATTTGCTTAATTTTACCCATATTTGTCCCAGTGCAATGTGTCTATTATGGAAACTCAGACTTGTTACCCGGAAGAATTAAAATCATCAACAGTAACAAAGCCTGATACTCACATTTCTGTTCTTGAGTCATTTCACGTGTGATTCATTTTTCTTGACATAAAACCGAATGGTAAGAAAAATAATTTTAAAAGTTGAAAAATCTTATGTGTTTATTATTTTTATTTGAATACATTTCAATGCTACTCGAGAAAAAAAATATGTCAAGGTTCCAAATTATTTTTATTTTTATTTTTCAACCGCCCAATGCATATTTTTGTGTCAAAAAATCGTAAACCAAAAAAAATAAAAACTTTGGCCTAAGGGAATCATATAAGCATGCATGCACACAGGGGGAAAAAATGGCACAAAAAGTCAAAAAAGGGATTTAACACTGATTTTTCATGATCTTTACGAGTCATACAAGGGAGCAATAAGCTCATACTTCTGCGTAGACCCCCCTTCTTCCATGATATGATCAAACAATTGTGAAACACTTCTTTTGCGAGAAATAGTTAAATACCTCTCATTACCTGAACCTCTACTTTGAGTTTTCAGTCCCAGCTTTTGAGAATGCTGGTGGATGAAGGCCCGCTCTTCCTTGCTGAACTCTGGAGCAAAGGCTAGGTCTTCCTGCTTGTCCGACTTGGCGTAATTGTTTATCACTTCTGTAATTTTCTTTTTGAAGTCCACCATGGCCTTGGCGTGGTCTCCATGTAGTCCCAGACCTTGTCTATTGAGGAGGGTGTGGTTTGTCAAGGTGACAGCTACAGGTTCAGCCAATCCCTTGTTTCCTTCTGCTCCGACTCCGCCCCCTGTCCAACCCATCTTCTTAAGCAGACGGCTGCCTATGTTGTCATCAGGAATGGCTAAAACCTAAAAAACAAGAGGCCCATGGGCCACATCGCTCACCTGAGTAACTTGGGTGATGCAGATCTTTACCAGATTCCCCCTCTTGCTATACCAATCATGCCCAACAACCCCCTTCCCTTATTTATTTTTAAAAAAAACTTTAGAATCTACACAACCCAAGGATGCTTCCACATAAGTTTCAGCTTTCCTGGCCCAGTGGTTCTTGAGAAGAAGATTTTTAAAGATTTGTTCTATATATTTCTATGTAAAACTTGGATTCCCTATTGTGGCCCCGCCCTACCCCCGGGGGTCATGATTTTAACAATTTAATATCTACACTACCCAAGGATGCTTCCACACAAGTTTCAGCTTTTCTGGCCCAGTGGTTCTTGAGAAGAAGATTTTTAAAGATTTGTTCTATATATTTCTATGTAAAACTTGGATTCCCTGAAAATTGTAGCCCCGCCCTACCCCCGGGGGTCATGCTTTTAACAATTTAATATCTACACTACCCAAGGATGCTTCCACATAAGTTTCAGCTTTCCTGGCCCAGTGGTTCTTGAGAAGAAGATTTTTAAAGATTTGTTCTATATATTTCTATGTAAAACTTGGATTCCCTATTGTGGCCCCGCCCTATCCCCGGGGGTCATGATTTTAACAATTTAATATTTACACTACCCAAGGATGCTTTCATATAAGTTTCAGCTTTCCTGGCCCAATGGTTCTTGAGAAGAAGATTTTTAAAGATTTGTTCTATATATTTCTATGTAAAAATTGGATTCCCTATTGTGGCCCCACCCTACTCCCGGGGGTCATGATTTTAACAATTTAATATCTACACTACCCAAGGATGCTTCCACATAAGTTTCAGCTTTCCTGGCGCAGTGGTTCTTGAGAAGAAGATTTTTAAAGATTTGTTCTATATATTTCTATGTAAAACTTGGATTCCTGCTATTGTAGCCCCGCCCTACCCCCGGGGGTCATGATTTTAACAATTTAATATTTACACTACCCAAGGATGTTTCCACATAAGTTTCAGCTTTCCTGGCCCAGTGGTTCTTGAGAAGAAGATTTTTAAAGATTTGTTCTATATATTTCTATGTAAAAATTGGATTCCCTATTGTGGCCCCGCCCTACCCCCGGGGGTCATGATTTTTACAATTTAATATCTACACTACCCAGGGATGCTTCCACATAAGTTTCAGCTTTCCTGGCCCAGTGGTTCTTGAGAAGAAGATTTTTTAGTGATCCCACCCTATTTTTGTCTTTCCTTGATCATCTCCCCTTGTAAGGGGACTTGGCCCTTTATTTTGACATTTAAATTCCCATTCACCCAAGGATGCTTTGTACCAAGTTTGGTTAAAATTTGCCCATTGGTTCTTGAGAAGAAGTCGAAAATGTGAAAAGTTTACAGACGGACGGACAGACAGACAGACGGACGGACAGACGGACAGACAGACGGACGGACGACGGACAAAATGTGATCAGAAAAGCTCACTTGAGCCTTCGGCTCAGGTGAGCTAATAAATGTTATATCTTCCATTACTTTTATAATCTACAGATATTCATTTTTATTGAGTACACTTATTACTAATAAATTATTCATATGCAAGTTAATAGAAAAGACAGATCTTTAAATCCATTAGAGTGTATGCACACAAAGGGGAATAATTTCAACATGAAGATTTTTTTTTAAAATACAGATTTAAATAGCTGCGTTTTTATATAGAAAAGAAAGTTTTCATGATCATTTAAGAAACTTTATAAGAATATTTTTACTTTTTCAAAGACTCTTATATCAGTGAAATATACCTGTTTCTGAATTTCCCCCATCACCTCGTCTCGTCCAACATCAGCTTCACTGGAATCCACTGCCTGCTTGATTTTGATGGTATAACAGATCTGCCTCAGTCTCTCTAGGGCTTTCTCCGAAGCCACAGATTTAGATGTAGCTTTGGTGGTGCCCATGTACTCCACCAAATTATGTCCCTCTAACAACACCCTGCAACGTGTTCCTGACATGTCCACATGAAAATCATATTCCAGGTTGGCATGGTTCATAGCAGCACTGTTCTGTAGTATGGATACAGCATTCTGTTCAGCCTCTGGGTTTGATCTCTCAAAGATGATGAATCTGGTTAAATCTCCATGGAGTTCACTCTCTTTTCTCTTACGGGATCCAGGTTTGGGCACCACAGCAACTGGTTCTTCTGCTATAAATCCTGGTTCGCTTTCTGGTTCTTCATCAAAGGCCTGAAGTTCCTGTTTTTCAGGGTTAACTCTCACTACCTTCAGGTATTTCCTTGAAAGTTTTTCTTGTCCTATTTCAAAGGCCTTGTTCTTAGCACCCTTCTTATTAGAATCCTCCCCTGTTGCTACTACGACATTGTCAATGATAACTGTGCAGACAAACTTAGGCTGTCCTTTGACAGAAACATCACTGAATTGTGCGTCGATCTTCATCCTAGTTTTTGTGGCAACCATATGAAAAATGTCCACTGGAGATCGCTGTGGATGGTTCTTCCTGTAGGTGGCATAATGATTGGCAAATGCATGAAACTGATTCTCTTCTTCACTTATGAACGAGTTGGCGGGAACTTCTGGACCTTTATTTGTGGATTTCCCCTTCTTGGAGAACCCTAATCCTGATTTCTGTTGAGAGTTCTGTGCAGTCATTTGCGGATGCACAACAGGCTGAGGTTGACAACTCTCTAGAAATTCTTCCTTCATCTTCTGTTTCACACTTTCTGTGGCCACATCTGTGCTGTGAAATTCTGTGCTGGCTTTCACGAAGTGAAAATTTGGTGCAACAGTCATTTTGCTAGCTGCCTTTTGTGCATTGTTTGAATTTGAAGCCTGGTTTGGGGGTTTCCCAGATGAAGCTACAGAGAATCTGTTCGTTGTTTTCTCTTTAGCACTTGGTTCACCACTAAAAGAGGATTTTTCAGTCTGTTTTTTAACTGGTTGTGCGTCCGATTGCTTTACAAACTTAACAGTCTCTAAACCCTTTAGTCTCTTTGGCACATTCTCCATCTTCATTGAGTTGTGAGAGTTGAGATCACTGCTCATTTCTTTAATTTTATCCATTACTAACATAGGATACCTACATCCATACATCTCAACATTCAAATAACAATTGGCTAGGCACACTAAGGACTCATTGCTGACTGTACCATAGTTAGCTATCATAAAAGCTCTCCTCAGGTCCCATTCTACGTTGCTTTCGTATGGACTACGAAATGTTTCCACAATGGAGGGTATGTCCTCGTGAGACATTTTCTTAGATTCCATTATCTGAAATGTCAATTATATTATGTCAGTTTACACACGTCTGGTTACACAAGTACGGTCTGTAACATTTCAAAAATCATAGCATTACACATCTTTTAGCACATTGTCTGGTTTTGAGTGAAACTACGGAAAATAATTATTTTAATATGAAAATTATTTGTAAACTTGTTATATAGTTAAAATGATAAATCGTTTTAGAAAATGTTTTTTGGAGCGAGTAAAAACTACAAATCAATAATATTTATCTTTTTTACATTGAAATCACTTGGTTAAAAAAGTATATTGAAATAAAAAAATTATTCTAAACGTGGTAATAGTGGTAAGGGCTTGTCCCATATTTTTTATTCTTCGTGTGTTAACAAAATTTTATTGTTAGATTTATTCTAACTATTTTCAGTATATATTTCTAGCATTTAAGATATTGTACAACATCGTCAATTGTAGTACAAAATAAAATATATTAAAAGTGTAAGCCGTTTATTAGTGCTGAATTTTCATATATCCCATTTCTTAAAAAATAATTTAAATCGTCGGACTTCCAATACGGCAAATAGAGCCGGTTTCTGTGGAGTACAGATTGGACGATATCAATAAACCAATGTAAATATAACCTATGAGCTTGAAGCGACGAAAGGAAGGCATTATTACAATGCAATGCAATGCACTTTATGTTATTCCTTTTTTTATTATGTTTATCACAGACATTGTTTTAAAATTGTTTATGGTAGTGTCCATTTTAAAAAAAAAAAATAAAGTTGGAATTATAAATTAATTTGATATTGAATTGATATTAACCAACTCTTGACAGAAAATGTCCTCTTGTTTATAACTTTTTGTTTGCCTGGGAAGGGGGGGGGGGCTACAGACGTAGTAAAAATATATGACATTTTTCAAAAATGTAAATTTTCATCATTTCATTAATTAATTGGGAAAAGAAGTAATTAAAAAGTAATGAGAATTAGATTTAAAACTTGACTTTATATTTTAACAACTTGGAGACTCCAGTGTATGTAATATGCAAGCTCATGTAATTGTAAATAATTCAGTGTAATTTACTAACTAAAGATAATTCTGTTTCCAAACCAATTTCTTTTTCACTATTTGTCAGTTTATGGTATAATGTACGCATTTTTCAATTTTCATTAGGTAAAATTTGAAGCCATTCCAAATATTGGCCCATAGATCCAGATTTTGTTGATAATTTTTTTTTACATAAACAACATTTATTATTTCAAGCAATTTTGTAACCCTTTAGCCGCCATGAGGGTTTTTCCCGTGACGTCACGGATCGATGTTGAACTGATTTTGGATTCCCCTACTTTTAAATATTTAAAAAATTTTTAAAATGTTCAACCATTGAATTATTTGTGTTTTTTTAAAAATATTTTTAAAGCAATAATATACCAAAAAATGTTTTTGTTTTTTAAATTGACAGTAAAACTTGAATCCTAGAGTCGTTAACATAAAATGAACACATTTTTAGGAATATAAATACACAAGTCCTTCCAAGGCAGCATAGGCCCAAAAATAATACCATCAAATATTTTGGGATAAAAAACTTTAATTGAGAGTCTTCGTAAGTTTATTGATTCCTTGCCAATAAAAAAATCATGTTATATAACAAAAAAAAAGAGTTAATATTACTGTAAACACACTTTTTGTTTCCTGTAACATTCCCAAATAACACAGGGTCAGTCTGTAGGGGTTTTTTGCCTAATGTATGATCTCACATATTGAAGCTTAATAAAGTTTCCATTTAAAACATTAATTTTCACTTTTTCTTCATACCTAAATAATTAGGGCCAAACCAGGAAATAACCAGGTGGGGACACATAGAAAACGAAGCTAAACAAATGACATATTTAATTGAAGGTTGACTAGGATGACATTTATATTTCAAGTAAAGCTACAATAAATTATTTTTGAATTAACATTCTAAAGTCAATCTTTATAAAAATTGCATCAGCTGATTGACAGATTAGTAGCAATTTGATTGTATCGGTCGAGTTATAGGAAAGAAACATATTTTTATGCCTTCTTTCTTGGCAAATCATCATCTGCCCAAAATCAGTTCAAGGACCCATTTAGTCATACTATACACGAGTCCTTCTGTATGTACGTCGGCGCAGGACCGATGGACCGACGCTAATTTAGAACACTGGTTAAAATGATAAATCATTTTGGAGCGATTCTGCAACTATCTGCTACATTGCAAGTATATGGGAGGTATTCTAAATGTGGTTTTATAACTATTTTCAGTTTCTAGCATTTAAGATATTGTGAGTCTCAATAGTCAATATCTTCGTGTGATGTTTTACACGTGTTAGTATTATTTAAATTAGTACTAAGTGTATCCATTCAACTGATTAACCATAGAATGCAAGTATCAGTTAATGAGACTACTACTTCTGTTTCTACACAAATTCAATCAAAATTCTTTTTCTCTTTTACAAGAATCAAAACTGAAACTACACAATACTGCAGGAGTTGACCGCAGGAGTTATGTATGCGATAAAAACACAATGTTTGAGTAAAATAATGTATAAATATTTTTTGAAAATCTACGTTACAGTGTAAATCATGATTGATGACAAAATATTTCCTTACATAATACAATATTCAATTATAAAAGTAATTTTTCCTGTCACGCATTTTCCATTTCAAGCGTTGTTTTTAAAGGAAATTCCTGGCGCTCTGAAAAATCTAGAACCAACTTTAGCAACGGGGAAAATATCCGGCATAAGTTGTATGCCTTGGTTCACAGGCACTTGACGTTCTACTTGACAATAAAACCCTTACCTAATAAATCACTGGATTAATTAGAGATGGTTAATTTTGTTTTAAATTATACTAATAACTGAGAAAAAAAATTAATATAAAATTTCAAGTGAAAATAGCTTTTGTTCATAAAAATAGTGTATCATACGAGTACGGTGTAATAACATATTCATCATTTATGTATCTGATTATATATTAGAATCTAAAGTATATTTCCAATCTAGAAATCGAATTTTAACATATATGTGCACCTTTTTTCACTGGTATAAAGTGTGTTCCTTTTAAATTCATTTTCCATTTCAAAAAATGTATCGTTACGGAACAAATCAAAGAAACAATTCAATTTTTAAAGGTCATATGTTTTGTAAATATCACATTACGGAACGTACATATGTGTATAACTACGATGAAGATGACATGAAGTGGAAAACTTTCTTGATAATTATCTCAGGACTCTTTTATCTAGCAAATGGTAAGGTGAGAGAAAGAGGGTAAGAGAGAGAGAGAGAGAGAGAGAGAGAGAGAGAGAGAGAATTTCTATATAAACGAAATATAAAATCTATTTTCAGGCTCATGCGATCCAATCTGTGCATCAGAATTGTACTGTCATGAAACAGAATGCATAGGTAAGTATATTTTGTTTTCTTTGTAAAGGAATTATTTTTCTTTGGAGACAGACTTTCTAGCCATACCTGTATATCTAAATCTAGATCTGCTCCAAAACGCGCTATACATGTGCAATACTAGTAAGTGCATCTATATAAAACACAATTCAACACATACAGAAATAAATATTTTAATTTTATGCTAATATTTATCTTAATTGAAAACGCGCTAGATATATGCAATATAAGTGCATAGAACATATTTTTAGAAATACATATTGATGTATAAGATATAAGAAATCAAATGCGCTAAAAGGCAGACACCCTTCCTACTTTTCAATTCTTGATTTTGAATAGGTACGATACATTCCACATTAGAACAACATACGTGATGCGGGTAGGGGAGGGAGGAAGGGGTGTTGAAAAATACTCAGACTGTACAATTAATGCACATAATCAGAGAGGGGATCCTTCACCACTAGTACCTTTACAATTAGACTGTACATGTACTTTTAGAACTTCCAAAACTCTCCACGCCTCCAGAAGTGATAAAGACAACTTGTGGAATCTTATCTGTCAGATGGCGGGGTTGGACATCTAAAAAAGACAGCGGGGATTCAAGAATATCCCATTACATGTAAGTATTTAACTGCCTTAGACAGAAAGCAATAATTACACCACCATCCCCATCCCCACGCATTTAAAAAAAAAAAAAAAAAAAAATTGACAATTCATGAACAATGCCACATATCTTTTTATATTGGTAGTTTACTGAGTAGCACAGAGGCGGATCCGGATAAATGGGAGGCGTTTTCCCGCTACAACCACTATGTTGAGGATCAATCGTTTGTGGAAGTCTTCAGTATTCCACAGGGATCTCCACGTCGTCACAGATACCGTGTGGATGTCTATATCGCCATTAACAACACTGTGATCAACGCATTTACCCCTGGATTCCCTTCAGAATTCTATTCTGCAGATTGCACAGGTAATGGTTTTTATTTTAAACAATGTATTACCAAATTCATTTGTACAAGAACAATGACCACTCATTTACATAGAAATAAAACAAAAGTCAACACAAAACATACTAACAAAATATGGCATTTAAATTATTTATACCTGCCACTTCTCGGACGATGCATCTTTCTTTTTCTTTGAGAAGTAATAAATTGCAGCTGTATAAAGTATCCGATTCAAAAGATCAAGTTTTAACAAATCACATTTATTTTGTAATTTTCAAAAAATGAGTAAATATTTTATATGTTTGCGGGTTTAAAAGGCAAATTCAAGTCTAATTTGCACATGGCAATTTCGATCTTTTCTCTTATAAGTCTTTGTTAATAGGGAACTAAATTTTTCAACCATTGCACAGTAATACAACATGCGCGCAAGCGTCTTACTGCAGTAGTTGCAGACTCTATTTGTACACAAATTTTCAAATAAAGACAGTTCATTTTTAATATTTATGTCTGTATGAATTATTCAATTATTTATTCTTTCAATTATTTATTAATTTAAAAATTATTGGATTGATTAAAGGGATTAGGTTTTCATAAGGAGGAAATGTTCAGTGGATGTAAAAATAATCCTTTTCATTACAACAAGAAAACTATCGAAACACGACTATGATATCACGATGACGATCACGATGCAGTCAATTATTAAAAAAAATATGAATGCTATCGTTTTATCTTCTTGACTATTTAGATCTTATAGATTGTCCGAGAAATTCTTTTCAGATATAAGTTTGCTTATTTAACGACGTTCGATCCTGATATTCAAAGTCTTAAATTTTTTTTGCCAGGCATAATTTTATTTTTTACATACATAGCTTAATAAAAATTCAAATCAAAAAACGGGGGTCAATATGCTTCTTTTGGCGCTACAGTACATTTAATATGACCTCTTTGCACTGAAATTGGTGTCTAATTAAAAATTACGTCTTCGACGTTTTCCCTCCAATATTTTTATCCAATTAATGCATGAAACAAAATGAACTCTAAGTCTGTTTTAAAAAAAGACCCTTTAAAATTGTGACTAAGAAAAAGTTTCAAACTGCTTCGCATAATCAATTATTTGACCTTTCTGCACTAATAAAATGATATTTTCCTGGCATTGAAAATTTAGTAAGCTAGAACATTATTTTAAAGTCTTAAACTTTTTCTGATTTTAAGCACATAGGTTAAAGTTATCTTGAATATTTAGAAAAGAACATCAAAAGTGGGGGTATATGATGTAATATTTCAGATATTACTTAAAAAAGTGTCAATTTTACGTTAAAATTGACTCAATTTTTTCCTGAATTTTCAGAACATATTTACTATATTTGTCACACTTTGTTGAAAAAATTCATAAGAATTTATTTAATAGATATTTCAGAACCAACATAACACATTTCATTGCAAAAAACAGCTATGTGTGCAACCAGCATGGAAAAATAGGAATCCAAAATTAAAAGTACAATGAAGCGCATTGAAGTGGTAAAATTTTCTGTTTGACTGGAACGTTTTGGGCTATCTTTAGAACGATGATTGTCATACAATGACACGCCCATTTCTTTAGAAAGGAAAAATCGGTCATATAGTTCATTCGAATACCTGTAGAACAGGTCTTCTATAAATATAATAGCCAATCAAATTGGCGATCTACATATAAACACCGAGTAAGCACGTGTTCGACCGATACTTGTGTTATGGTAACTCCAATGAACATGATAAATTCATAATTATGGACAAATTCGTTGCAATATGTGTTTTACAGAAGCATGAACTTTCAAACTTTCTCTCCTATGATATAAAAATCTCCATTTCGGTGTAACTCATGTTGCTTGTCACGAAGAGTGGGGTGTCCTTAAACATTACGACGAATGTTTCTTTTTCGTTTCTAAAGAAATGGGCGTGTCTTAATGTTATAATTGACGTTCAAAACATGACTCAAAACGTTTCATCCAAACGGAAAATTTTACCACTTCAATGCACTTCATTGTACTGTTATAGTTCAAAAGGGGAAAAACTGATCATTTTCGTCTAAAAAACCTTCCGCCACAAAATATAGTCCCTAGCTTCATTCTACTTGAATGGAATTTAATCGCGGGTTTTTCATTAAATATAGTTCAATTTGCATTGTAGAATTCAGATTTAATGTTAGAACTTAAAAATGATGCAGAATGTTATAAATAAAGGACATGACCAAAATCCACTCAAAATCTCAGGATCGAACGTCCTTAATATATTTATCATTTGACATAAAATTCCAAACCATTCTATTTTTAGATTGTCCAGAGGGACTATACGGGGAGAACTGTAGCAGTTCCTGTAATTGTAGAGATAACGCAACGTGTGAGGCTGTAAATGGCGCCTGTAGGAACGGATGTCTTTATGGATTCACCGGGCTTTCTTGTGCAATTGGTAATGTTGACTATAAAGATAAAAATGTGATCGAAAGTAGAGTTGCTTTACATAGGGAAGATATGATATGCTTTTCTACTTACATATTATAAAATGTTTGATGATGGTGACTTCAGAACAGTTTGAAAGTTGCCGGGGGTCCAACAAGTTTCGTTTCTCAATATCATGACAATTATTTTGATTGGTCGATCTTGATACAAAGCCTCCTGTTCTTAAAAGTCGAAAGTCTACACAGTTGAGTGAGAAGAGATGTTTTAGTTAAAACTGTTTTTATTTTTTCCTTGCAGTCTTGCCAACCCTTATTTTGCCTCCTCAGACTTACACAGGGGAGGAGTGTGGTACAGCAGTGATTAGCTGGAGACCTGGAAATTATTCTGAATTGGACGCTAAGATCAAAGTTCATGCCTATCAGTGAGTTTTTCCTGATACAAAAAATAACCATATGCCTGTAAACACCGTTGACTATATATCATGTTAAATCTTCATTACATTTCTTCAAATCATTTTTAGTGTAAGTGTATTTTTCAGGTCAATCCCGAAGCGAAAATTATATTTGTGTTTCATATATATGTATGAATAAAGATAAATTTAAAAATAAAAATAGTACTTGGTTCAATCATTGAGCAAAGGAAGGCCACTCCATTCCATTTACTGAGAAAATTGTCAAAGAAAAAATAAATTTTCTTGCAGAATAGATTTTAAGAAAGCAAATGAAACCAAGTGGTCTACAAAATATGATCTTTTCAAACACAACGACTCCAGCAGGATTTTTGTAGATAATATTATCAATTTACAAATTGGTTTTGAGTACTACTTCCGTGTTAACATAAGAGTTTCTGAATATGAAGAAATATTACCTGATTATACCTATGGACCAGTATCTAATCCAGTTGTCATTCAGTGCAGAAGTAAGTCCACTTTTTCTAGGTGGTGCATGTTTAAAAAAATTAACTTTGTGGGGCAGAGATAACCTTACCAACTAATTCAAACTTATATTTCAGTTTGATAATTGTCCCTCTATATGGTCTGTAATTTAATAAATAGCACCACAAATTTCATTTACAGCAACAAACTGGAATGAATTCAGTGTATCGGAAACTTCTTCATTCAGAACTGTGACAACAAGTTTGGCTCCCACTTACAGAACATCAACACAAATATTGTCTGACAGTCAGATAACAACTAAAACTCTATATACCATAAAGACACCTCAAACGTTGCCAGGCAGTGAAACAACAACTCAAACTTTGTCTACCAGAGAGACAACTCAAATATCTTCCTCCAGTGAAACAACAACCCCAACATTTCCATTCAGTACTTCAACGATGACAACAATTACGACAAACACAACAGAACATACCACAAGAGTTGACGGTGGACCATTAAGCGAAGAACTTGGTACAAACAATACCATCAGATTGACACATTCCTTAAAAAATTTAATTGCCTATTATAAAAAAGCTGAATATCATTACAACATGTACTTAATAATTTAATGTCAAACAAATGGAGATAACATCAATACATCTGTATGTAATAAACTAATAATGTGATGTAATATGATGAATTTCAACTACAGTAATTAAAGTTCTTTTGAAAAATATATTTCAGATCTGATGATACAAAATCTGTCCCTTACAATAAATATAAGTGCCCACATCCTACCAATAACATGGCGACTGGACGAAAGATACACGTATCTGTTGAAGTCTGGTACTCTTTTCTTTGGGCTGGTTGGTGTTGGAAACTGTTACAATAACACTGACATAGATTGGATTCCATATCCATTAACAATGCAAGTACAGTTTATGTATAAAATACAACAGCTTTGATTTTTCATGTAACAGTATTACCAGTTACAAATTATAATGTGTACAATGTACATATCTTTGATAGGGATCTAAGAGAGGTCCGGATCCCTCATTGGGATGGCTGGCGAACGTATAAAATCCGGATTGAGTACCAACAGTACAGTTCAAATGGTCACTCACCCTCAGCAGTGCTCGATTACTCCACACCAAAGAAAGGTAAGTTTTATTCAGAATAACTTAATTACAAGTTAATCATACGTGGTATATTTTAAATGTAAATAAGAACATTTTGGAATAATGATTATGCCGTCTTTTAGTGCCATCTAGTTCTGCCAGAGATGTCAGAATTACTTCGATAACTTCGAATTCAGTTCAAGTAAGATGGGAGGCACCAATGTGTCCTTTTCTAGGAAGTGACGTTGTCAGTTACACGTGCTCAGTATTGGAGAAAAACACCAAGAATGAAATCATACTTCAGACGAAAAATTTGGACATTCAAGTGACTTCTCTAAAACCATTCACAATTTTTTCTCTTATCATAATAATTGAAAATGACATTGGACCAGGACCTTCAACACATCCGATAATTTTTCAAACCAAAGAATATGGTACGTATAAGCATTAGAATTGATACCAAATACATTGTATAAAAATTTTTAAAACTCTTGACAGATAATTTTTTTCCAATCAAGACAAACAAACTTTTTAAAGGTTTGTTAGGACTGACTGCATTCTCTTTTAATCTGCTAGTACAAATTGCTTGTATCCCTTTGCTTCAAATTCAAGCAGCCATTTTTTCCACTGTTATTTTTTAGTCCCAGGACCTCCAACAATCATTAAGGTAACACCATTTGATACAGCAATCCAAGTCATTTTTACACCCCCTCTAGAAAGGAATGGTATTATTTCAAAATACAGAGTGACAATCGAAGAAGTTGGGACCTTAGCACCAATAACCATGGACAGTGATGTTACAACTGTTACAGTCAAGAACCTTACAGCCTATACATCTTACAACGTCAAGGTATGTTTCGATGTGGACTTTTTAGGACAAATTCAGTTTAATTGCTGTATTAAAAAGATGTTTTCGCTTCATGTGAAATGCTGTAATGGCCTGGAAAATGAGAAATCTTTTTCGGTTGGCTGATGAAGTTGATGGCAGTCATTTTATAAACTTGATGAGAATCATACGATACATTCACCTTGTCTTTAGGTACAGGCTAGAACCAGTGTAGGGTGGGGGAGTTTCAGTACAGTCCGAACTTTGAGAACATTAGAAGATGTACCTGGTAGTCCAACCGAATTCACGGTGACTTTTCAAAACGAGACGACAGTTGGAATACGGTGGAAATCTCCTAATTTTACCAGAGGAATTATTCAAGGATATAAGGTAGATAATATTTTCCTTATAAGGCTTGCATTTCAGTTCTAAAATCTAACATTGCTTAACTTTCCATTCTCATGTGCTTTCCAGATTACTTATCGCCAAGGAAGCAATTCCAAAGAGAACGTTTTGTTTGTTGCATTCCAATCTGCCTTGATTGAGGTCCTTATAACGAGATTGGAGCCTGGCGAATACTACCATTTCAGAGTCGAAGCAAGGTCCGGCGTTGGATATGGTCCAAGCCTCAACGGCTCAAGCTTCACATTCCCAGCTATACCTTCAAAACCACCAATACCAAAGATATCTTATATTAACCAGCAACTTACACTGACTCTGAATCCAAGTATTGTCACTGCAAAACATTTTTATATGGTGCGGGTTTATGTCGATGACGTTAACGTTAGTACTTTAGAAATGGGGAATAATTTGGAAAATACGGGTCCATCTGGAACTGTTATTCTAATTCTGGATCAAAATGACCTCGCACAGACTGTAGTATACATACTGGGAGATAATACCACCAGGCATGGCGTCCAAAACATAATGCTCGAGTCATATCATACCTATAATTTTTACATAGAAATAGTCATTTCATTTGAAAATATTCTTAGATCAAATTATACGAAATATCCAGATTCTTTCACCATTGTTCCACCAAAAAGTCCAGACATAATTGCAGAGGAAAGCAATGAATCATCTATTGCTGGTGTTGTGTTAGGGGTTGTGATTGTTGTTCTTCTTATTCCCGGCGTAGCCTCCATTTGCATTGTTCTCAAACGATCGAAAAAGAATACTGAAACTAGATCGGAGTACGATGGAAATGAAACAACATACGATTGGGAGAAGGCAATGAACCTTGGCGGTACTAATCTAATGCTCTCGGCAAGTCTCCGTCGTAGTCTGGACTCGATAAGTGGATCGTTGCTGGGCAATACGTCTCTGATAGACGAACCTATTGAAATCGAACCAATCAAGCGTTCGTCGTCTTGTAAAGGAGACATGTCGGAAGTAGAACATAGGCATCGACGCGCGCAAAGAAATGGGAACATAAAGAAGTCATTGTCCGATACAGCTATGTTTCAGAAAAATAATCTTCATCGTGAATATGATAACAATCTGAAAACAAAGTCAAAGTCCTCGTCTTTACAAAAGATGCAAAATGGCTACAATGACAGAACAAAAACTGCAATAGCTGTGGAAAATCAAGTTGCGAACAATGAAAATGTAACGAAAAAGAAAGTTCCCCCCAAACCGCCACGTCATCGTCTGCGAAGAAGCGCCACCGGAAGTAACTTTGAGGAATTAAAACGACGTGCATGTAGTCCTATTGTGGAAGAAGACTTCGATGAAATGATGAAAAATATTGACAAAATGTCGCACCAGCATGACAGAGTATTGTCGTCTTATCCACATTCGGAAATAATAACTAGTGTTGATCGGAGCAGAGACAAACATTCCACAACCAGTGATCTAGAGTCAACCAATTTAAATGCCATGGATATTGCTACCCAAACATCCTCTGAAAGAGGAGTCGTGAAGAAACCGAAAATGAAGCGAAGACGAAGAATATTAGCTTCTAAAGCAATGTCAGAAAACAGGAGAGCACCAACTTCTACTGTTCAGGAAAGAATGCAAATAAACAGAAAGCCATGTGATATAACTGGTTCAGTTTCAACTGAAAATAGCGTAGAAATTGAAAGTGTTTCTAAAGAAAATAACTATGACGATAAAAAGAGGGAACGTATCAAAAGAAAACGTGCCTTACAACGCCGGGCGGAATCATTGAGGAATTACAAAGATAATCAGCAAGGTTATTCTAGCAAATCATTTTCTTTTAACGAAAGAAGAAATTTTCGTAAATTCAGTGATTTTTATCTATCTTCTGGCAGTGATGGAGAAATGATGGAGTTAAAAAGTCCAATGAAATCACAGGATGGTAGTATGGGACTGACAAGTAAAGCTCTGAGGCAAGGTAGAATTGATTCAATAGAAATGGAAAGTCATACGGGGGACCTTGAGAGACGTGTCAGTAATGGGAGAAGTGTCGATCGTAGAAGAAAGAAATCGCATTCTCTACGGGAAACGGGTAGTACGATCCGTGGCGAGTATCGAGAGCAAGATATCTTGAAGTTTTGGAGCAAGACATATTCTTTTCTTGATGAACGGAAAATTTTGCCACACGAGGAAAGTGTGGAGGAGTACAAAGTGACAAACTTTTATGAGACTGATCGGCCCCAGACGGTTTCTTTGGAACTGGAATTCAAATCTCTCCCTACTGGCATGTTAGGAACCACCAATATTGCAAGGCAGAAGGCGGGGGTTCCCTCTCACAAACTGTGTCTGGAGTCTTACGACCATTCTAGGGTCATTTTGAAACCAGAAGGACCAGATGATTACATCAATGCAAGTTATATAAAAGACCGATCTAGGGATGGTTGTCATCGTTATATTGCAGCCAAAACACCAAACGACGAACCTTCTGCTCTGAAGTTTTGGCGGATGATTTTACAAGAGGGAACAAGAGTTATCGTTAAATTATCGCAACAACCAGACATATTCCCATCCGAAATAATTAGTCAGACTGGCCAAGTCAATGACAGATTCAAACTGACTCATTGTGAAGATATATCCGTCCACGAGTGTGCCGTCCGTTACATGAAAATAAAGAATGTTCTGGATCAGAGTACTAGGGGTCTGTACATAATTCACGATTTACAATGGCCCGATGATGATAGATATTATTTGCCTCAAAGCACTAAGGATTTTCTTTCTATGCGTGAGGTTGTCCGGAAATGCCAGGGCACATCTCTCGCTCCCATCGTTGTTCATTGTGGTCAAGAGGATGGAAGAAGTGGTGTTTTTATCGCCATAGACGCGTTACTATTAGAGTACGAAAAACAAAGGGAAGTTAATATATTTTCTTTTGTCAGAAATATGCTGAAAGACAGATATGGTATGATCAAAACAGTATGGCAGTATCGTTTTATCTATGAAGCACTGCTTGAGGCGCACTGGCAAACTTGATTACTGACAGTTTTCCCTTTTTATTAAGTGTATTGTTTACGGCTGTAATACATTTTGTTTTCAAAAAATCAAATAAAAAGAAAGAGCAGTTTTGAAATTTTAGTTTTAAAAAAGACTTGAAATATAAACATTGTCAAATTATTACCGGCATACATGTATACCATACAAACGAAGGCCAGGGTCTCGGTAGGAAAAGAATTCCCGGTTTACTTCTTTAAGGTGAAAGGATCACTTCATTATAAATAGGGATCTGACCTATAGGACCGGACTTGGTTTTTTCTCTACAAAAGGCTTGTCGATTTCCGTTCCGATTAATGACATTAGGCCGATTACATATAACGGTTTGTTTTTTTTCTTACATCTTTATTTCAGTGAGTAAAGGTAGGAGTAACCCTTTCATTGATTTTCTGAGTTTGTTATCTCCAAATATAATAACTGATATTTGTCTTTACTCCTCAGTGTGCATAATGGTAATGATTACTGTCTCTGAAATTCTATTCTTTATGTTTGGGCTATTTATCCGTGGATATAATAAAACATGTCATTAATGTGATTATGTGCAAATTATATTGGCCTAAATGAAATCCAAGGGAGTATAATTACTGATATATGTAGCCAAAATTAATGTGATTAAACTCTAATGAATGTATACAATTGAAATTCATCGCAGCTCAATGCTTCCAAGAATACCTTTATCGAGTAACACATAGTGAGTTATTCTTGTCCTCGTAGAAAGTGTGCTTATACTGAGGTTCGTTCCGCCTGACTGACGAGTCAACTGTACATTGGATTTTTACCATTTGATATCTCTTTTATTGTCTCTAATATCAAAAATGGGCATGCATAAAGGATAGATAATTGAAGGAAAACAACAAGTCTATAAAAAAAAAATTAAATAGCATTTGAAAAGGCGAAATTTAAAACTTTGAAAGTAAGGTACCAGGTGGATTCGATCCCCCGACTTTAAAAAGAAAGTTTCCACGGTGTAAAAACCAGCGCATATATCAATTGAGCTAGTCTGACTATATAAATGAGAGGTATACATTTGAAGCAGATTAACAAAATCGTGTTTCCTTATTTTTTGTAGGTTTTTTGTGAATTTCGACCCTAGGGCAGGGGTGCCCCTAAAAAAATCCTACGTTTAATTATTCCTTATATCCTAACCTATCAAAATATCACAATTTTATTTAGGG